AGCACCAAGATATGTACCACGAAAACCGATGAATTCATGTGTAAGCTTTGATACCGTTCAGGCGTTTCCAAAGTGGCTGGTGGTTTTTTTTGGGGACGAATACACGAGTCTTTGACCTGGACTCATGATACACAAGTCACTGGAGCAACGTCAATTGATAAAATCCCTTTGTAACAGGTGACCGAAAATAGGTTTTCGCACCACTTGTTCCGACAGAAGCATGTAGCGCATATATACCATTGGCTTGGAGTCAGGTTTTTTTTTATCACACTGAATCTCCCGTCCATGCCAACCTGATTTAGGACCTGAACGTTTTCTTTCTGTCCTCAAATGAGTGAACTACACCACCGTAACAAAAAAGCAGTGGGACATCCTTGGAAGTGGCTATGCATTTGTAGCTATATGAGATGGTTTTGATAAGGAGAGCGGACTCTCCTAATTGTCGGCCGTACAGGAGCATTCGGGGACAAGTACGTATCCTAGATTCCCTTTGTGATCAAAGTTCGGCACATTGTTACTCTAAACATGTTAAGTTCACACAACGTAAAAGAAGCCAAGTTGGAAATATATTTCATTACCATTATTACTGACCATACGATAGACAAACATTAGGCATCGAAAACCACATATGTACCACAGGATGGTAGACAAACAAAATGGAAACCCGAAAAACTTAACCGAACTAGGTTGGAACGACTGTCTGGTAGGCTCGAACATTATTCGTTCTGTTTGTAGTTGCTTAAACGACAACATACACTCATCCATTCAGCTGCAGGAATACAGGAATTGCGGGAAAGATACTTGATCCACACGAAGTTGTCGGCTAGGTTGGTTAAAAGTAACTTTGCAATCTATAGTGTCTCTCAGTTCTATTCTTCAGTTGTATATGATTTTAAGCTAGTCCACAAAAAACCTACATCATGCTTATTTGAGCCAAAAATTTTCTCACCGTCTATAATCCGGTTGATTACGCAATCAACGAAGTAATAGAAGTGCCACAGGTATAGAATTCAAACCGAGGTTTGGATTTAGGATTAACTGTTCAGCAGGTTTAGATACGCGTCTTGCCCAGTTAGAATCCAAAACAAGTGATCTGGGTAAGTAACGGTTCTATTATTAATCATAAATATAAATGAACAGCGTCTCAGACCAGGTAAAGCAGGTGGAGTGATCTCCTAAGTCACACTAGATATTGTTAGGGCGGACACAGATCTGTGAGACAATAACGGGGTGGCCAAATAAAGCACACAACAATGTCTATTGGCCTCAGTCGAAAGCCGTGGTAAAAAACGCAAAGACTACGTTCACGGTGAGTAAATAGAACCAATATCCCTGTAGCTATGAGTTCTCACAAGACTGAACAACCACGATTAGTCGACTGAAATATGGCTATCTCTCGACATTGCAGATGACGAAGTGAGTATGCAAGACATGGCACTCTTCTGATGAGATAGGATATGGAGGATGACAGGTGTAGTGGCTATAACTATCAAAAGCAATTTCAATGCCGTAAAACCCCACATTGCTCAACGAGGTGATGTGACGGAATTATGCTGGTGTTGCTTCAACAAGAATGGCACACAACACTTGACAGAAGGTATTTGCCGGGCCCCTCTAAACTACTAAAGCCCAGGAAGTTTAGTTGACTGAGGCAATATCGAATCTAGCACTCGTTGGGTTTGATCAGATTTTCCCACACAATTTACTTTAGGCCTAGAAGGAGAAGAACTTAGGTTAGTTAAGACATGAAACGCCTGCTACAGGTGAAAAGGAGAGCATGGTACAAGTCAAAGATCTCTCTGGGGGATTCCAACTGAGCTTCTTACTTGGTACTGAGACATGGATGCAATGCCACGCGCTCCTAATTGCTAAGTTCGCGGAAATGGCCTTGACTGATCCACTTCCATTCTATCTCAGAATATCTAGAGAATAGAAAGTTATGCACCATGGTAAATAAAGTGCATGTGAATAGGCAAGTCTCAATATCGGGAGTTTCGTAGGGGACTATCTTGATAAAGGTCCTTAAAAAGAGAAGAGGATTCAACTGAGCATCAAAGAGACCTTACATCGATTGAGGAGTGGGAAGAGAAAAGCGGTTAAAAGTAGACCAGTCAAAATATCACATAATGGACATTCTGACATAAAAAACTTACACCATCAATGGGAATCCGTTCCCTAATGTCTCCTCAGAGCGCGATTTCGGCTTAATAACCACAGAAAAACCAGATACCAGTTTCGACTCTATAGGGGACGCATCCATGGCTAATACAACTCTTCACTTTATGCAAAGACAACTTAGCGCAATCACCCCAGAATTATTCCTAACACTGTTTAAAACATGCGTCCCCCCTCAACACATTAAGTGCGTCAAATCAGCCCAATATGAGCCACTTGCCAAAGCATCACTACTACACTGCTTGAGGTAATTCTCAAAGAGCCAACACTCAGGTTTGTGCACTCTTTTCCTTATTAGAAGTCGTTGCAACTTGGAATACTCTACTGGCCGCGGTGACCACAGTCAATAGACAGCTTTAAGAAGAGACTTGATAAACACGTTCTCACATACGGACTTTCGTCTCCCTCGTGGACCAGCTGTTCCCGATACACATCTTGAGACCTGCTAGTTGTCATTGTTTCCATCCCCTTAGACCAACACTTGATCTATCTTGTCTGTTATCTATGTTTCCTCTTCCCTGTTTATACTTCGGTTCTCTTGCCCAATCTTCACTACCAGTTAATTGACTAATTTATCCATTTATTTTACTTAGTTGTGAAATGCTCCTCCTATAAAAATTCGACTTTTCTTATTATTATTCTCCACACTGTTACTAACTGATCTACGTCCTGGTAACGTGATAGCTGCTGGTCTCCAGAAATCCTTCTCTCCTAAAACTATCGTACTCATTCAAATCACAGGATTTACAAGCTCACAAACAACTACCAGGCGACTGCAATTACTGCATGTGAATGACCAGACGACCATCGATTTTACACTGCCACATACCTGGAACCGCATCGAAAGAACAAGAATCTAGCAAAAAGAAATCAACTGTTTTATACCAGCCCGTGCAAAACATTTTGGATATTGGATTACATTCTGACCAACAGAAGTCCTCTGTTCACCGACATGCGACCTGTTCAGGCATTCACTGGAGTCACACCAATTCCCAGCTGAATGGAAACAAGCTACTCTCACCAATCTTCAAAGGAGGAGATAGAAAGGACCCAGCCTGTTACAGACCAGTCTCATTACTACCAATATTATCAAAGGTTATGGAGGGGCTAGTAGACGAACAAATGAGGGAGTACATGGATAAGAATAAAATACTCCATGAAGCTCAACACCGGTTTCGGAAAGGCAGGTCGTGTGCATCTAATCTTCTCATCGCATGGGACAGTTGGACATCCTGCTTGGACCGTGAAATACCGGTGCACGTAATATTCCTAGACTTTGTAAAAGCCTTTGACACAGTACCCCGCGCACGCCAAATCGAAAAGGTTGTGGAAATGGGCTTCACTGACCCACTCCTACCTTGGCTCAGAAACTACCTTGAGAATAGAAAGCCTATCACCAAGGTAAACAGAGTGCACGCGAGTTGGCGAGTATCCACATCGGGAGTTTCACAGGGGACCATCCTAGGCCCACTTCTCTTCCTGATATTTATTAACGACCTGTTAGGCTCAGTTAGCTCATCGGCATTGATCTACGCAGACGATGCGAAGATCTGGAGGTCCATTAGAAGCGTAGAGGTTCGACTGAGCTTCAAAAGGACCTTTCATCCATTGAGAAATGGGCAGTGAAAAAAGGGTTTAAAACTCAACCAACCGAAGTGCCACGTCATGTATCTCCTGCCTCACATGACGCAAACGATTTATACCCTCAATGGAAGTCCGCTCCCTAATGTCTCCTCAGAGCGCGATCTTGGTTTAATAACCACAGAAAGCCTCCACACCAGTCCAAACTATGTAGGGGATGCAGCCAAGGCAAATACGACTCTTCACTTTATGCGAAGACAGATTTGTGCTATCACCCCGAAATTACCTATAACCCTGTTTAAGACGTACGCGCGCCCACACTTGGAGGTTCACAACGTCATCGCACCCGCTCTGCTTAAAAGAGACATAAATCTCTTGGATCGAGTGCAGAGACGAGCAACCAAATGGGTGATAGTGTTGAAAAATAAACCCTACGACGATAAACTCCAGCTCTTGGGATTACTTCCACTGGACTGCAGGAGAATCAGAGATCTGATTATAGCGTACACCATATTAAACACGCCAAACCATCCCAATGTGAGCATCTTACCGATGCATCACCACCACTTCCCTCGAGGTAATCCTCGAAAGATCGCCCATCAAAGAGCGAATACTCAGATTCGTGCACACTTTTTCTCATTGCGAGTCGTCGCAATTTAGAATGCTCACCCAGCCGAAGAGACCAAGCCCCCTCAGTGGACTTCTTTAAGAAGAGATTTGATAATCACGTACTCACATACGGACTATCATCTCCCTCTTGGAGAAGCTGTTCATGATGCATATCTTGAGACCTGCTAGTTGTTATCACTGCCATCTCCCCACATCACTTACTTAACCTAGCTCGCCTATAATCTTTTTTTGCTCTCCCTTGCTGACACTACGGTCCTCTCTCACAATCTTCACTACCAACTAACAAACTAAATTCATCTTTATATTATCAGTTCTGAAATTTTATTCATATTAGCATTAGAATTTTACCCTTATCATCCTTATTACTCTCCACATTGCAACTAACTGATCTCTGGTCTGGTAATGTAACGGCTGCTGGTATCCAGAAACCCTACTGCCCTGAAACAAACGTTTTCATTCGAATCCCGAGACATACAAACTCATAATCAACTGCCAACTGACTAGAATTAGACAGTCGAGTGGCTAGACCTCCATCCATTGGACATTACCGAACACCTGGAACCGTACCGAAAGAACAAGAATCGAGCGCTAAGAAATCAAATTGGTTTACACCAGCTCGTGAAAAAGATATTGGATATTGGATCAAGATGTGACCTTGAGTTTAGCGCTCGTTTCGTATGGAATGGATAATATGTTTCCAAATATTTCAACCTATGATTTTGATTATTCAGCTGATATCAACAGAAAGATGCGAGTTCCACAGAAAATTATACTCGATTCTGATAATTCAGTAGCTCTCAGTGAGGCTCCTGATGCATCTTTCTGCAACTATCCAGCTGCAGATTTAAGTGCGTAACTTTATTTAACTTACTTTACAGTTTTAGATATCAAACGTTCATCAGAGCTTACTCCAGGATATAGTCCCGACGTACTGAATAATAGTGACGTTCACTCAAAGTTAGTTTGCAAGTAAGTCCAATAAAGGTATCACAAATGATCATTAATGATACTAAAAATCAGTGATATTCACTAAGCTCATATTAAAACTTATTTGGTTGTTCAAAATAGACTCATATCATTCGTCCTTGTACGCGTCCAGATGTTTTTTGTTACTGACACATACTTATCTTCATGAAACATGGTTTATCATTCGTCAGACTGATTTATTTCTGTCGCATATATGCTTCTGTTAACGTAGACGACCATGACCAAGTGAGCTGGATACAAAGTTTAACTTCGGTCTTCTAAACATTTTGTTTGTTCTGTACAATAAGTATTACTTCAACTTGGTACGCGGATCTCCAAGTCATCGGCGAGCTTGCTCGAGTAATAAAATCAGCTACCACATTTAAGCAAGTATACACTAATCTTTGAGTAATTTATCAGATAAGAAAGACCCTAGTGGGATTTCTTACTCCATTTTTTCGTTTTTAAGCTATTATTGATATGCGAGAAAGCTACAAATAACTAACGTATTTTAATGGTAGTCTCTTTGTCCAACTGTATTTCATAGTTAGTTTATAAAGTGTAGAATTTCGTACTTGTTTTCTTTTTGGTTTCCACGTTATTTTCGCAAGGTACTCGGTCTTAAAGCTCTCGTTTATTGTCTATAAACCATTACTGGTATGTTTCGGCATCATTGAATTAGCAGTTCTGACACTAAACACAAAATAGAAAAATGGCCAATCGATTGGTGAAATAGTTGTGGAGGTAAAAGAAATGTTAAGTGTAGGAAGGGTTTAATTGTGACTTATTGGATCTCATGTGCTGTTACGGGTGTGACGGCGTATGTCTCTCACCGGCTGCCCGCACAGTGGAAGGTAGGTGACGGCTATCTATTTAGAGACTTTGTTTTTCATGACACAAAACTGACCACAACAGCACATGTGCTCTCACATTTTGTCTTCCATTAGATTTTAAGTTTTTAAATCCTCTTTAGTGTTTCTTATTTAACGTATATTTTCACGAATCGTACCTTCGATCCCTGATATCTTCTACCAGCAATAATATGGGAGACATATTTTGATGATTTTATATTGTGCTGTTAGGGTATGAACTAATGAACCAATATACATACGTGCCAGGTTCTGCATTACGTACGAATAACTGGCTGACTGACCGGTGTGTGCATAATTATTGCAAGCAATCTTTTATCTACTATACAGATATATATCTCAGACGATTGTTATTTTGTTAAACCGACATTTCTATAAAACAGATACTTAAAGAATAGAATAGCATTCAACATTTATCTAAACTACATACTCATGTGCGTGTAAGCTCATTGGTACGCTATCCTGGCTAAGGTGTTTCTTGTCGAATATAAATATTTTATGAACCGATAAGATTGAATTTTCCCTAAATATGTCATACTTTCGTTTTGTTCTATTTTAGTGCCAAAGCTCAAGCCTCTTCTAACTCAACAGGTAGTTCAGCAAAGGCTACTGCTTCTGCTGGAGTATCCTTGGAGAAAACTTCTAGTCATCGCACTGAAGAACCTCTTTCTGTATCAAAATGTCCCCCCACTTGTAGTAAAGAACACGGGTCTATTGAAAATCGTCTTGTGAAACTGGAAAGACGGATATCTCATTTGGAATTTCAACAAGCTGTCATGAAGAGTGGCTTAACAATGTATATATTGTATCGCATCATTAGATGGATAATGAAAAGTTCGCAATAAACTCATAATTATTTCTATAATCTCATTGTATTTTAAAAAAAGCAACTATATATATATATATATTGTCAATAAGTTTCATGTAAAATCAAATCATCACCTTTCTATCTATTTTTACTTCAAAGTCTACATTACACACTATACGTCATTACATCGGCCAGTTTGGTAATAATAGTAGTAGGAGGAAATTTTGTTAGAGTTTTATAATTATCTCTTTCTTTTCAAAAACAACGTCACAAATACTATCTTATCTACTTATTTGTGTTATCAGAATGCAATAAATGTATATATCATGTATTCAAAAAAAATGAAATAAAGTAAAACAAATATATTTCTGGTTTTACAAAATAAACTTTTGATATGTAGTTTAGTTTCGGTTGTTTCTACTCCCTCCTCAGCCTCACCACCATTGATTGTTGACAAATATTGATTGCTTTTGCTTGGGTATTTTCTATTATTTTCTATTTCATGTGTTTTATCAGAAATTTTATTTTTAGAATAATTTTAACATAACAATTATTTCTTTTATGGGGTTGTGAAGATTGTTAAGTGACACATTTGAAATCATGGATCGATCAAAGTTAGACCACCATTAGAAACCTGAAAGTACTGGACGGCCGTTTCGTCCTGGTATGGGTCTCATCAGTGGCAGTGCGCATCTACGCCTCCTGCACCTGGCAGGATTCGAACCCACGACCTTCGGTCTTGCGCGTGAACGCTTAACCTGTGGATCACTGAGCCGGCATCTAACGGTGTTAATGTGTAACTTCCATCAATTCACGGAGTTACGCAACCTCATACACTGTCTTCGGTAGTTGCTTCCTGCACCCGGACATGTTGAACTTCACTGGTCACGACTTCCCACTAGATTTCGGAGAATATTCCTCACGAAGCTAGTCACTAGTGAGCACAAGTAATTGATCGAAGTTAGACATTAACACCGTTAGACTTTGACTCAGGTTAGGCTTCCGCACATAAAACCGAAGGTTGCGGGTTCGAATCCTGCAAAGTGCAGCAGTCGTGAATGCGCACTGCCACTGGTGAGTCCCATACCAGTACGAAACAGCCGTCTTTCAGTGCTTCCAGGTTTCTAATTGTGGTCTAACTTTGATTGATTCATGATTTCAAATTATTTCTATATCAAATGGCTATATTATTCAAGGTTTTTTTATTTTTAAACGATTGATATAACAGAAAAATTGACACTATTTTATAGTAGTAGTATTAATACTATATATATATATATATATATATATATATATATATATATATATATATATATATATATATATATATATATATATATATATAAATATATATATATAATGAATTTCATTGTCATCTAATCGAATCCATTTCTAGTTTGTCAATTGACTTGTCATATAAATCGGCTCAATAACCAAGTACAAGTGTACGCACTAGTTTTTAAGAGCAGATAAAATGGGGTTTCAAATCACTAACCTGGTCGTTGAAAATTATGTCTTTTCTTAACACTAAGCCACGATTAACTTATCAGTCATATCATTTAGCTGAAGTATTTCAAGTGACATCAACTTGTGACTCGTTATTACTCTGTCTGTTTTTACTGATACATTTTTTTAACTGAAATATATGTTGTTGTTTTTTATCAAGTTATGAGATAGGCTTAAATTTTGACTTAAGTATTTGTATATATGTGTCTGTCTTTTTCTCCTATGTATAACGACGATCTTTTAGATTTTTTAAAAACAAAGAAAAAGACAGATATACTTACTTGTGCATAATCGTTGAAAGATTATACAATGTTTCTTAGATCTCTTAAACTTGTAGTACTGAGAGAAGAGAAACAATGAATGCATCTGTGCCATTGCGAACGGTTTCGAGGCAAGTCATTCAGACAGTGAATCATCTGACGGCTTACCTTCATAATTATGTTTTATGAATTGCTCTTAGTAATCTACATCATATCATTGCATATCAATTATCGATGAACACTTTTTTGTTGCAACCCACCATAACTAACGAAAATTTAAAATCCCAATACATAAAAATGAATTAGTGGTCACAGTTATTTAAGCATACCACTACTGAAGTATCTTCAAATCAGATGAAGCTAGCAATCACTGGTGTTTCGAAAAATTCCAACCGCTAGACAGTCGTAACTAGTGGTTAGAGACCTCCAATATCATGGCTCAAAATCGTTTGCAATAGCTCAAATGCATTCATTCTTTGTCTTCTGAATTCCTCATGACTTTTCTTTTTATGTTTTTAAATTTATTTCATTGTATCATACCTCTCGTATCATATCTTCAAACTGTAATCTTCTCTATTACCGCTAATACTTCTACTACATCTACCACTATCGGGTTTGAATTGACAATTGCATCACTGTGCTAATGAGGTATGACAACTTGAAATGATGTACGTACGCACGTACGAAGTTCTGAGTTGTAGCTGATTAACTGACTGACATAGTTTGAAAGATAACAAAATGCTTTTTAGATGTCTTAAGCTTGTAGCCTCTGTATTTTATTTTAGCTAGTGCTGAAAATACCCAACATTAAATCACATTCTGACTGTAATGTTTGTATTGTGTATCTCATTCTGCTGACCATCTGATTATGATATCAATAAATCACTTTCCAAACAGAATCACCGTTTTCAACAACACTAACCAGTAAGAGTATCATAATATCCTTCATGTTGTATATAATTAATTCCATGTGTAACACGTGAAGGGCGGACAGGATCTAAAACCACAACACATAAGGTTAGTTTAACACTTCACACCAAGAGAGAACACCAAGTGGTAGCCACGGCACTCTTTTATTTGAAAATTAAACTACACGGGGTTTGTACAAAAAAGGGTGGGTAGTTTACCAAAGTCTTATGAGTCATCCTGTAAGTTCAGAGCACTCAGGGCTTGTTCTTCAGCTTCCAAAGCGTTTATGTTTGATCGCCCTAAAATAGAAAGAAAACAGAACGGGTTAGCAACATCATACATGGTGATTTTGACTCCGTTACACATAACTACTGATGAGACGTGATATTGTGAATTTACTTTTCCAATATAACTTACATAAAATCAACCTTGGAGAAATCAATATTTTATTCGCTCAGCAGTTAAATCGTTCAATTGATTGAATCATCCATATCGATAAATAAAAAGTTTAGATTTCCCAAAGAATACAACCTACTACACATATAACTTGGAAAGTTTGGTGTTTTTCATGTAATTTATCAGTCAGTTAGTCAACAACAACGTAGAACTTTGTACGTACGTACATCAGTTCAAATTGCCCATACCATCACTATATAAGCACATACAGAGATTTAATTGTCACATAATTTAACTGAACATTAACTTTCTTTAATCAAATAAATCAATCATTCCTTATGTATTTTATTTTATCGATGCCTTTTATTCCGATTTATTTTTACTAACAGTTTAACGCTTTCCGATCAATAATAGATAACGCGAATAGTGTAATCTAATGATGATGATGATGATGATGATGATCTTGTGATCATTAATCATGAGACTAAACTTAATCATCAAGTGTATTTCAACAATTTTATTTTCCAGTTTTATCATCATAGCTAAAAAAACAAACATTACAAAACAGTTCATCATGAATAATTGATTAAATTTTATTCGTATCAAATAGACAACGACGACGATGACAGAAGGTCACTCACTCACTAAACAGTTAGTTAGTTGGTAGAAAATTCCACACATTGATTTTCAATAGTAAAATATTTTTTGTTGCTTTTCATATTTCTACTGAATTTTAAAAACAACAACATAATGTCAGTTATTTGTTGTTTTTTTTTCAAAGTAGCAGACACAGATAGATAGACAGAGACAATACAGAACTTTGTACGTACGTACATCAGTTCAGGTTGCTAAAGTGCATTAGCACAGTTCAAATCCCATAGTGGTAGCGATAGTAGAAGTAGTAGCAGTATTAGAGAAGATTAGGGTTCAAACATATGATTCGAGAAGTATAATTCAATGAGATAAATCTAGAAAGAGAAAGATGATGAGGAATTCAAAAGGTTAGAATTTGAGAGAACACAATGAATGAATGCACCTGTGCCATTGCAAACAATTTTGAGCCAACACCGTTGAAGATCCTTTAACCATTGGTGACTTTCGTCTCGCAAATCGCAACCAGGTAACCTACATCTACCAACATGATTCAGTCCACTTTTCAGTGTTTCAAAGTAGTAGTATTTTCTGTTATTATTGTGCTCTAATTAGTAGTCGGTTGTGTTGTCCAAATTAGTTTTATTTATACAAGAGAAGGATTTAATGTGTTATACTTAAATCAGATAAGAAAATTATATTTAGCCTAAATTCACTCAAACTTGTAATTTGTGTATGGATTTTCATACTTCGCTAGGTGTGATTACGGCATTTTTTTCATTCAGTTTGATGTTCAACCAACAAAATTGGTATTTTTTAAAAAAAAATAACTAATCTATGGTTAGAGACCTTGAACAACATGGCTCAAAATTGTTCGCAATGGCACAGGTGCATTCATTCTTTGTGTTCTCTGAAATTCTAATCTACTGAATTCCTCACGACCGTGCTTTCTCGTGTTTTTTAACCGATTCCTTTTGGGTATGTATCTCGAATGATATAATCGATCATTGATCTTTTCGATCACTGCTCGTACTTCTACTATCTCTAAGTACTATGCGATTTGAATGGACAATTCAATCTCTCTGTGGTAATGTGATATGGCACATTGAACTGATGTACTTACGTATCAAGTTCTACGTTGTAGCTGATTGACTGACTGACTGACTAATACAAAAAGTGTATAATTCAACTTCTTTTATTTATTTTGTTTTAGCCTATTATGGTTACTGCTTCTTCTTCTTCTTCACCTGAAGATGATGCTAAACGTGAGAAATTAGTTGGACAAGTTCGTACATCAGTTATCATATTCTGGATTTTATCTATTGTATTTTTAATCATAGGTATAACAGTATTGTCAATGTATCATAATTTAAATGAGTAAGTTTGTATTTTCAATGTTTCAGTTATGATTAATATTATTATTTGTATAGCGTCATAATACAATGTGTATTTCTGTAGTAAACGAATCATTGAAATAATTCAATACAAGTATAATGTATAGAGTTAAAGGGATTGTAGCCAACAACGGAAGAATTCACTATACATGTTTCTTCTTGTTTAGAATTCATCACTTGGGTTAGACAGGCATGTGCGTCTAAGTGTGTTCATGTTCATTTATGACTGAGGAATGACTAAATTGACGCAATATCTACACATATTACCAATAAGGGCTAATCAAAATTTAACTTTCCCTAGTATAGTTAGTTGTATGGCTGTTTAACTGTTAAATAAAAGTTAGATTTTTGGTTAAGAGAATTTGAAAATGAATGAATGAGGTTGTTTTATTTAAAATATTGAAATTGTTATGTCATCAGTTAGTCAGCAATAATGTAGAACTTCGTATGTACGTACATTGCCAGTTCAAGTTGCCATATCATATTAGCACACAGAGGTCGACTTGTCGATTCAAATATGATAGTAGTAGAGGTAGTAGAAGTATGAACAGTAATCGGAAAGATTAGGGTTCGAAGATGTTATGTCATACAATGTATGTGTTCATCAATATATGTTTATTTATATGTCATTGTGGTCAAAATAAATCTACAACAGACTAAAGGATTATCTCTTTAGCTATCTTATACTGATAAAATTCTTTCCAATCGATTGGGATTTTTTCAAACACCAGTAACTGCCAAGTTTCATCTGATACAAAGATAGATCAATAGTGGTATGTCTAAATATTTGGAACCACTACCACCTCATTGTTATGGATTGGGATTTTAAATTTCCGAAGGGAGAATTTTCCATAGTTACGGTGGATTGCAACAAAAAAGTGTTCATCAATAATTGATATGCAATGATACGATGTGGCTTACTAAGAGCAATTCATAAATCGTAATTATTAACGTAAGCCGTCAGATGATTCACTGTCTGAATGACTTGCCTCGAAATGAATAACATGATTCAAAATCGTTTGCAATGGCGCAGACTCATCTATTATTTGTCTTCTCTCATGACCTCATGAGATCAGGACCTTTACTTAACTCTTTTTAGATTTGTTTCAATGGATCATACTTCTCGACTAATTTATTCGAACCCTAATTCTTTCTATTATCGCTAATTTGAGGTGGTTGGGACATGTGCTGCGTATGCCTAACCACTGACTGCCTCGACGAGCTTTGTTTTGTAGTGTAGGAGTAGGTTGGAAGAATATTAGGGGTGGCCAGACCAAAACATAGCACAAACCCATGAAGCCATCGACAAGTGGACTGAGTCATGTCGGTAGTTGTCGACTGCCTGGTTGGGGTCCGCGAAATGATAATAATCGATGGTTAGAGACCCTGAATGACATGGCTAAAAACTTTTTGCAGTGGCGCCGGTGTATTTATTCTTCATGTTTTCTCAAATCCTAATCTTCTGGATTCTTCAAACCCTCTACTTTTGTCTTTCTAAACTTATCTTACTGAATCATACTTCTTGAATAATATCTTCTAATCCTAACCTCTCCGATTACTTCTAATACTTTTACTACCTCTACTACTATTGGATTTAAATTGACAATTACATCTCTGTGCTAATGTAGTATGGCAACATGAACTGATGTACTTACGTACGAAGTTCTACGTTGCATCTGACTAATTATCGCTAATATTCTTACTACCTCTACTACTGTGGGATTTGAATTAACGATTCCATCTCTGTGTGTTAATATAATATGGTAACTTCAACTGATGATGTACGTACATACAAAGTTTTACGTTATCGCTGACTGATTGATTCATGATCAAAGATTGAATCATGATTATCTAAAAGATTATCTGTGTATATCAAACCGAAAAATAGTCTGTAAAGCTTCCTGTTAAACAATTAAACAAAATCCATTTTTTTTATAAGTCGTTCAATCTTCAATGTACAAGTGCCTAACTGTTAGACTTAATTCTAACCCGTTATATCATTCATCCACTTACTGTATCGTTTAATGTTCAATGTACAAGATATCATAATCATATTCATTTCATAGTCATATCACTAAATTTAATTCACAGGTTTACTAGTAAGTAGTACACAAACGGACACCTTAATGAGTAGTGAATTCGATTCACTTTTTTTTTCTTATTTGAAAAATCGGTTTCCTTTATTTCTCTCTCTTTTTTTTCGAAATTTTCAATTAAATTTTCTCCATTTAGAATTTCTGTTTTAGTGTTTTGTTAATGGGTGGTGTACTCAAGATTCATTTTGTTCATTTTATGCTTATAATACACAATCAATTAATGTGACTGAATATTAAGTGTTTTTTTTCTTGTCTTTACTAATTCCCGCTGTCTGTGTAATAGAATACAACAACCAACATACTATTGAACACATTGAAAACACAATTTGCTTTTAATTAATTTAAGTCTGCAAAAATAAATGACATTTTAAGATTTTTTTTTAATAAAAAAATAATTAATTAGCTCAGAGAGTCCGTTTTACTTTTTCTGTGTATGTGCAAAAATGAGATTGTATTTGATTTTTATTTCGCGCTACTTTCAGAAATTGTTTTTTTTTAAAAAAAACAATCGAATGGAATATATTGATCTAAGTGAATGTATTTTATTTAATTGTATCTATCTATTTTTTATAATTAAACAAAATAAACGTTAGTTTAGTGACGTGGAGAGGGAGAGAGAGAGTGAAGGGTTTTATTATTCACTTGATTAAATCTGAGTCTGATTGTGTTCAACAAAAGTGTTTCACAACGTACAACAACAAACAAAAAACTATTACCTAACTATAGTAATTTCCATAGATGAAGTAATGAAACTTCAGCAGTTGAGGTGGTTGGGACATGTGTCGCGTATGCCTAACCACCGACTGCCTCGACGAGCTTTGTTTGGTAGTGTAGGAGTAGGTTGGAAGAAAGTGAGGGGCGGCCAGACCAAAACATGGCAGAAATCCATGAAGTCAATGACGAGTGGACTTAGCCATGTCGGTAATTGTCGACTACCTAGTTGGGGTCCGCGAGATGATAATAATCGATGTTTAGAGACCTTGAATGACATGGCTCAAAATCGCTCGCAATGGCGCCGGTGCATTTATTCTTTATGTTCTCTCAAATCCTAATCTTCTGGATTCTTCAACACCTCTAGTTTTGACTTTCTAAACTTATCTCACTGAATCATACTTGTTGAATATCTTCTCATCCTAACCTCTCCGATTACTTCTAATACTTTTACTACCTCTACTACTATTGGATTTAAATTGACAATTACATCTCTGTGGTAATGTAGTATGGCAACATGAACTGATGTACTTACGTACAAAGTTCTATGTTGCATCTGACTGACTGACTGAGTAATTTCCATTGTTTACATCATGTGATATATTAATTCAAAGTAGGAGTGATTGAACATGTTCTGTTTCGACTTAGTATGAAACTCATCCTCATTGCCCATCTAGTATCTCACTGTGTGAGATCGGACATGAAGCCTTTCAGTCTTTGAATCGAGTGTTTTCTTAGCCATTAGACGATTGATTCAGCACTCATTACTTTATGTGTTGGGAATCGATCAATTCTGTTGTTTCCTTTATCCTGATAGTTACTGGAAATACTGATTTCTCAAAAATATATGGATTGATGCCAAAATAATTGGTAATTAGACAAAAAATCAGTATAACAATGATAACTTGCTTCTTGATATTAAGTTTTTTTGGAGTTTTAATGAAATAAATTTTACATTGTGTAAAGTCTATTCATTTTCCGATAAAGACATACATATACTTCGCGCACATGGCTCGCAACTGCCCTGGTACGGCCAACAGTGAAGAGATTTCGCTCTGACTCTCGAAATCTCATATATCCATGAGTAATTTAGCCACTGACCAAATAATTCCTGCTCATTACCTTGTGGCGAGTGTGTTTGTTAGGATATTCATCCAATATCCTAAAGGGAATCATTTGTAAGTCCAATTCTATTGGTCGATTCCTACTGGTGGTCCTAACTGTCAATGTCACATACGTTATGGTTGTTTCCTATTCGACCTAACTGCATAAATATGCATTATCTGTAAGGTTTTATAACCCAGATCCTTTTCCTCTTCTGGACTCAGACCGCGTACTTTCTGGGTGCTTGTAGAATACACGTTCTACTTCATATCAAATCTTCTTATATTTCATGGGTATTTAGGACGCTCGCATCAGAGTAGCTTATTGTGTCACTGGATCATTGGCTCGCTTTCGTTTACCGACCAAGGTGAACTCGTAATAGTTCAAGCATATCAATTAACGTGGTCACGTTCATGTGTAACAGTATTGTTTACAAATTTGAGTGGACGGAAAGATCCATCAAACTGTCAGTCATTAAAGCATTCAGTTTTCACCTACCAGATTCCAGTTTTGAATCCTCATTCCATCTATTGTCGTTTAGCTAACCGTACAAGTAGTGTCATTAACGTTCACGCCTCAAACCATGTGCACGAATACCGTACCTGCTAATAATAATAATAATGATAATAATAATAATACTTATCTGTATAATTAATATGTATTTATGTATGTTGTATTATTAAACCGATGACTCTGATAAATTGATTTTTTTATTACATTTCTCAATCAGTTCATCTCAATACGCCGGTACTATAGCTGGAACATTTTTCCTAGTTTTCAGTATACCATTGATCGTATGCAGCGGGTTTTTAACTAGTGCGCTATTAATTATTCAAGAATCAATTCAAGATGAACGGGATTATCGATGTCGTGATCCGGAATTCTATAAAGATGTTAGTTCGAATTATATTCTTGTTTTTTTTCCTATTTGGTTATTTATTTTTTTTAAATCATGAATCAATCATTGTTAGACCACCATTAGAAACTTGGACATACTGAAATTCGGCCGTTTAGTCCTGGTATGGGACTCATCAGCAGTGCTCATTCACGACTCCTGCTACTTGCAGGATTCGCACCCCAGGACCTTCGTGAACGCCTAACCTCTGGACCACTGAGCCGGCATCCGACGGTGTTATTGTCTAACTTCAATCAATCCACGGTCTTGCGCAACCTCATCCACTGTCTCTTATGAGCGCTATTTCACAATCGAACAGGTTTGAACTCCACTGGTCACAATTGTTCACTAGAACTTGGAGAAACTTCGTCACGGAGCTAGTCACTAGTTATTTTTTTCAAGAAAAATTTCACTACCTATATTTTTTAAATGTGAGTTTCTTCTGTGAGACTAAGAATATTTTAATAACTTTGGATCTAGTCTAATTGGCTTGGTAATACTAGATTTTCGTAAATGGTTGTAATTACGTTTGACGCCTACTAGATTTTATTCTTAGATAAGCTAGGAATTTATTGTGCGCCTTTTGAATGTCTTTGATGTGTACTCTACTACTTCATATAGATTTGTGATATGATACACGCAAAGCTGACTATGGCTTATTCGTCCTTTCGGGAAATCATTCGGATGACTCAGCTGAATGATTAGCTAGAGAGGATCTTCTTTCCAACTGCTTTGTATCTCTATAAATTTGAATCAAAAATTTACATGGTTTAAGTACAAGGATAACTGGAGTACAATACAACATGATTACAAGATTACAATAATTTATCACCCACTGGTTGGAAGTTACTTACTTATATGTGAAAAGGAAACTGCGTTAATGATGGTCTCGATTACCTGGGAGTATGAATGCTAAGCCTAAATGACAACCACCTGACGCTGATCACATAAAACCTTTTTGCATGTTCGCTTGACACTTTTAAAACTACAGCACTATCAAATGGTGGTTGATTTGACTCACTTAGTTCCATTATACCTAGTTCAATTTAAGCAACTAGGTAGTATCATCAATTTTCACACAAGTGTATGGCTTAAAACTAGAGTACACGAATTGGTATGTAGTAATAATTTAGTAGTCAGTAGTTCGGAGTGTGGGCTTAAGAGACCAGGAATAATGTTTAGTGAAATCGAAACGTTTGCATCATTGATGCGAGGTGACAAAGGAATGAAAGAAGAGTTGATCATGGAGATAAGAGAGTTTAATTAATGGCGTAGGAAGGATTTGATTGTGACTAATTTGGTCTCGTATGCTGCTACGAGTTTAAGGGCGGATGTTACTTCCCGGTTGCCCATACCGAGCAAGGGTACTTTTTGAGGAACCTGTTAAGGAAATCGGGTTAGCTTTGGTCTGAGCGACCTGAGAGCGTGACCGCACAGCCCAAGGGACAAATGCTTGAGGCCGGCCATGTACCGCGTTTTTATGGGAAATATGTAAAGTGTTAGCTCCGCTCTTGTTTAAAAGGTCTTAGTGTCGGAGACGGAAATCTGTGAGATAAGAATAGGTTTGACATTTTTAGGGGATAATAATATCATTATTTCTTAAATGCATATATTTTTTATTGATTGATTGATCGCTTTCATAAAAATGTTTCCATGTTGTTGTTTGTGTTGTTGTTGTTATTAGATTCCATATCCACGTCAACCATTTAAACCAGTACCAACAACATCACAATTGCGTACTCCATATCCTTCTGCACCTGTCCCGCAATTTGACCATGTTTCAAGGTCTTTTCGTCATCATCATCAGCCGCCGCCGCCGCCGCCACCACCACCCCCACCAATTCCATACAGCATATCAAACCCGCCTAGTTATCATTCAGCAGTTGGTTTGAATGACTAACTGATCAAATTGTTTGTGATGAAGGAACAAATAAATATCCAGACAATGATCTGTGTATGTTTGTTTGACATTTTTTTTATATCATCAATTGGCGTACTAGTAGTAGTAGTAGTATTCACAGATTCTTTTTGTATTTTTGTGAAACTACTTATTCTAGCCATTAGTAGTCATCATTTTTACTTCCTAATGAGAAATGTGATTTTTTTCATTGAAAGTTTTTATACTGTAATTACAAATATGGCAGACATGAAAACGGGAAGACTATTCGGTAATTAAATCGATTCAAGTAGATACAATTCAAAATTACCGCATATCAGCTTCTACATCGTTGACAAGAGGTATTCAATGGTGCCTACAATCATGAAGGAACTTATGCTCACTGTAGAGCTTCTGTCCCAATAACTCGATAGCGATATCTCAGACAGTTTGACTAGGTCGCACGGTTTAAAATTCTCCAGGGAGAATCAGTCCCCTTCAGGAATGTAGATATAACTTGATGACCAATGTCTACTACATTAGCACGAATCGAAAGTCCAGGACCACTTCCCCATTGTCTCCAATCTTATCACAGAAGATATAATACAAACGATATTGATTCATGTAGGCCAGTGGTCACAGCTCAAATTAAGCAATAGAATTCGATCAATACTAGTAAGTAGCAAACCGTGATATTAGCTACTATTCAGTAATAATCATGTAACAACATGAAATTATCAACCATATAGTCTCCGGTGTCACTGATGGCGTAGGCGAGATATCCAATTGCTAACCAAAAGACTAGTGTACTGTGCAGCAGTTCGCTCATTCCTACTGTATGGCTGCGAAGCATGGCCAGTCAGAGTAAAATATATTCGTAGGTTTCTGGTTTTCGATCATAGATGTTTAAGAAGCATTGCTCGTATATCGTGGGACAACCGAGTAAGCAATGCTGTCATTAGGAAATGGGTGCTAGGTAAAGATGGCAGGTCACTAGATGAAGTATTGAAGCTTCATCAGTTGAGGTGGTTAAAACGTGTATTACGTATGTCCAACCACCGACTGCCTCGGCAAGCGATATTTTGTGATGTATGATTAGGTTGCGGAAAGCGAGGGGCGGCCGAACCAAAATATCACACAAATCAATGAAATCACTGACAAGTGGACTGAGTCATGTTGGTAGGTGTTGACTATCACCTGGTTGGGGTCCGCGAGACGATAGTGACCGACGGTTAGAAACCCTGAATGACATGGCTCAAAACCGTTTGCAATGGTGCAGGTACATCCGTTCTTTGTCTTCTCTCAACTTTTAATTTTCTGAATTCCTCATCACTTTATCTTTTTAAGTTTCTTTCACTAGATTCTATCCCATGAATAATATCGTCGAAACCCTAATCTCTCCGAATACTGCTAATACTTTTACTACCTCTACTATTATGGGATTTGAAGTGGCAATTGCATCTCTGTGCTAATGTGATATAACAACTTGAATTGATGTACGTACGTACGAAGTTCTACGTTGCTGTTGATGATGATGAACTAGCAATAGGTTCATTCACTACTTGATCCATCAGAATCCTGGAACCCGTGTGTACCTTTAGTTTTGAGTCAGAATTTTTCGATTTCCCTAGTTGGGTGGATCCACCTTATTCAACAACTGGGTTGAAGCATCCAGCATTCTCTTTTCGTTCACTCTATTTCATAAACAACCCTCTCGCCACAAGATAGTCAGTCTATCAGTTACAACATAGAACTTCGTAGGTAGAAGTAGAATAGTGATCGAATTTGTCATTCGAAATCTATACCCCAGAGAAATCAATTGGAAAAGAGAAAAAACGGTCATTAGGAATTCAGAAGTTCAGGATTTGAGAGAATACAAAGAATGGATGCACCTACGCGATTGCAAACGGTTTTGATCTATGTCATTCAAGGTCTCTAACCATCGACTACTATCATCTCGTGGACCCCAACCAGGTAGTTTACATTTAACAACGTGACTCATTCCAGTTTTCAGTGGCTTCATGGATTTGCGACATAGTTTGGCCGTCCCTAGCTTACTTTCAGCCTATTCCTACACCAAGTATCATCCCTCACCGAGGCAGTCAGTGGCTGAGCATTCGTAACAAGTGTCCCAACTACCTCAACAGATAAAGTTTCAATACTTCATATCTTGATCTGTCATCCTTACCTAGTATTTGCTTCCCAGAAACAGCATTACTTACTTGATGGTTTCAGGATATGCGAGCAATGTTTCGGAGACACCTATGCTCGAATGCTAGTAACTTACGAATACCCTTTACACTGACTGACCATGTTTCACATCCGTATAATAGGACGGATTGAACTGCTTCTCAGTACATTCGTCCTTTAGTTAGTAGACAGATAATCTCGCCTACGCTATAAGTGACACAAGTTGGCAAAAGCCAATCGAACCTTCTGTATCCGTGCTGAGATTTAATCACACACTGGGCCATCCTTTTTTGAATAGACTATATTCGTATTTATTGGTCATTAATCTTTCTAGTAAACCTTGATTCACTCAATAGGGTCTATATTATTTTATTTCTATCATTTGTAATACAAACAATACTTTTGAACACCGTTAGATACCGACCGGCTCAGCAGTCCAGAGGTTAAGAGTTCGCATGCAAGACTGAAGGTTCGATTCTTTCCAGTAGAGTAGCAGAAGTTATTATATTCACGCACTGACACTGACAAGTCGCATACCAATAGGAAACGGCCATCTTTCAGTACTTCCAAGTTTCTAATGCTGTTCTAACAATGATCAATTCATTATTTCATTGTGTAAAAAAAAACTATGATTTACATAGTACTCTATAATGCAAAATAAACTTATCGTAAACATTTTTTTTCTCTTATTTCCGTTTTTCTTTTTTTTTTTTGAAAAAGAACACCAAAAAAAAATTCAAACCGCCCCATCAAAATAATCAAAATCACCAACGATAGCAAGAATAGAGATGCATGTGTGTGTGTGTGCACGCGCGTGTGAGAAATGGAGACAATGAACTTTTATTCATATATATATATATATATACAAATGGACTACTTTCATTCATAACTTGTAGATCAGTCAATTTGTTTTTTGTAATAATGATATAACATGAATTTCTAACGAATTCTTCTTTTTTTTTGAAGAGAAAAGAATTCAGCTTCTTTTTTTATATTGTATTGTACAAGTGATTATAGGTATTTATATACATACATACATATATTGTATCTTTGCTTAATAAAAACTCAGTTGTCGCAATTTCATTGTTTCATGGGGGATGAAGTATGCATGGTATTTTAGTAAAGTGCTCAGCTTTTTTTCTGAATCGTTTCTTTTCATTGTTAAAAATGTACGTTTTTTTTTATTCTGAAGGGAGAAATGCAACTGCCTTTTACACTGTAGTAGTACAGTCAACTTGTACAATTTCGCGTTTGACCTATGATGTGTGATTATTCCATGACCGATCTATCTGACATGGTAAAATCGTAAACAAAAAAAATGTTTCAACTAATGAAGTTTGTTTGTCATCATCACAATATGATGGGTGGTTATCCATTCTGTGTAGATGAAATAGTCTGACAGTCCATCGAACCGATTGATAGTGTTTTTAAGAAAAGAAATTTGCCATGGCCTTATTATCTTACATAAGTGATAGGTATTATCAGCAGTAGTACATTGTATAATCTTGTTTTTATAGCTTCCTGTTACATTATCTTTGATCGTTTTTCCCTTTATACATCTTTACTAATTTCATCTAGTTCATTGTGCCAAGCTCTGAGTTGATAAACTGTTTTACGTGCCCTGGGCACCAATCAGAATCCTAATTTTTCATTCGGTCTGCGGCAGAAGTTCAACTATTGAAAAGCTAGACGATGAAAGTGTTGTCTGTGAAAGCATGTCATTGTGACAAAGTTAAATAAGAATGGACGAAGTGGATAAGCCTGATGAACACTATTTAAATTAGTCAATTCCAGTGACAGTTCGGCATAAGCTCTGACCCGATCAGTAGAGAGTTTGAACAAGATTAGTGTACTTATTTTGTACACCGTCTCTAAATAAGACACTGAAACCGAACCTTACGATCAACAGAGTCAAACGCCGGCTTAAGGTCGAGGGATACAACTATTATGGGACGTTTTAATTCGGTCTTTTACTTACTGCATAGCATAGTATCTTTGAGCTGGCCAATTACACTCGTGCCCAGCATTGTGTAACCTTCGACTGGCGGCCAAACTTCTTTTGGACTATTATTCGCGAAATCACAATATTTAAAGTGTAGAGAAATACTGCCAATAATGAGGAAAAAATTGTAGTGCACTAAGATGGTTCGTTGATAATGATTTCAACCATCGTGTTTTAGCAAACATGTCACTAAATGATTCGAGATAATCTAAACTACTTAATTATATTAAGTAGTGCCTCATTAAGAAATGAAATTCCACAGGAGCTGTGTAAGGACAAATTGTAGAACATCTACGCAACAACATTCATACATCCGATGGTTCGGCAAGAAATATTTCTTGTAAAATGCCACACTCATTCAAAGCACAAACATATAAGCTGTCTTCCCGTCACTGGTATAGCTTCAAATGACCTGAAATTTAGAACTACGAATGGCGAAATAATTTTAATTCTCAAGATCTTATTGGAGGTCAGTTAGGCAGTCAGATACAACGTAGAACTTCGTACATGAGTTCAGTTTGCCATACCACATTAGCGATGAGACGCAACTATAAGTTCGAATCACATAGTGGTAGTGATAGTAGAAGTATTAGCAGTAATGGAGAAGATTACAGTTCGTAGATATGATTCGAGAAATATAATTCGGTGAGATAAATTTAGAAAGAGTTCAGGTGTCGATGCAACCGAATCTTGAAGCAACATTCCGAGGGTAATAACCTTGTCCCAAACATGCTTGCATTGTTGCTTAGCGTAGTCAGAAGAAGAAATACTACTATTGTGGGGCGTCTGAACGTGTGCCTTCGTTCTAGGACCTGACGTAGTGTGAATATTTTGTCTATACATCTACGTCCAGGTCGAAAATCAGACTGGTTTTCTCTAGTCTGCTCTTCACGAGGTTTTGTTAAGCGTCTGAGTATTATTGAGGCCCATGTTTTCGATACCATATTAGTTAGGCTTATTCCTCTGTGATTGTCAGAAGAGGACTTTTGTCGTTCTTTATAGACTGGGACAATCAGTGGTTGAGACCAGTCAGATGGTATTACCTCCAGTTCCGAAATCCTACCTGATCGTGAGCGACCGAAGTGTGGCTGAAGGCCAGCTGCCCATTGATCCAATCTCCTGGATTGAGAATGAATAATAGTCCCTTCCTTTTCCGAGATAGTTTCGCTAAAGTATGGATTTCTAATACCGGTTTCTTTGATAAGTCGGAACTGTCTGCTGTTGCCGATCGCCGTTGCCTTTTCCATCGCTCTTGCTCTCGCTAGCCACCACTGTTCGTGATCGTTGCTTAGGCTGTTTGTCAACCTCCACCTAAGTTGACTTCGCTCTTCATCATGTTCAGAGCCACAAGTCTACCCACTTGAGCAACAAAGTCACCAGCCATTAATACTATGTCAGAGCACCTAACTTTTTGGAGGTCCGAAAGCTTTCTGTAAAATTCATCTTTCACATCGTCTGAACTTCAGTCAGTCGGATCCTAGGTAGATACGACGGAGAGGCGACGGCGAATTTCCCTGTCGTTCCGAATCCTTACTGTCCCGTTAAGTCGGACAGCGCACTCATTGGAGGTATACATCGACTAAGGATAATAAGCATGAATATTGTTGCTGAGAGGATACTCATAAATGCCAAGACGTAGATTTATGCATGTTATTTTGACGATAGAAATTCATCTATGTAGTTTTGACAATAATGCGATCAATTGGCCTCGAGAAAAAACATGCAGCGAGGTTTGTTTCTTGTCTTACATTAAAGAAATACTGTATGTCGATACAATCTCCATCGTGAGATCAACTTGTTGATCGAGGTGTTTGCCACAAAAGTGGATATACGTGAGGAAAAATGTCAGTAGTTTCTAAACAAACCACCAAGAAGGTTAGCTACGAGATGCAGTCCCACGGTAACTGATGACTGACATTAAGTTCTTACATTTTTTTCATCAGAATACTAGATCTTCAGTGCACCAATAGTTCAAAATCACCAACTCGGTTTAAGAGCCCACGATTCGACCTTCGCCTTTTCACTGTCGTAACAAAACATTCCTCCTCAGTGAACAAGACTTTCCTAGCATTAGCTATACACACTTGGTCATTTATTATAACAGACTCTCGCTACTGTCAACCATATCAGGGTGTTTGGGTGGAAATTAGGACTTGACAAACATGACATTGGACACTAACCACTGATCACTGTGAATTTATTTCAGTTCCAAGGGAGAGTTAGGGCTCGAATCACTACGCCAGTTACAACGTAGAACTTAGTACGTACGCACATAAGTTCAGGTTGTCAGACCACTTTAGCACAAAGACGGAACTGTCAGCTCAAATCCCCTAGTGACAGAGGTAGCAGAAGTTTTACTGGTAATGGAGATTAGGCTTCGAAGATATTAATCAAAAAGTGAGATAAGTTTAGGAACAGAAAGATAGGGGGATGAGGAGTTTCAGGAATTGAGAGAATACTAAGAGTGGATGCACCAGCGCCATCGCAAACGATTTCGAGCCATGTCGTTCAAGGTCTCTAACCATCAGTTACTAACACCTTGCGGACCCTAACCAAGTAGCCTACATCTACCAAAATGACTCAATCCACTCGTCAGTAACTTCATGGATTTCTGTCATGTTTTAGTTTGACTACCCCTTCGCTTTCTTCCAACCTTCTCCTACACCATAAAAGATAGCTCGTCCCAGCAGTCGGTGGTTGGGCATACTACGTACGTATCACATGCCCAAACGACTTCAACTGATGAAGTTTCAACACTTGTCATCATGTCTTAAAATTATAACATTGAATAAAGTGGCATTTGAATAGCACAGAATAAAAATATCAATAGGCTATGCTGTGACAAGTTTCAACGGACATCAAAACTTAGATCAAGTAGGATTTCGTTCACGGCTGACTAGCTTCCCAATAGACAGAAAGAAGTCACAACAATGTTCCCTCTTATAAATACATTATTATTATTATTGTCTTTATGATTAACAGTACTATTCATAGTAAAGAAAAAAAGAGAATAAAGTTAAATAAAATTATTATACTGATGATGATTAGTAATAACAATAATAACAATAGTGGTAGTAGTAGTAGTGATAATAATAATAATAATAATGATAAGAAATGCCAAACACACGCACACACACATTATTGTTGTTTTTGTAAAAAATAATCCTTGCCTTGCTACCATGTAACCAAACTGGTAAAGTGAGAAGAAATAGAGCAGAGCACAAAACAAAAACCAATAAAATAGTGAATTTTTTTGTGTTTAAAAAAAACAACAACCAATGAATGGCAAGTTAAAAATATATTTATATTTATATTTATAATTATATTTATATTTATATACAATTGGATTAGTTCGCAACTCAAAGTGTACCAGTACCAGTCACGAGAGAAAAAGAGGTCAATGAAATTGAGTTCAAAGGGACCAATCAGTGTTATTATTATTATCATTATTATTTATCAGCATCATTCGTTCATCATACCTTTTGCGAACAAGTGAAAAAAAAGCATGTCACAATAAGAAACAAGTTGCAGGAATCTCAGCAAACACCGAAACCGATTACCGCCCAAAGTACAAGACCAGTGTGTATGTGAAGATCATTATTAAAGAGGTGTGCGTCTGAGTGTGTGTGTGTGTAAATAAATTATAGATAAATTTTTATCTAAAAAGAGAGAAATATTATGTCTTGTGGGTAGTAAATTTATATATATACATTACATTGATGAATAAAAGTTAGAATCAAAAAAAAAGTGACAAGTTTCGGTCATGCACACACACACACGCACATGCACACACATACATACAACTGTTTGGTTATGGATATCGGTCGGTCAGTTGGACGATAGAGGCGGAGTAGCAGGGTATGTATGTGTTCTTGAAACAGTAAAAACAAAACACAGAAACAAACAAATATTGTGTTGAATGTAGGTCGGTCACATTCACATTTACACGTGTGGTATGCATGCGCAGCATGAAAACATCTCGTAGAAGAGAGCAAAACATTGACAAACACACCTAAAATCGATATACACGCCGCACACACCTATCAACTCAAGGCTAAAACACAGCATGAAAGAACAAAATGAAATGAAATTAGTTAGGAATAATAATAATAATAATGAAGGGAATTGATGAACTGATAAATGATAATTCAACAAGAACAAGAACAACAACAAAATAGTAGATGTGTGCGTTTATTTATGTATTTTTCTATAGAATTGTTATCGTCTTTTGTTATAGCTTCCTACTACTACTACTACTACTAGTAGTAGTAGTAGTAGTACCACTCTCCTGTATCTGTCTCTCTCTCTTTACTCTGCTCCATGAGAAAAAATATTGACAACCAGAAAGTGGTAATGACAAATGAGATGAGATGTGATGAGATGGAGAAACAGAGGTATTAAGATTGAAGAAATTCATGTGTACCGTATGCAAATCTTGATAAACACATATGTATATTATCATTAAAGAATCAACAATTTGAAGTTTCAGATGGATCACGATTGTTTCCAGTGGAGTAAATGCGATCTTGATGTCGATGTGATGAATTCGACATGGATCTTTCTCGATGATTATGTCTTGATGAATAGGGAGAAGTGTCATCGCGATCTCTTGATCTATTATTATGCGACGAAGAGTCACGATAACGTGGATTGTATTCATTATGACGATGTTGTTGTTGTTGTTGATGATGATGATGATGAGCTGGTGGAGGCGGGGGAGGAGGATGATGCTGCTGCTGCTGATGATGATGGTGTTTACGATCATAACGAGAATTATGATGAGAATGATGACTAAAGTATGAATGCTGTTTGTTGGATGTGGGTGTTGGTATTGTTGTTGCTGATGATGATGACGATGATGGTGATCGATAATGATCGAATTTGTTTGAATTTCTTGATTGATACGAATTGTGATGCGTGTGTGAATGATGACGATTTTCATAATAACCCCCATAATCACGAGATGATTCTTTAAATCTTTTAGATGATGAAATACTACTGTTATTATTACTACCATAAGATGTACTAGTAGTACTATTAGTACTATTAGTAGTAGTAGCATTTGTACTAGAAATAGTAGCAGTAGTAGTAACAACAGTATGTGGATGTGATTTCGACAGATCTGAATCGACATTTGTTTCAACAATTTGAGTGTGTAAATCTGCAACATTATAACTCGATTTCATTGGTTGGAAACATTCCGGTATACTATCGGCAGTTATCATCTGTTGTTCACTTGCATCGGATTTTTCATCTAACACAGGTGTGCCAATACTGATTGGAGGTGAATCAACAACCAGATGATCCATAGAGGTAGTTTTTAAATTTGTTGTTTCTACTGATGCTGCTGCTGTTGTTACTGTTACTACAGGAGAGTCGCTGCATTCGTTGTCAACAAATTCATTGATTTCATCTTTAACACATGATGATGTGGATGGTGACAGAGAGTCCAACTGTGAATTATCTTGACAAGCAGTGACTGTTTTATTATTATTATCAATATCCTCAATAGCAGATTCTTCATCATCACAACATTCCGCCGTCAAATCGACATGATGATGAATGTTTTCGACTGCTGATGATGACGATTGGACATTGTCAATTAAATTCTCATTATTATTATCGACTGACATGAAATCTTTTCCAGCTGATGATGCATTGTTATATGCTGAGACAGTTGGATAATCATCAGAAACTAATGTTTCAACAGCAAATTTTGTGAAAGTTTTATGCTCTTTATTACTAGCATGATTATTATTAGTAGTAGTATTGGTAGTAGTAGTAGTAGTAGTAGTATTATTATCATGAACTGGAATACTTGTTATAGACATATCATGACTACTACTACTACTACTACTACTACTTATACTACTAATACTAGTAGTAGCAGCAGTAGTAGTAATAGTAGTATTGCTATCAGTGGTCATATTTTGTTCAGTAGTAGTGATAGTATTGTACAAATTTAAAGAGGCATCATCATTATCAACATCGTCAGTGTTTTTTGTCAATGAAGTATCTTTCTGCTCTTCTTGTACACCAACACAATCAACATTATCAATGTCACTGACAAAAGAAACACTGTTTACATTATTACTATGATTATTATTCCCATCATCATCATCATCATCATTATGAGGATGAGGTAGATTTTCATTGGTTAATTCCATCACAATCGTCGGACTGTGACAATTCGTATTACTATCAACTTCATCATCATCATCAGAAGCAGCTGTAGTCGCTTCTTTTCCAAATGATAAACTACAATTCATCAAATTGTTGTCTACAAGTGATCTCTCATCATCATCAGGAATTTCAGCTTTGTCTAAATGATCCGCACTAATGGATATCGATTCAGTATTATTAGGATTAGGATTATGTGATAAAATAACTGGTTCATTGAATTTCAACGCGAAATGAATCACTTCATCATTGGGAATTACATCATGGAACAACATATGACATGCATAAAATGGTTGTATATTGATGAAACAATTGTCTAAACTCCATAATAAATGCGATTCATTCACATGTTGCATAAGACAAGCTGATGATGACGTTGACGATGTTGTTGTTGTTTGAATAATTGACGTCGGAGGTGACGATAATTGATCATTGCTTAAACGAGGTGGTGATGATGATGAAGATGATAAGATATGTTTCATGGGAATATTGGTGATATTTCCTGGTGAAACACTACTACTAATTGCACTGGACAAACTAGTAACGTTGTCATCGTCATCAACACATGGATTATTATTATTATTATTATTATTAGTATTAGTAGTAGTAGTAGTTTGTAATTCAGGTAAACGCGAAACATTACTACTATTATCAGTAGTAATATCACTATTACTATTCATATCTTGTACACGATCAATGATTGTATGGTATAATTCCGGTTCTGGGACTAAACGTTTACGTGTAATAGAACGTTTACGTTTTCTAACTGAACCGAATTTTGGTGATAAACAATTATTATTCAACTGATGTTCATCAACGGATGCTGATGATGATGATGATGAGGAGGAGGAGGAGAGAATAGTTGTAGCACTAACACCAGCACCAGGAGTTGGAGGAGTAGGCGGAGTAACCGACTGTGGATTGGATGCAGTGGATTTCAATGTACTGGATAATAAACGATCTGCAGAATCTTCATCATGTTGTAGATGATGATCATCAAATGGTTTCAAAGAATTCAAGGAATCATTCGACGAGTCACTATTACTATTACCATCATTAGTAGTAGTAGTAAGAGTCGTGGTCGTTGTAGCAGTAGCAGTAATAGTGGTAGTACAAGTCATTAAGACATCCGTACTTAAGGATGATTCAGTATGATGATTCACATTCATATCATTTGTACTGGATAAGATGAGAGAATCATTATTTGAAAGTTGTGTCGGTGAATTCTTCTCAACAATTGTCTGATCTAATAATGAATGCTGAACTGTATCAGTAGTAATACTAATCACTGGTGAGTTATGATTCTGCTCTGCATTATTGATTTCTGATAGCGGTTGAACAGAATCCAAGTGAACTGGTGAATTTTCTGATAAACATGGACGTTTTGCTGAATTCTCCATAGGTTCATTGTCTTTCAGATTCGAGGACATAGAATCGCCATGATTGTCAATGTCATTGGGAAGCACAGAAGTCGGTGATAATTTATTCGGTGAAAATGATACAGGACTAGATAATGACGGTTTTAATGTTGTTTTACCACTGATACCACCTCTACTTCGTCCACGATTAACTTTCAGTGGAATTCGACCACGAGAACACAAATCATGATGTGATATTAATGATGATGATGATGGTGATGAGTTATCATTACTAACTGAATTATTCTCAACTGGCAAGGATGAAATGGAAGTTTGCTGTTCTGGAACAATAGAATGTTGAGCTGATGTACTTGTGGGCGGCTGTGAAGAACTAGTTTGACGTTTTCGTTCCAACCAATCAACAACACGTGCAAGTTTTTCACCCTTGATTATTGGAACAAACAGAAAAAAAAATTGACAATGGATCATTTAATTTCAAGAAAGATCCATCAAGATAGTGCATCTATAAACAAGCACAGATTAATAGTCATATTACGAATTTTATAAGGAACAACGATGATGCTACTTAACTGGATAAACTGAAGTAGTAGATAATTAGTTAGCTAGTTAGTTAGTTACAGTCAAAGTAAAGCCTAACAGAAATATGCATCAAGTCAAACTGTTAAACCGAATTAGTACGAAAAGATGAAATCATTAGTCAAGCTAATAGCTAACTGATCACCGAAATATAGTATATATATATATATATATATATATATATATATATATATATCCTATAATGAGAATAATTAAACGTTCAGAAGATGGTTCTAAAAAATGAAATGAAAAACTACATTTTGAAGAAATGCGAAAACTTAAGATTTGGACAAGGTTAGATCAAAAGTCAAAGTATCTAAGTCATATTATTCAAAGTCTTCAATCGTTGATTGTAGTTATCATACTGATCTTCGTACTGGGTCGCGTGTGCTGATGATTTTGTTCAGAAGGACAATGATGAAAGCTCCACAACCAAAACATCCAGCTCTGAGAAAAGAACTCCACCACAATGCGTAGTGAGCACCTACCTACCAGTATAGTTTTAACCAATAACCAAAGACTTCATGGAATGATAACACATTTCAATTTATCTGTCATTATTCAATGGAGTAGAATGTGTAGGCTTGAGGTTAGTCGGTTAAAAAATAGAGAATTAAACCCACGAAATACAGTTATTCGCTCTATTATAGCAAACTCTACTTTCCAGTGAATCAACGTCTAATATCTGATGACTAATTTAGTTATTTTGACCAGACACCATCAGCAACAATCTACTGAGGGGGAGAAAACAGACCGGATTCCAGCGGAGGAAGAAATCAGGAAGAAGTGGTGGAAGTATATAGGATATACTCTGTGGAAAGCACCCAAATGCGTCACAAAACAAACCCTAACTGTGAACCCTCAACGACAAAGCAAAAGAGGAAGGCCAAGAAACACATTACGCCGAGAAATGGAAACCGACATGAGAAGAATGAACAAAAACTGGAAAGGGAAGCCCAGGACAAAGTAGGTTGAAAAATACTGGTCGGCGGCCTATGCTCCATTAGGGCTACCAAAAGGAAGTTAGCAATTTAGCTATTTAGGAGAATGAATGTGATGAAAACATCACCACTACAGGTATCTTGTTTTTATACAACATAATTCAAACTGATTTTAAAAAAAGTGATCAAGTAAAAAAAGGATACAGAGAAAGCCATTGGATGTAAACATTAAAAATGTGTTTATAAGACGATAAAAATGGTGCTCAACAGTAATCAAATTAAAATTCATGTGTTGTAAGAGGATTTGAGAGACAAATCACAAATGAATTACCTGTTTAAACAACGAAAGTACATTGCTTTCGTTTTCCTTAAATGATTACAGTTATCCTGATGTTGATATAGCCCAAAAATACCCTGGAACAGCTAAGAGAGTGAGTGGGGTCCTCTCTCTCTCACTGCCTACATGCTTTCATATGACCATGCGTATACAGCCACTGTGAAGGAACTCTTATTCACTGCCTTCTCATCGCAGGCGTGTTATTTACAAAACCGAGGAAGGTGGGAATGGTATTTTTCAATTATCAGTGTGATGTGATTACGTATACAAACCACGTACATGATTCCATTCGATATTAATGTAGGCGGTTTACAAACTACTGGAATTTACCAAGCCGGGCAGGAAAAGATATTTGAACCAATCGGAATCAAACTGTTGCCTAAAAGTTATCAACGCGGAATTGTATTCGGATTAGTGCTTTGTTGTTACGTAATATTAGTCAACAGTTAGGGACACAAGAAATACAATCAGCTTTTAGAGTTAAAATTACTGGGTTTAAGTTTCAATGTGAAAAATCAACACTGGGAACTCAAAACAACTATCAACCAATACCAAGGTCACAATTTTCAACAACATATGTCAAGACCATTCTACTAATATAGGGCGGAAACTTAGAGAACAACCAAAGCCATTATCAAGAAGATACATGTGTTTATGAACAATTGTCTCAGTCAGTCAGAGGCAACGTAGAACTTCGTACGTAAGTACATCAGTTCATGTTGCCATACTACATCAGCACAGAGATGTAATTGTCAATTCAAATCCAATAGTAGAAGAGGTAGTAAGAGAATTAGAAGTAATCGGAGAGGTTAGGATTAGAAGATACTATTCAAGAAGTATGATTCAGTGAGATAAGTTTAGAGAGTCGAAACTAGAGGGGTTGAAGAATCCAGAAGATAAGCATTTGAGAGAACACAGAGAATAAATGCACCGGCGCCATTGCGAACGATTTTGAGCCATGTCATTCAAGGTCTCTAACCATCGATTATTGTCATCTCGCGGACCCCAACCAGGTAGTCGACAATTACCAACATGGCTCAGTCCACTAGTCAATGACTTCATGGATTTCTGCCATGTTTTGGTTTGGCCGCCCCTAGCTTTCTTCCAACCTATTCCTACACTACAAAACAAAGCTCGTCGAGGCAGTCGGTGGTTGGGCATACGCAACACATGTCCCAACCACCTCAACTGATGAACTTTCAGCACTTCATCTATTGATATGCCATTCTTACCTAGCACCCGATTCCTAATAACAGTGTTGCTCACTCGGGTGTCTCAGGATACACGACCAATGCTTCGAAGACACCTATGATCGAAAACCAGTAACCGACGAATATCTTCTACTCTCACTGGCCATGTTTCACAGCCATAAAGTAAGACGGAGCGAACTACTGCACAGTACACTCGTCCGTTAGTCAGCAAACGGATATCTCGCCTACGCCATAAGTGACGCAGGTTGGCAAAAGCTAATCGAGCATTCTGTATCCGTGCTGAGATTTCGTCAGTCACCAGGCCATCGGCACTGATGAGACTACCAAGATAAGTGAAGCGGTCTACACGTTCGACCACTTCACTCCCTATCACTAGTTCAGGTGCCGATGCAACCCAATCATGAAGAAACATTTTGCATTTCGAGGGTGAGAACCGCATCCCGAACATGCTGGCATTGTTGCTTAGGTTAGTCAGAAGACTCTGCATTTTGTCAGCGTCTTCACCAAGTAGGACTATGTCATCGGCATATTCTAAGTCAATAAGCGAGCCACCTGGCAGAAGGTCTACTCCTGAAAATTCAGACGAGGATAAGGTTATTTCTAGGAGCATGTCTATGATAAAATTAAACAAGAATAGATTCGTTAGGCAGACACCATCAGCAACCACCACCCCACTATAGGAGGAAACAAATCCGATTTCAGTTGATAAAGAATTTAGGGAAACAATTAGTAGATAGGAGACACATTTAGAAAAGCAGCCAACTGGGTCACAAGACTAAAGGAGCAGACAAGAACCAAAGAACACATTATGCGGAGAGTTGGAGGCAGATGTGAAAAGAATGAACATCAATTGGATGGAACTTGGAAATGAAGGATCATGATAGATAGAGTAAGTAAATAAGTAAGTAGTTTATTAATCAATAATATAATCCAAGGGAAAGAGGCATGGCAAAATAATTGACATCAAGAAAAAAAGAATCATGGGTTGAATAATGGGGCAAACAAACGGTATTAATTAATCACTAAAAAAAACACACATTCAACAGAAATTCTAGTAGTAACATAAATTCTCAAAATGAACAAACATATCAAACACTGATTGCTTACCTTTTGTTTTAAATTGCCAACTGGAGTTGGAACATTCTTCTCATCGTTATTCAATGCAGTAGCAGGACATGTTGCAGGACATTCTTCTTCTGGAGATGTTTTCATTGTTTCAAGTGTTTGTTGTTGTTGTTCTTCTTCTTTAACAAACAACTCTGTGAAAGGTGTTTGATCTCGAGTAAGCAGCTCAGCAGCTGTATATTGTCGTGGTAAACTACCACGAATAGATTGACTATCTGGTTTGCGTAGAAAACAATACGGCTACATACAAAGAGAGAGAGAGAGAGAAGAAAAATCATGCAAGAAATGAAATTACTATTCTGCATATATAACACATTAGCTATCAGCCTTATTAATGTTGAATCATTTGTACTGGTTGTATGAATCTTCTGAGTATTATTGAACTATTACTTACAAACAATTTCAATGGATCAGTTATTTTTTGGCATATGTACATAATGTGTGGATTCAGTCAGTCAGTCAATGAGTTACAACGTATACTTCGTACGTACGTACATAAGTTTAATTAGCCATACCGTATTAGCATAGAGATGCCCGCCCTCATAACCGTAACAGCACACGAGACCAAATTGGTCAAAATCAAATCCTTGCTACACCCCTAGCACACAGATGCAATTGTCAATTCAAATCTTATAATAGTTGAGGTAGTAGAAGTATTAGTAGTAATCAGAGAGATTAGGGTTCGATGATATTATTCAAGAAGTTGAATCTAGTGAAATAAACTTAAAAAGATAAAGTGATGAGGAATTCAGAAAATTAGAAGTTGAGAGAAGAAAAAGAACGGATGTACCTGCACCATTGCAAACGATTTTGAGCCACATTATTGCAGTTCTCTAATCATCGGTTACTATTGTCTCACGGACCCTAACCAAGATAGATAGGCTACACCTACTAACATGGCGTGTTTTCTCATTTTAAATTTATTTCACTGGATTGTACTTATCAAATCATAATCTTTGGTCCCTAAACTTTTCCACTACTGCTAACATTTCTACAACCTCTACTATTAAGAGACTTGAACAGACAACTCCATCTCACTATGCTAATGTAAAATAGCAACTTGAACTGATGTAACGAAGTTCCATATTGTAGCTGACTGACTAACCATCTGACTTAGACCATTATCTATCCAAGCTAACATGTCTCATTTTATTCATAAGTCACGTTATTATCGCATGTAAAAATTCAACTCTATTTAATTCACATTACATATGAGTCAACATTTTTCACACCGATTAACACACACACACACAAATACGCAACCATATTCTACATGAATCACCTTGACCGAAGTGACATGACTTGTTTTGGCATTGATTAACAAACTATAACAAATAGTTTTGCTTTGTTCCATTGTACTAGTTACACGTGGATTGATTTAATTCGTTTATATGTATGCTCTGAAGAAATGGCTTACATTGAGTCATGTAAAGTAAGAAAAGTTGTAAACTGTTTTACTTATTGAGTACACTACAAATAACATTATTATTATTATTATCATTAACAATCCACCAAATACTGCAGGTGGATAGAACACAGTGACAAAAATCACCAAAACCATATCACTAGGGAAGTTCTAACATGGAATCTTCAAGACCAAAGTAAAAGCGGAGTATGAAACATGGTACACCAGGAATTGGAGGCAGGTGTCAAAAGAATCAGCAGCATTTGGCGAGTAATATCGAAAGGAGAGATGAATACAGAGTAGTTTGAAGATTCCTAAACAACGGCCCATGCTTCGTGTGTGGGTAGTAATAGGCTTAATTAAGCAATATATATATCAATTGAGTAATATGACTTAGAAGGTTATCACTTGAATAAAAGTCAATAATTTTTTCAAAGTATTCTCTAAACATAGAATAACTAATTAGCTGGATATTTCGAGACGGCATTTTTATCACGTTACATTATCAGATGAAACAATATACAATGATGCAATTTTCTATTCCACAGATTTAAAGAACATAAACTAGATATTTCAGTTAAACAATATTCATATATCGATATGACACTAAAGGAATTCATTATTCAGTCGGTCAGCTACAACGTAGAACTTCTTACGTATGTACATCGCTTCTATCTAGTTGCCATACCACATTAGCACAGAGAGATAGAATTGTCAGATCACATCCAATAGTGGTAGAGAGAGTAGAAGTAATGCAGATGAATAGGGATAGAAGAAATTATTCAAGAAGCATGATTCAGAGAAATAAATTTAGGGAGAGAAAGGTAAAGGTGATAAGAAATTCAGAAAATTAGAATTTCATAGAACACAAACAATGGATGCACCTACGCCGCTGCAAACGATTTTGAGCCATGACATTGCAGTTCTCTAATTATTCGTTACTATTATCTCACAGACCCCAACCAGGTAGTCAACATCTACCAACATTGCTCAATCCACTTGTTGTCTGTGACTTTATGGATTTATGCCCATGTTTTGATCTGATCGCCCCAAACTTACTTCCAGCCTACACCCTGACACCACCGACGAAAACACAAACACAACAAATGACACGTACTATACAACAACTCATGAACATGTCAATTTTCAATTAATTCTCACTTACCTTCATATTGATTTTTAAATAACCCGGAGATATTTCATCAAATCTACAACTATGATTATCACCGGATGAGGATGATGATGATTGTTCAAATAATTTTTCACAAACAAAAAAATGTTGAAATTGATTGACAGTAGAATGAACATTATTATCATTATTATTGTTATTTAAATTAGAATTTCTATTCATTGATGGCATAAATTCTTGTATATGTGCTGTATATAACAAATCAGCTGGTCTACCAACACGATATGCTGAAGGGCATAATACAATGCATCGACCAATCCAAGCATCTAATGGTAGAATAACACGTCTAGCTTCATCATATACAACTTCATCAAGATGCCAGAATTGTGGACATTTTGATGTGTCAGTGGTGGATGATGCTTGAGGCAGGTCATATGGACGTAGAAATAAACCACCTTCTAGCCAAGCTAAACCACTAAAACATGGAAACAGAAAAAAAGTTATTGATTGATTGAGTTATCGATCTATACCAGGAGATTTTCACCAATTTTATCATATAGGTTGTACACTAGAATAGGTAACGAAATGTAGTAGCAAGTAAAAGTTAAATATGACTGATTATGGAATATGGATAGAAAAACACTCAGCATATTAATGATTTAATAATATGTGATTTCTATATTACTATTAATTTCTACTATGAACTCATTGAGTGTGTGTATGAACTGTTTACAATCGTATTGTATATATAGCACTGTCCAACTCCTACAAATGCTCTAGTACAGCCGAGAATGAGGAGGGTCCACCCCATCTCTCAAAACGTTCTCATGAGTATATAATCACTGTCAAAGAAGTCAAATTCACTGCTTTTTCGTAGCAACGACCTAACGCTTTAATTAGATTGACTGAAACGATGGATCCATCTGGGGTAGTTAGAAAACTAACATTCCAAATCACATGGGCTCCAGGATTTTGAAGTACGAACTTAATGTTGGTCATCATCTATATGACCAATGTTAATGTATTGTATATGGTGATTGACAATGCAGCCATTCATTAGTATAAAACCTATCGCTAACCGATAATGTTGGCTAAAACAGCGATTAGTTATAAAGTATTCAAACGTAAAACCATAGCATCCTCTAGATCCAGGGCTACTAGGTAGAAAACCAATGTTTAGAAAATCAACTGTTGATGAATTAACTCAACTAATAATGCCCGTCCCAGGTCCAGATCAAGGAGAGTTGGGTATAACGTTAGCGACCCCATCCAGTAGAAATCCAACTCGCTAAATAAAACGCCAATCGGAAAAAAAATAATTCGCTGGTCGGCGGCCTATGCTCTTTTAGGGGTAATAGGCGTAAGTAAGTAATGTTGTTTCTTTTTGTATACACAAACTTAATTACAGATATTCGATGGCTTATAGAGCTTCGAGGAATTTTAGAACGGGACTTCATTATTTATTTAGTCACTTTGAAAGACTTCAGTTTATCAACTAGATGTCTTGTCTTGTATCGAGGCGATATCTCGAGATCCAGTTGACTTTAGACAGTCGGCGGCAATATAAAAAAAGGGTACCTATCGACTTTGATTGTGCTTAAAGAACATGTTGTTTCTTGCAAAAAACAATCAATTCAACTGAAAGATGTTGTTCTAGTTAATACAGTTTTTTTTTAAGTCTCAGGTTGATTGTCTGTGTAACATGAAAAGTTTCTTGTTTACTGTACTGTACTGATTTCTTTTACACAAGTCGAAATCAGTATACTAGTTTAACTGACTAAACAATGAGCATGCGCTATTTTTCGATTTCAGAGCAACCTTAGGTTTCGTGTTAGTTAAAAGTCACTCGTAGGATGTATGTGTTTTTTCCAGATTACAAATACACCTTCTTGATGATGAGCGTTAATTAGCGCGAGGTCTAGTTCAAGAAAGATTTCTTGTCGACCGACGATTCGTAACTAGACTGCAGTATGTATGATATAGAATCAGAAAAAAATTCAGTAGTATCGGAATTAAAACAAAAAAAAAACAATCCTAACGAATAATGAATAACACTCTTCTCACCTAACATCTTTCCACAAACGATAAATTCGAACAATAATACGATCATAGGCACATTTCACTGGGGATTGAAGTGATTGATCTAAGAGTTGTTTAATATCCATTGATACAGTGGTTGTTGATTTTAATGATCTTTTCGATATATCCTGTGAAATATTCAGATGATTTAACCAGAAACGATTGACAAATGCATAATCATCTGTACGTATTTGACAAATTCCATCAGGACTACCTAATGTCCAAAATTCATGTTCACCTTTGACTAAGGTATCTTGTAAATCAAATACAGCATCAATATCATTTATATTCATTGCTGCTGACAGAGAACGAGGATACTCCTTTTTGTTTTTTTAATCAGAAAAAAAAGAATAATTGGAATACGATAATGATATTGATCTCATTATGATAGGATATACATAAACAAATGAATTGAATTGTTAGTTAGTCAGGCTATCAATTATATTTAAGCCGAAAAAAAAAATTATACAGACCACATAAAGTTGGTAATGAATGGATACGATTGGGCAGTGTAGAACTTGGTAAATCATGCGTGTACATCAATTCACATTCGATATAACACAATATGTGCCAACCAAATCATTCTGGATGGAGATGCCTTGAAGGATTTAAACACCTTACAAATATCTGGGCAGCATCATCGACAATCACGGTGGAGCTGATGCAGATGTGTAGGCGTGGATCGGCAAAGCAACGTCTGCATTTCTACAACTGAACAACATCTGGAACTCAAAACAACTTTCAATCAACACTTAAGTCAGAATTTTCAATACAAATGTCAAGACAGTTCTACTGTATGGGGCAAAAACTTGAAGAACTGCGGAAACCATCATCCAGAAGATCCAAGTATTAACAGTTGTCTGTACAAAATACTTCGGATTCGTTGGTCAGACACCATCAACAACAACCTACTATGAGAGAGAACAAACCAGATTCCAGCATAGGAAATGGATAGGACACACAGCGAAAGCATCCAACTGCGTCACCAGACAAGCCCTTACATGGAACCCTCCATGTAAGAGGAAAAGAGGAAGGTCAAGGAACACATTACGCCGAGAACTAGAGAAAGACATAAAGGAAACGAACAAAAATTGGACAAAACTGGAAAAGGAAGCCCAAGACAGAGTTGGTTGGAGAAAACTGGTCGGCTGCCTATGCTCATTTGAGAGTAACAGGCGTAAGTAGGTAGTTATTTATTGCTTTATCCGAAACATTTACTATTTAATAATAGATAAAATATCACTTAGCACAAGTATATAACAAAATAAATTATACGTGATATTAAGAATGCGGATTTGGAAGGTGCAGCAAGGAAGTGATTATGACCAATTTGGTCACGTGTGTAGTTACGAGTATGAGGGTAGAAGTTACTAACCGACTGACCATAAAGTAAGTATTTCTTGAGGAACTGAAAAAAGAAATTGGATTAGTGTTGGTCTTAGCGACCGGACAGCGTGCTCGCAGAGCCCAATGCACAACTGCTTGAGACCGGTCATGCACAGTCTTTTTACGGGAATTTTCTAATGTGGTGGCTCCGCTATTCAAAAAACCTTACCGGTGGAGATGGAAATCGACGGGATAAGGTGAGGTGTAACATTTTTAGAGTCGAACTTTCTAACCCCTTCCTACCTTCCTTATGAGAAGGCAGCATCGCTACAGATGCTGGTTGTCCGAGGAAACCATTTTACTGCTGTCACACCTCTATACAGTTAGCAGTACGACTTCGCTCTCAGACCTTCAGTTGTTGCTTTTAGTCTTACTGTTCTCCAATCAACCTGCCAGGCATGACAGGACCTACAGGAACATATGTTTCAGCCAATATAGATCGGTTGGATCATCCCAATTAAGGAATAATAAAATGGAAAAAAACTAATAATTGATCTAAACAAACAATTTGATATTTTTAAAAAAATATACACAAATAAACGTACTTTTGTTAAATTATCTAATTTTAAACAAACTGGACATATATAAGGCGCGTCAACTTCTCGATCATCTTCACCTTTTCCATCTATGTCAACTGTGTTATTACTAACAACACCACCGCCGCCAACAGCTTGTGCAGCAATCAATGCTGTTTGACATAAACAAACTAAATTTGAATTCAAACCATTGGATGATGAATCATTACGAATTGCTAGACTAAGTGCCCACCATAAACATGGTAAATGTTGCCAAGATGCGCATAAATCACATTGAACCATAACATGACCACCTTCAACACGAAAACCACACAAACAACGAATCACTTCAGCACCACGTTCCAGTGCACGACGATCAGTCTAAAGAGTAATGCGGTGAAAAAAACGAGAAAAATACTAATTTAAATTATGAACATATGCATAAAACAGTCGATTTTGTGATGAACAACACTTATGAAACAATCAAATCAAGAAAACTCTTCAGAAACAATACACATCTTAGGATAATTGGAGTGCGGCTAGAAGTGAAATTCAGAATGTGCATTCCTTCCCAATTTTAAGTTAAGCCGGTCAAATAAACCTGCATTCTAGAAATCACATCCTCACTAGAAGTCAAGTATTATACGCATGAAATGACTAAGCACATAAGTGACCAAGCTACCAATTCCAGAGAGGCACCAGCTTATGTAACTGATCTGCTTTTTTACACTGGTATTTGAGTTACCTAACATCGTTGACACTGACAATGGTTATATCGAGATGAGACAATTCTTACAAGAAGCACACATATACCACCAAGAGCTAATCGAAAGTTCATTCTTAATAGCAAAACAGCAAGTTAATTACAAATTTTACTAATAATGATGTAACTGAGCACATGTTTGACTAACACACACACACACACAGCTGCTGCTGCTGCTGCTAGGCAATATCACACACAATACACACACCTTCTAATGAGTACAGAATACACTTAACAAAACAACATTAAACTGAGCCGGAATATAAACAGAACAATATATAATTAATTGAAATTAAATTACAATAAAAAATACAATCACAATTTACCTTTTTCTTAGAACTGTTATTTTGTGATTTCATTATACATGGTATCAATGATTTGGTCATTGTCATTGGTATTTGATTTTCTAATTTTAAACTTTCTACCAAATTAGTCTATCACGAATGGAAGAACAAAATAAAACGAAACAAAAATGCACAGTTAATAAAGTGACATAAGAGAAAAAAACATAAAATACACACACACACACACACACAAACGGTCAGTCAATCAGTCAGTCAACAACAACAACAACAACATAGAACTTCAAACGTACGTATATCAGTTCAAGTTACCACACTATATTGACACAGAGATAGGATTGTCGATTCAAATCCCATAGTAGTAGAGAGAGTAGGAGAATTAACAGTAACGGAGAAGATTGAGGGTTCGATGATATTATTTAAGAAGTATAATTCGGTAACATAACTTTGGAAAGAGGGAGAAAGAAATGATGAGGAATTCAGAAACTTTGAGAGAACAAAAAAATGGATGCACCTGCTCCATCGCAATCGGTTTTGAGCCATGTCATTCAAGGTCTCTAACCATCGATTACTAACATCTCAAGGACCACAACCAGGTAGTCGACACCTAGTAACATGACTCAATCGACTTGTCAGTGACTTCATGGATTTCTGCCATGTTTTGGTCTGACAGCCCCTAGCTTTCTTCCAACCTACTGCTACATCAACAAACATAGCTCGATGAGGCAGTCGGCGGTGGGGCATACGCAACACATGTCCCAACCACCTCAACTAATGAAGTTCCAATAATTCATCTATTGATCTCTCACCCTTAACTACGACTCCTTTTCCCAGGATACACGAGAAATGCTTCGGAGTAGAGTGAATAAAAACGTCCCAAATTTCCCTGTTATAAAAAACAATTTAGCTATCTATTTCTACTGTTTACTTTTAACAGAGGAAAAAGGATCATCTTAATGGCATTAGTTAAGCATTACACACTTACACACACACACAAACACATCGATTTACTTGAGAAAAATCATGATTTTGTACTATTAAGAACAAACAAACAAACAAACACGACAATAACATTGCTTAAAAAATGATGTCTGCTCCCTGATAAACCAATTAGAATCACTAAAAAAACCAGTGATTAGACGGTAAAAAAAATATGAAAATTTCTTAACTATATGAAATGCGCTTGCATTTGGTTATCCAACTGTCAGTTAGTATACATGCAGTGTAGAAACTGTCACATTGGTTCGGAGTTTCCACAACCGACTAAAACACAGAGTAATTAATCTGTTTAGTCAATTGCAAGAGGAACAGACTGAGCAACAACGTACTGTGGGAGAAAACAAATCAGATTCCAGTGGAGGAGGAAATCAGGAAGAAGCGGTGGAAGTGGATAGGACACACACTACGAAAAGCACCTAACTGCGTAACAAGAAAAGCCATCACTTGGAACCCTCAAGGCAAAAGGAAAAGAGGAAGGCCAAGGAATACATTACGCCGAGAAATCGAGAAAGAAATGAGGAGAATGAACAAAAATTGGGCAGAAGTGGGAAGGAAAGCTCAGGATAGAGTGGGTTGGAGAAAACTGGTGGGCGGCCTATGCTCCATTGGGGGTAACAGGCGTATGTAAGTCAAGACTAGGCATCGAACGCATGATTTGGAAAGAAAAATTTATAAAGTAACTTAAAACTACAGGATATGATGGAAGATAAGCAGTGAATGCACTTGTGGCATCATTAACGATTTCAAACAATATCATCCAAAGAATGGAAGAATTTGTCGAATTAATGATTGTATGAATAACTATGAAAGTGATACAGTTTTCTTTAAAACATTCAATTTCGGTTATAGAAAAATGTCTGTTACTTCGAAATGACTGATACATGAAAGAGAAAGCTTTCAAATGATATACATGAACAGAATAATATTTTGCGAAGATATCAAACACTTGATTAAACAAAATGTAGTGTGAAATTCTTGTTTACAACTGACTATAATACTTACAGGTAGTTAGTAACCACTGCTTTTCTCGCTCGTGTCTTATTGGTTGAATAAATTATCAACAAATTGGCTACGTTGTTATTGGTTGCATAGTCAACCAATTAGGAAGTCGTAATTTTTCAGTTGGACTGGTTTAGTTTTGACTGTTGTTGTCTTATCACCTTGAATGTGAGCTTCAATTTAATTAATTACGATTTATGGTAGAAACATAGTTAGGTGAATCCACTCTTAGTGTTTTCTCAAATTCTAATCTTCTGAATTCCTCATCGTCTTTATCTATCGATTTCTAAAGTAATCCCACTGAACCATAATTCTTGAATAATATCTTCGACCCCTAATATTCCCTATCACCACTAATACTTCTATTATCTCCACCGCTATGGGATTTGAACTGTGCTAATGTGGTATGGTAACCTGAACTGATGAACGCACGAACGAAGTTCTACGTTGTAACTGACTAACTACATATTAAAGATTCCGATTGTGAAAATTAGAACACAGATATAAGCGAACAATTAGATCGTCATCAGGCTGTTTACTCTAATATACATGAATATTTATATGAAAATATTAAACCCCAATTGAAGGCAATTTGAGTCAATAATTACAATGAAATGAAATAGATTAGATCACTAATAATAATTAGCAAAAAGAATATGCATCTGGCTGATAGTGATCATAATACATAGATAAATCTGAGTCATTTCGAGTGATCTACGTATACCTCCATCATTTCCCGAAGGAGTTTGACTACGTCGCTTACATATAGCAAAAGCCATAGGAATTCGTACATTCAACCCCAATTTATGTGTTCAGAAGAAATTCGTGACACTACTATTGTGGTGCGCGCTACTTATAAGTAGTATATGACGCGAGTAAAAACGTAATGTCTAGTAGCAGAAGATGGGGGAAGATCAAGAAAGGAAGAGTTAGAACACAATGGAATTTGTATGAAACGCATGAATAGTGACAATGGATTGATGTTTTGCAACAGGAACAGTCCAGTTCGATATGATGAACTGATATTTTGCAAATTAACAATTTACGATATGGTTTTCCTATTTTACTGAGTAACTCTGTAATTTTCGTTAAATACAATTCGGTTGTCCTCACCTGTGTTCTCCTTCACTACACTATCTCTTCCGGGGTCGGATATAACTTAACAAACGTTGTAAATTGTTTTTGGTTTAAATTTTATTTTGTTATTAATAGCATTATTTTCCCATTCTGTATGTGTTGGTAATTTTCTGCCTCTTCCCGTTTATATTCTTTACTACATACACAGTTCTTATTACGTAATGGTTTTAATGTTTTGTAATGATTAATCCAAGTCTATTTATCCACGTTTGACCTAATAATACTTCCAATGTTTAACTATGTCGACTATAACTTTTGTTATCGTATTTTATTTTTCTTACCACTACTATCAGTACACCTGTCTTCTTCTACTATCAACTTGTACTTATGCGTGTAGTGAAGTTATAGACTTCGGGTGAGTTATTCAGGCGGATGTCAATCACTACTTTCGAGAGAATCTGACACCATTATAAAAAACGTGAATCTTGTCAATTGAAGTTTGATTTTTCTTAAATGATTTTCAAAATAGTTCCTTTTTTTTCATTTTTATAGAGGAAAGTCCTAAGAGAACTGTTTATCTGGTGATTTTTTTATTCCGATCCTTTATTTATTTATATATGCAATATACATGTATAAATATTTCCAAGTGACCAAGACACGTTTTCCGACTTAAATACATTTCGGGTGCGTTATTCAAGTGAATTGCCCAACCGCTAACTCCCGAGTGAATCTGATATGTGAATAAAGGAAGAGGAATTCAATTCAGTAGTGAATCAGACACATTCAGATGCTTTTAAAGAAAATTTTGAAAGATTGAGAAGCACATCACCTGTATTGTTCTTTATATGCAAACAATCATTATTCTAGTTTTATATATACTACATCAATCAATGCCTAGTGATATGTATATATATGTATACAGTAATGGCGTCATAAGTGTACGTATACAGACAAATGCACCTGATACTTCCTCAATTTACAGAAACGATAGCTTTTTGTCATTACCAAAACGAACTTAGAGAGAGAGGGGGGGATGTAAAAACCAAACTTTTACAAGAAACAACAACAATCAAGGAAATTTGTTTTTTTAGCGACAACAATGAAAATCAATTGCCAAATTGTCACCATTATGACAATCATGATTCCCAAACACATAATAAAAAGAAACATCTATTACTTATCTAGTTGAATGGGAATTCTGATTTTTTTTTATGTAAACTGCACATGAGATTACAATTGACATTTAAGAACTAAAAAATATTTCATAGAAATTTTACACAAAAAACTAATTTAATGATCTCTCTCAACCATCAAAAGTCAGTCAGTCAGTCAGTAACAACGTAGAACTTCGTATATACGTATGTATATCAGTTCAAGTTACCACATACCACCACATTAGCATACAGAGAGAGATGCAACTGTCTATTACAATCACATAGTAGTAGAAGTATTGGCAGTGATCAAAAACATTACCGATCGAATATGTCATTCGAGATGCATACCCCGGAGTAATCAATTAAAATAAGAGAAAAAACGATCATGAGTAATTCAGAAGATTAAGGATTCGAGAGGACATAAAAAAATGGATGTATCTGCGTCATTGCAAACGACTTTCAGCGATGTGATTAAAGATGTCTAAACCATCGATTACTAACATCAAGCGCACCTCAATCCAATTGTTAATGACTTTATGGCTTTGTGCAACCATCAAAAACCTATTTTAAACACATACAGGAGGACAAGACGGTGTAGGAAAAGGAGTACAAAAGAGAAACAATGTAAAAAAAACTTACACGATGTTTCATATAGACACTTTTCAATTTCATTAAACGTCGACCAAACCAACTACGACGTCCAGTAAATGCTTCCCATACAGTGAATAGATTATCCATAGCTATATCTAATGCACATAAACCTTCAATAATATTTTCAGCATTTAAAACAATGTAAAAATGGTTAGTAGCCTCTGTTTCAGTTAATTCCATATTCAAATGTGACAATGTAGAATGTTTGTTATCATCTCCTAGTAATGATTGCTGTTGATTCATTGAATCTGACACAAATCGTGATGCAATACTAGCTAGACATAGTGAAGGAAATTCAACATGATAAATTTTATGGTCATCGTGATCATGATCATCATGATCAGGATCACCAACATGATTATTATCGACTGATGCTGCTGCTGTTGTTGTTGTTACTGTTGTTGCACTGTAGTTGGATAAATTGCCAATTGGAGAAAATAAACGATTCGTGAAATCCGATGTGAATTTAACATTTAAACCAGAACCAGATAAATGAGAAGATAATGTGAAACGATAAAATTCCGGATATCTGTGCAACACAAAATTAAATAAGACAAAACAAAAATAAAGAAGCGATCATATGAAATAATGTGGAAAGTATACAATTTAAAACTTTTGTAAATTTATTCACATATAAAAGAATTGTTAATCCGACTTAGATGTCCTCGAGATTGAAAAAGGCTTAAAATATCTATTTGAATCAATGTTCAATGCGAACTTCTAGGGAAGTGAACGGGTGGAACTTACGCTAACTGGATGATTATCTATTTGCTGCTTACTAAATTTAATATGTTTTCAGAAGCTTCGGGGAATGTCGAGGCCAGGTGTAAATCTATAAGTATTAGGAGCACAAACTAACCTCGGAAATACATCTTCATTGCATAGTTTGAACCTATTATCGACCACCCGAGGTTCAAGTTAGTAAAATTATGAAAAGCTATTGAGTGAGCAGCTACGGTCGGGTTATTGATGACAGGACCTCCATCGATTGCAAGCTTGTTATCCCGACCATAGCTGCTAATTTGATGCAGTGGTCGGGCTTTTCTATCGTAATGACCCAAAAATGCCAGGCAGGTAGATTGGAGAACGGTAAAACTAAAAGCAGCTACTCAAGGTCTGAGAGCGAAGTCGTACTGCTAACTGTATATAGTTGTGACAGCAGTAAGGTGTTTCCCTCGGACAACCAGAATCTGCAGCGATGCTGCCTTCTCTATTAAAATAGGTCGACCCTAAAAATATCACACCTCACCTTACCTCACGAATTTCTACCGCCGGCGGTAAGGCCTTTTAAACAAAAGTGGAGCAAACACTTTAAAAACTTCTTATAGAAAGGCAGTGTGTGACCAGCCTCAAGAAGTTGTCCCTTGGGCTCTGTGGTCACGCTCCCAGGAATCTGAGACCAACACTAATCTAACTTCATTTTCAGGTTCCTTAGGAAATACCCTAATACGATATGTTAAGCTGGTAAGTGACATCCGCCTTCATACCCGTAACAGCACAACAGATCAAATTGGTCACAATAAAATTCTTTCTACACCCCCTAACATCTATAACCATTGGGAACTGCTGCTGATTGAAGACAATGTATCACCCTAATAACCATCCATGCCTTACGAGTCAGTTGGAAATATTCTATCAATAAAATGAAAAAATATGAAATTACCTTATAATAAAACAAAATTAATAAATAAAAAGAAACTATAAAATAAATAATTAAATAAAGATTTACCTTTCAGGTGATGGTAAATAGACTATAGGTGCACAAAGACGATAATTTGGTTCAACTGGATCAGGTTCATTGAAAAATTTACAAAATAATTCATACAATGGACCAGTTAAACAACGATCTTTGAGAAATGAAATCTGATCCAAACTACGAAAAACAACAACAACAAAACAACATTAAAGTTACATATACAGTGAAATTTCATGAATTAGGTAGGTGTGGGTGAATAAAAAACAAACTGTTAAGAATGTTAATTAATATTCATTAAACAAAAACAGAATGCTGTCAAGGTTGTTCTCATGAATTCAGAACTATTTATAGGACGTCGACAAGACTGTTAAGGACCAAGAGAAAGTACTATATATATTCAGTCAGTCACGACGTACAACTTCGTACATGAGTACATAAGTTCAGGTTGACATACCTACATTCAACACGGAGACGCAACTGTCAGTTCAAATCCAAGAGTCATAGCGATAGTAGAAGTATTAGCAGTAATGGAGAAGATTAGGGAGCGAAGATATGATTCGAGAAGTATAATTCAGTGAAATAACTTTAGAAAGAGAAAGATAGAGCTTATGAGGAATTCAGCAGGTTAGAATTTGAGAGGACACAACGAATCAATGCATCTGCGCCATTTCAAACGATTTTCAGCCATGTCGTTCAAGGTCTCTAACCGTCAGTTACTTTTGTCTCCGATGGTTTGTTGATAATTAGTGGGCTATTGTTTGATCCTGTAATAAAATAAATTTTTGACTACTTGAAATCTTAGCTAGATAACTTTTGAAAAGCTAGAAACAGTGGATAGCTGTTTCGTCGTCGACAGGATCAACTCGTGAAAATAGTAAAATAAATTTTCATGAATGGACAGAGAGAGAGATTTCACAGTGAACAATACATGATACAGTGAAGTATATCACATTCAATATATATTCCAAATACAAAATTACCTGGATATGGCAGAATCTTTGAAAAAACTATTACGACTTGGTAAACGACAGAGCTGTTGATTTATTGATGTCGATGAGGTATCAAAGCCTAGAAGAGATGAATTAGGCATACTTTTAACAGTGGTCAAATGATCAACATCTGACTTTAGTTTCATGTTTGATTGTATTTGGTTCTTTTTGTTTGTCGATTTAACCGATAATGATTTTGATGATTTAATTGATATTGTTAAAGAATTACTGTTTACAACATCTGATTTTGATTGGAATGTGGTCATATTATTAGTCTACAAATAAAATAAAATAAATAAGTAGATAACAATTTTTTGTTATACAATGGAAAAAAGAAAAAAAACCATTGAAGTGATTGCCATTAATTGAGGCCAAAGTCGAGTAGAGCAACGAGCTTCAACGAAATCGCTGCGACGAATTACTAGTTAATTAATTTCGAATGAATCAGAAAACAACTTTAGTGGAATGGATATTTTATGGAAAAGAAAGCAATAATAACACCAAGGATATAAACAGATTTTATATACAGTTTTCCCACGTTATTCTGACTGTAAATCGAAAAAGAAGCAGAGACAATATGAACTGGTTCTTTAGGGTATAGATTATTTACTGCCTACATCCAACAGGGTTGAATTCTACTGGCCACGTCTTCTCACTAGAACTTCGAACACCTCAATGAAACTAGCCACTAGTGAGCACATTTTGTTATTTTGCATTAGAGTACATTTTTTTAAAAATTTAAAAAATTCGAATACGCTTTAAACTAACTATTACAGAACACTTTCAATATTGTATTTATTAGAAATTTAATTATACTACTGACCTGTTGATTTTCACTGCTCTGTTCATCAGACAATTGATGATGAGTAGTTTCATTAACCACTTGTGATGATAATTCTTGTGGGTTTATAGTGGAAGATTCCGATAACGGTGATTCCTTGACTGATTGGAGAGGACGACTGGATAGAAATAATAATAATAATAATAATCAAAGCTGAAATATTAGGGTGGGACAGATATTTTTTTTACAGTCAATGAAAAATTAACTAATTATGTACATCATATTAGGAGAGTAAAAAAAACAAATGGATCCAATTAAACTTCATCGTAACATGAAAATTTTGTAAATTGATTACAGCTAGTTCATCATAAGAAATGCTTTTCAGCATAGTATAGTCTTCAGCGTTATTGGGTATCACATTAGAAAGAAGTATTTTTATTCATGAATCAGTCGATTTGTAAAGTAGAATTCGGACCTATATCACCAACAACAACATTGCAATGTAATCGATCGATCAAATTAGTATAGAAATGAGCTTGTGTAAACGATCGGGCAGTTCTGTGTTTCAAAAAAACTGTCAACTAAGAAACAACAAATATTTACAAAGTTTATGCTTTATTAAAAAAATATTGTTAATTGTTTCTTAATTAAACACACTTTGTGACCAGATTTCGTACTGCACTGAACAATTGAATAAATATGACTGAAGCATTATAAATATATATGTCAGTTTCGCAAAACGAACAGCTCAATAGTAGCGTCTCAAACTGTTAAAGTTAAATAACTCTAAATCAACTCTCACAAATACACCTCGCACTGACGAGTAGTAATTAAGTCTCCAAGAAGCATGCAACATATATGAGTTTTAAAACAGTCAGTGTTTTAGGTACATAAACATTTGCTAGGTATAAACCGTCTAAAAAATCACATATTTCGAGGGATTGGCAAACAAACTAGATGACAGTATAAACCACGACGTTAAAAGAAAAACAGTATGGATAATTGTTTCCCCACGATCTAAGACACTAGATTTCTCAACAGTCAATCAGTTACAACGTAGAACTTGTGCGTACGTACATAAGAACAGGTTGCCATATCACATTAGAACAGAAATGTAATTGTCAATTCAAATCCCATAGCGATAGACATAGTAGAAGTATTAACGTTAGTGGAGAAGATTAGGGTTTGACGACAATATTCAAGAAGTAGAATCTAGTGAAATAAACTTAAAAAGAGATAGATAAATGTCATGAGGAATTCAGAAGAGATTCGAATTTAAGAGGACACAAAGAATGGATGCACCTATTCTTTAAGAAGTGTAAATCACAACAAATCAAAATAATCATTCGTAAAAAGATAAAATATTACTCTTCTAGTTTTTAGTTAAATACTATAATAGAGAAAAGAAGCTAAAAAAACAAACCCAGTGACAATAATTCACTGAAATATTCAAATCAACTGACAACGTCTAAACAATAACTATTCAAAACAAAACAACCGACTTACTTTAAAATAGGCTCTAACCCGTGTTCTGAATCCACAATACCACCTGTAATGATAACAATGTGAAAATGTGTTGAATATACTAACATTTTTAGTTTACGAAAAAAAAGGAACAAGTAAATCAATCAATCTTGTGATTGTATCTTACATGCTTAAACTTATCGATTATTATGTTAATCTTTTTACTAATTCTAAACCGCTCTAGAATTTGCCCGGACAATAATTATCTTGCTCTATAGAATACAGCAGTGAGTGGTTGGTTAATAATAACAAAGTAAATAAAAGCCAATAAATGTCATAGTACAGTTGATAGTGAGGAGAGTCTGCTCTTTTTCTCCAAGTACTATCAGACGATAACACATACATATACTACATTTTTTGTGGCCATATTGTTTAAGTGGATGAAAGAATGAAAAGTGAACGTTCGGGTTGGTTGGTAAAGAGAATTTATTTACCGGAGTTAGAAAACCCTAATTCTAAACCAATGGTGATCATGGGCCACAGGATATTGAGGGAACAACTGGTGTACGGACAAATTGTTATTGGTCACTGTCTGCTGTGAGATCGCATCATTTAACACTGCTGCACTGCTTTGTGGATTAGATCTGTGTGTTAAAAACTCGGGGAATGGTTCTCCAAGAAAACCAGCTAATTCGATTCAGGCATTCAAGCAGTATTTTAGCCAACACACACAAATCATTGAATTTGTGTGGAGCACATAAACTCTGATACTTCACTATACCCACGTTGACGTTTTAATAAAAAACAATTAGTACAAGTCCAATCATTTATTCCTATAAATCTATCTGATTACATAACATACCCGACAACTTCAGTTAAATTTAAGAAATACTGTTAAATAATAAAGGTATGTAATCTCTATTTACACGAGAATCAAATAAACAATTCAAGTAACATAGGCCGAAAAAGTAACTCCTAATTTAATAGAACCTATTGATCTGTAAGGATTCAATTTATTTGTGACTGTATAATTGTTGCACCTAGAAACAATCAACATTATAATTTTAACTAAGTCATAACATAATGTTTCCCGAGTAAATGACTATGAAGTCAGTTAGTCAATTAATCACTCAGTAATACACAAAGCTGTTACGGATATGCGGGTGTCACTTCCAAAATGTCCACACCGTGGAAGGGTACTACTTCTTGAGGAACCTGTAAAGGAAGATAGAATAGCGTTGGTCTTAGCGACCTGGGAGCTTTACAGCTGAGCCCACACATAGTCGACATCAGCCACTAAGTATAAGGTTCAAGCGCTACTCTACTTGGTTTAATTTGGCCAATGGAGTAAGTATCATTAGCACTCATACTCATTTCACGGCGACCACGTAAAAAAACAGTAAACAGAAATGCGATAAAATGAAATGACGTATAAATAAACATACGTTCAGTAGTGGATAATTGAACAGGTTTCGGTTTCGGAGGACGACCACGACCTCGAGATACAGCTGGTGGTTTACTGGCTTGTATTTCTAATGTTCCAATTTGTTGTTGTTGCTCAACCCAATGGATACTTGTACTAGGAGAGGGTACACTTCCAGTCTCCGATCGAACATTCATAGTTTCCGGTGTTTCTGCTGTAGAATTGACAGATACACTTGTATTATTTAGGTTTGCAGCAACTAAACTAGCAAACCCAATTGCTGCCGCCTTGAAAACAAAGGAAGAAAAAACAGTAAGACGAAAATCTATTTTAGTGACAGCTAAATAACAAGAAACGCCTATTCCTAATATAAATTGTAAAAGTACTTTGCACTTAAAAGGTGCATAGCATATCCTTCTACAGTAGACAATCCCAGATAACAGTCTTGTTCAACGAATCGAAGGCGATTTTAAGGTTAGGAAACGCAAAGATTGTTGGTCTGAATTAAGTCTGGTGGTGTTCTAACATATGATGAAGGATGAAGATATGATCAATACATCCTCGACCAGAACGAAATCCAGACTGCTCATAGCGAGTAAATCTTTCCCGGGTTTTGAATAATTTGAGTAGTATGATGGAAGCCGATAGCTTCGATACAATCTGAAGTAGACTCATAGTTGTTACATAAGTGACGTGAGGCCTTTTTAAAGACAGAGACAAGTTGGAACACTGTGATTGCCAAACGTTTCTCACCAACTTAGTCAGTCCCATAACCACAAAGTCGCCACCATCTATAAGAAGAGCCGGATGTAAATCACCTGGGCTTGGCGATTTGTGGCGCTTCAGAAGTTCGAGCTCCTTGGTTATATAGATTAAGTAAATTAGTGAATTGAAACGTTATTAGAAATGGTTCGGAATGGAATCTCAGTGGAATATCAATTGTCATTTTCTTTTATAGCCTTCGTAAAACTGAGATAAACTTCTTTGGTTTTAAAGATTCTTTGTAGTATTTTTCTTAACCGAAGTATTGCTCTTAGTGTTCAATTGTACTTAATAATTTTATTGTTTTTTGACAACAGTCGCGCTCTTTGATTTTTCATTCTAGAATTTCATTTGCTTACTGCTTAGCGCACTTTTATCATGGTGGCCAGTTGTACTGTGTTGTATTGTGTTTCAGTAAATAAATACATGAATTACCCACTAGGCTAATGATTATTAGGTAGACATAGAATTTTACTGTACCACCATTGTTGCTGGTAAGTAATGGTGTCCAAAACGCAAACGACTAACATACGATGATGACAACTATGAGCAGTCTCTCACAGAAATTGATTATTTGATGAAAAATCTAAAGTAGAATATCTTAGTAATGAGTGATTACTCTCGACAAGTTATTACTTTGTTAACTGAACACACACACACACACACATGCGTATCGTTGTATGCTATCATTGGGCAGGCTCTTGGTTTTATGTTATCATTGAACAGGTTTCATGTAAGCTGGCTTTTAATAATTAGATCACTCTTAAAATCAACCTTTTAAAAAAAACAATCAATTTGCGAGTCAATTAACGAACACGATATTTTGAATTACCTCACGTTTCGGTCGATCACAAGTTACTGAAACTGAGTCGGAAGAAGATAGGCAAGGAGAAATCGCTACATTCGTATTGCTTTCCAGTTTTCCTAAACGTCTAGATGGACGACCTCGGCCACGTCTTCTATGCTCAGGTTTTGTTAAAGAGTTATCAGCATTCCCAAGATGAGAAAAGCCAGTAGCTGAAGAACTATCTGTCAAATCTATAACAGTTACAGACAAGTTAGAGTCATCAAAGTTTGATTTTGATATATCTGTAAGATCATCTCTATGCAGAGCAGAGGAAGCATGGTTTTCAGCAGTGTTAGAAGTATCTATCCCCACCTTGTAGCGCTTACGAGGGGGAAGAGCAGAGTTACGTGAGGTAGCGGAACGCCTTACGTTGCTCGGAACTGATGAGGCGGGAGTGGGCAAAATATCACAGGAATCGGAACCTTCGGTGTCCTGGAGACGAACAGACAGTTCCACGACGTCGGGATTTTCCAGCATCGGATCTGTGTTTGTGGTGATCCCATGTTGAGTTTGTCGTTTACGTTTTGCCGAAGGAACTGTAAGAGATGAGGCGGATGAAGGGGTATCAAGATGTTGTCGAGAATCGGCAGTAGCACAGTGGTGAGATACTGAATCATTAGGTACATAATGTTCCGCGTGGGAACCTGAATCAGAAGGATAGGACTTAAATAATCGATTAGCTTTGAACTTCTTTTTACGACGACCCAGTGATTTCTGAGGACCGATATTTCGCTTAACTATAGCCGGCGATTGATATGCGCTGTCATCAAGTTGATCAGACGAAACATGATGCGATTCGTTTGGTTCTTGTTCTACAGAGATTGGAGAATACCTGGTGACACAGGCAGATTCCATTTCGCTTACATCTGGGTTGACTGAAAAAGAACACTGAAATTGAAAAAAAATAGCATAGTTTTGAAGATAGTCTTATCAAATAAATAAGTGAAAATTTAATTAAAAGTATGACAGTAAAGCAGTGAGTGAGTTTACAACAGCCAAGTATATATATATATATATATATATATATATATATATATATATATATATATATATAACCAATAACATTCAGGCAACATATTTCTTCTTGTACGATGGGACAGTTTTTAAAGAATAGTCTAGCTTGCTCGCTGCCTCGGCAACGTTGATCAGGCTGTTCCATCATCCACGGTTGGTGGAGACTGATCCAACTAACGAGGTGTAAGTTCACAAGGCGCTCAAACTTTTGAAGCGTCACAAATTGCCAAGCTCAGATGACTTACATCAAGCCTTTTTTAAGGATGATGGTGACATTCTGGTTATGGGACTGACTAATAAACATGATATTAGTTAGAAAACCTCTGCAAACTATGAAGTAATGGACAGTTACTTCGCCTGTGTCACTTGACGCTTCAGAAGTGTACAATCAGGAAGCCACCAAAGATTTGACATAGGGAATTTCAGGTTTTGCTATAGGTGCCTAACTTTTAAACCATTCAGCCGATGGTTTCTTAACACGAATCAATTTATGAACTTATGCAACTATAATCCATGGCATTTGTTACAAGCCTAATAAGTTTGAACTCCATCAGCAATAGATTCTCACTAAGATTTCATTGGAATTATGTAGTGACCCAACTTAAACACATAGTGAAGACTTGGAAGCATTAGATTGTCGTTCTGTTCTAGTGTGGAACTCCTTGAAAGTGTGTGCATTCACGGCTATAACAATCGCCATAACCGTATACTACAAGTATCATGTGTACGCTAGTGACTAGATCGAGGGTAAAGTTCAAGAGTTCTAGTGAGTTATGACAAAACCGTATCGCGTCTGAAGCAGTTACTCGCAGAATGCAATAAAAGATGGTCGCGCACTATTACTGATTAATTGAAGTTAGACATTACTCTGGATGAATATCAGCAAAGTGGTCTACGGCTCAGGCGTTTATGAGTAAGGACAGATTTAGGACTCGTCAGTTGGATGAACCACCATTCATCTCTACTTACAATGCTTATGGCTTAATGATTATATCACAGTAATCCGAATGAGATGCACATATGCCAAAGGGATTGGTCAATTACAGTCTTAAATATCAAAGAGAACATTCACACAACCAATCAAAATAAATTAATCTTCAATCCATCGCACAAGCCAGTGGTAGGCTATGTGGACTCATTAGTGAAACGAATAACACGATGAGCTAAAAGTACTGGGTTCGAATCCCAAAATGAACATCAACTCTAAAATGCAGGCACATTCAGCTGACGGGTCTTAAGCGTAGGACGAAACACGTCACGTGTATTCCACTGCTAGCCACTATCTATATTGTTTGTCAGTAATGGTCATAGAGAGAAATGCTCTCCTGTCAGCTTTGATATATACATATTCATGCATAACAAACAAACATTGAAAAATTGCTTACTTTCTGATCAGAATCGGGATAATTCAATCGAGATTCAATTTCATTAGACATACCAGTAGATGGTGGTTTATTGTTGTCGATTATCAGTAATTTATGATGAGTTGGTTTTTGTACTGAACTTATTACATTATCCGACGATACACTTGACGCCTCGGTACTACTACTAAGTCCAGAATAAGCAGCAACAGAAGAGGATTCACTAGGTTTCATATGACAGCTTGTCAATTCATAATTAGCATGTTCAGAAGCTAGAAATTAAAAAATAATAATAATCAGTCAATACCACGTACTCCAACGTTGTTTCCTATTGGTCGTCCTAACTGTCAATGTCACAGACTTCGATGCTGTTTCCTATTCGACCTAAATGTATAAATACGCATTATTTGTGACGTTTTATGACCCGGACCGGACCGGACGCGGATACCTAGTCCGGGATCCTGATTCTCTTATGCACTCGGACCTCGTACTTTCTGGATGATTATAGAATACAGATTCTACTTCATATCAAGTCTTCTTCTTTTATTCGATGGGGGGTTAGGACACTCGGATAAGAGTAGCATGTCGTGTCGCCAGATCCTAGATCCTCGCTCTCGTTTTCCGACTAAGGTAAACTCGTAATAGCTCAAGCATATCAAATTGACATGTTTACGTGCAATCGTAACATACGCTAATAGGACTCGTAGTGAAACACTGCAAATTAAAAAGTCAACAACAATTCTCCAATAACATAGACTACAAAACTGTTCACAGATGGTATAGTAATACAAAGCTTCTTTTGAATCCTGGGACATCTGAGTAAGCAATGCTGTTGTTAGGAAACGAGTACTTGGTAAGAATGACAAATCAATAGATGAAGTATTGACAGTTCATCAGTAGTGATTGTTGGGACATGTGTTACGTATGCCCAACGACCGACTACCTCGACGAGCAATGTTTTGCAGTGTAGAGGTAGGCTCAAAGAAAACTAGGAGCGATCAAACCAAAACATAGCACAAGCCCATGAAGTTGCTACAACCTCTACTAACATGAGATTTGAACTGAGAATTCTGCACTAATGTTGTATGACAACTTACATACGTACGAAGTTCTACGTTGTAGCTGGCTAACTGACTGTAAAGTTTATTAGGTTAATAGATAAAAACTCACCAGCAATTGTAGTCTGCATTGATGTAGTTTCAGAGCCTGCACCCGAATGATTAGCATGGCTGGGTACACTGCCACTAGTTTGACGAGTTCTACGAAGTTTAGGAGTTAGACCTTCTTCTTCTACAGAGGCTATGAGGTCAGTTACAACTGACAATGCCACCTCTGTTGGATGAAGTGAGGCAGAACCTCCTTTAGCTTCAATCTCTTTTAATTCCTGTTCCCGTTTGCGTTGTTCAGCCATTACAGCGTCCCAAGTGACAAGACCACGAAGTTCACGAGAAACACGAGATTTCCCTGAAAAGTCAAATGTAGGAGAATGTGAAATTTCTTGAAAATCGGTAAAACAATTATTATGATTTTATATGAATATACTACTAGTAAGTAGCTTACATTTTGTTGTGTATTTTTGTCATTCATTGAAAGTTAACAGCCGTTTTGTTGATGACTAGATGAAAAGTTTGTAACACTAAGACTACACTTAGCATGGGTTAGTGATTTCATAGAATCACAACAGATGTTTGAATTAGCAATAATTTTGTCAGCTAATCGACTGGTAGCAGTAATTAACATACACATATAAATACAATAATAAAAAACTACGTATTTTGGAAAAAAAAAAGTGCAAATTGTGAAAACGACAGGAAACAAACTTACCTTTAGAAGAATTTGACTTAGGCATTTGAATGACATGTTGAGTAGTTGTCGTCTGTAAATGTTCATTGTTCATTGGATTTGTCATAGTCATCGATCCAAATGCTGGACCCGATGTATTCGACTGTACCGACGATAAGAGTTTACGATGAAAACCATGGTGTTTTTTACCTCGACCTCGACGTTTTGTTAAATTAGGAAATAATGTACGTGTGACAGTATTATTACTACTATTATTATTATTTTCAACAAGTTTGATATTCAACTTAGAAGCAGAATCTTCCATAGCATTTGCAATAAACTCTGAATCTTGTCGACTGACATCATCAATTATCTTATTAGTAGTAGTAATAGTCACGGGAGGTTGTTGTTCATTAAAATGTGTCTCAGATGTTAATACTGTTCGATGATGATGATGAGGAGGAGGAGGAGGAGGATTTTGTACATTAGAAGAATTTATTGGATATAATGACTGTTTCATTGACTGATTATCCAATGTACTAACTGAATACTCTTGTTTATCTGATGTTAAATCTATGAGATGAATTGGTTTTTTGGATAAATGATCACTATCTGTCGGAGTTTGGAATGTAGTCGCCAACAGACGGCGCATATTCACCTTAAATAAAGAAATATAAACAATTGATTAATGTTAACACTGAAACAGATTATGATAAGCAAAGTTTGGATGTTGGATTTTCTTTAATTCATTCATCAAGTGTAAACATATAATTGTACTTGAATTTCAGCTATACGTTAAACTACTACTTACACTATCCATTGATTTAAGCCAAAGTAAAGAAGGTTTTGAACCTAGTACTCAGTGACTAAAAGTCGACCTTTCCTAAACACTAATCTATCGCTTCAAATGAAAAATATAAACTTGAACATTATATTATCGATTACTCTTACTTGCTGATAGATAAATTTAGTCAAAGTTGAAATCAAGAAATAAGTTTAGTTTAATCAATATTGGAAACCCTAGAAGTGCTGGACGATCGTTTCATCCTAGTATGGAATTCCTCTACAAGCAATAAATGGTTGCGTAAGATCATGGATTGATTGATCGACGTCAGGATATCAACACTATTGAATCCCGAGTTAGTAGTTTAGAGGTTAAACACATACGATCGCGAAACAGGTCCTGAGTGCCGGATTACAGATGAGCACTGTCGTCACTATGACGTAACAATAGGCTATCTAAGATCAGTTTGTGATTTCAACCGGGGAAAAATGCTACGATCTTCATTAATCTTCTGAAACCAATATAAATATTGACTTAAGGAAAAAACGAATGAGTAAATGAAAATGAAATAAATAATACTATATCGCTAGTGATTATGTCACCAAAACAATTTTTATTGACAGTTTTCTGTATTGAAGTAGTAAAATGGAATTAATTATTAGGGATGCACTTAATTCTACATCAATTTCGCTAATGTCTTGTTGCTTAACAGCGACAGTAATAGAAAAGACCATGAACCGATTGTTGAGTCAAGTTGGTCATTAACAACTACCTGGTTGGGGCTCGCGAGATGATAGTAATCGATGGTTAGAGATCTTGGATGACATGGCTCAAAACTGTTTGCAATGGCTCATGTACATCGACTCCTTATGTTCTCTCAAATCCTAATCTTATGAATTCCTCATCACCTTTATCTTTTTCTTTTTAAATCTGTTTCACTAGATTCTACTTCTTGAACCGTAAAATTTCCGATTACTGCTAATATTTCTACCACATTTACTATAATGGGACTTCAGTTGACAATTGCGTCTCTGTGTTCGAAATATTGCTTTGTTCAGTTGTTATAAAATTGTTGTGTTTTTTCAATGTAATGATACGCGCAATCTTCCTATGCATGAGTTCAATCGACTACACGAGTAAAAAGATTGGGAATGAGAAGAAATTCACTGACCGAATAAGTGCGTACGTATATTCATAAAATATATACGTATATCCCTTAGGAGATTGACCCATCAGTGGTGTGTCTTATTTCTTGAAAAATCAAGTGATTCCATGGCAAATCACGTGCACTTAACACCTAGTTGATTTCTGATCGGCTTAATGTATCAAAGTCTTTAGCACACAGGGAAAAATAAATATCGTACATACGGAAAGATATTAGGGAAAAACATAAGCGCCTGATAGATGAAGGTAATTTATCAAATGATCGAGGTTACTAACAAACTTACAACAAACCGATGTACCCGTGATTCTGGGAGTTGTTTAAGCCAAGGAGCACATAACCTAGATTTTAGCCCGGAATTGTCACCTTCAGAATCTGATGTCACAGGACTTTTCAACGGGTTCGGCAAAATAAGAGGTACCCATGATGCCGGAAGAACCGCTTGTTCAGTGGGAATGATGGAACTAGGAGAAGAAAGACCACCGCGACGAGCACCCCGACCTCTTCGTCCACCTCTGCGTGCTCCAATACCTCTACGGGATGGTGCTTCAGGTTGACGTGCGACTACCGTAGGAGATGCGGCAATCGGGATCGGTCGACGAGGCACAGGTTTCAGATCAATCACACACGTATCTATATCAAAAGATGTTTTAAAGTAGAAAAAAAATTATGAATTAGCAGGATCACAATAACAGATGCTGGTTAAGACAATATTCGTGAAACAACAACCATGTTTATAAAAAGGCAGATTACTAGTATGACTTTATGAATGAAGTTTTCACTAGACAAGTATAAGTTAGATAAGCTAAAAACCACAGAACAGTAACTGTCTTTATGTTAATCTCTCATTCTCTGAGGATCAACACTTGACAAACCGTTGTGTGTGTTTTCTGGGACCCGAATTGAAAGTCCTAATGAGACAATCACTGAATACAATTATCGTTTACTGACTTGCCTGTTTTTCCCACGCATCCGATCGTTAAATTAACAACAGATTTACAAAATCTGTTCAATCCACCGACTCTGGTGTGCAAATTTGGCGCGAAATCAAAACAGGCCTCTCTAATATCATATACATGTAAAGATTGTTATCATCGATCGCATGCATAAACAACTTGACTATTTTCAACAGCTCCACACACGATAGACGGATTCAAACATAGGTTCCTACTAATCTTGTGAAAAATACTTCGCACCGTCCATAGTATGAAGTATAATCAATCAAGATCGAGATTAACAGAACAAGCTACGGGCCAAACGTTGGGAAATTCGAATACTTCACTTCTCTCTGAAGTTTGCGCTGATTATGTTTTATTGTTCAGAAGAAGAACAATGAAAGCTCCACAACCAAAACACCCAAATCAGAGAACGAAACAACACCACAAGAATAAGGTACATATAACTTTCTAGCGAATCGAAGTGAAACAACTTAGTAGCGCTCAAAAATAAATATATGCATAAGTTTATTCAATCGACTGTCAAACGTGTGTTTTCATAGAATTAAACCGTTGTCACAAAATACATTTACGAAAGGCTAACTAGACAAATATCCGGATATAAATTATCAGAAGGAATATATAGCTATGAAATCATACACACACGATAACAGTTAAAAATTATGAAATTTACCCTTTAAATGAACAGCCAGTTCATCGATAGCTGCAATGACTGTTTCGTCTACAGCGGATGGTTTCTTTTTAGTTTGTTTTAATAATGCTTTTAGCTCACGTTTGTTAACTTTTCTTTGTGTATGTGATGCATTGTTGCAATCCACTGTGACTGAAATAGCATAAACAACTAACTATATACAAATTCAAGAACTGAGACTTTTTATATGTAAAAAAAAATCATAACGAATGAAACAAATGAAGAGAATCTATTAAAAACAATGTAATTCAACTACATAAATTCAACTTAGTAAGAGTTATCTGTTGTTTGTTCATTCCAAAAGCAATGTAATGATTGAAGTGAGTCAATAAGTCAGCAACCAACGTAGACCTTCGTACATATGTAAATCAGCTCGAGTTGACATATACCACATTGGCACAGAGATGCAATTGTCTATTCACATCGCTTGCTGGTAGAGGTAGTAGAAGTGTTGTGTGCCGATTTCGAGGTGTTCTTACGTTTCGTAATTAGCTCGTTCAGACAATCGTTACTAAATGACGTCTGACGGTTAATAAATCAGAAGATGAATTCGAAGTATCGTATACGTTTATTGTGGCACACCACAAATAAGGATAGCAGACCACAGACAGACCGGGCAGACACACTAGCGAGCGAATATGCGAATGGGCGAATGAATTAATAAGATTAAAATGTTCGTATATATACAAAAGAAAATGTCTGAGTCATCGTGGTATTTAAGAGATTAATATTAAAGCGAATAGGATGCATATGCGCGTAGGCGTTAAGCAATGCTCAGTCATACCAGCTCATACAAACCACAAAATAATAAAAGCCAATGGTACATATAAGTTGTTGCTACGCGAATGGCTTAGTTAAGTAAATTAATCGAAAGGGCTTAAGCAAATTAAATGTAAGCGGATGCAAAGAAATGTGGAGGCACTACAAAAGTATGAGAAGTAATCAAAAATATTAGGGTTATTCAAACAGTATAATCCAGTGAGATAAATTTGAGGAGGAAGATGAATGTCGTGAAGAATGTTAGAAGATTAGAATTTGAGAGAACATAGAAAATGGTAGCACCTGAGCTAATGAAAACGATGTTGAGCCGTGTCATTCAAAGTCTCTCACCATCGGCTAAGATTGTCTTGCGGACCCCAACCTAGTAGTCTACACCTACTAACATGGATCAGTTGAGCTGTCAGTAACTTCAGCGATTCATGCCGTGTTTTGGTCTGGCCGCCCTCAGGCTTGAGTGAGTGGTGTATAAGTATAAATCGTTTTCATAAGTTTTAATGTTGTTTTGGTTGTGCAGCTATGATTATTCCTATGAAGATTGTGCTAACGAGGCTGTTCAGAGAAACAATGAAAGCTCCACAACCAAAAAATTCAGCTCAGAGAACGAAAGTCCACCAGAATTGTAAGTCATAAGTGAATACAGTTTTCTCACTTCACATGGGTTAGAAAGAACTCCAGCCTTAAAAGCTTAATTGTTATTCATTGGTCAGTGAGTCATTTGGCAAACTGGTTACTAGTACTAACAGCAATACAAGAGAAATGATCAGTTGTCATACTAGAGAGCACAACTGCTCTTATGATAAAAAACTGATTACAATCCAAGCATCTGTTACTCTATTCACTGTTGTAAAACAGTATGTAATAGGATTTATTACTCTTCGTGTTACAGCATACACTTATCATGTCATTTCAAGTAATATACCTCCAGAGAATATAACTCGACTATCATCAAAAATAATTACAGTGGTTAACAGACATAAAAAGAAACCTACACTTAATATTTAATAGAATAAAACGGCTATTTTCCACACAATAAAAATAAAACTACTTACCCTTGTCTGGTTGACGCGGTTCAACAAAAACTGAATTCTGTGATCCGCTGAGATCTTTGGTGGTGGATAAAGGTTCACGAGTAGCTAATGAAAAAAAAAATTAAAATGAATTATTAGCAAATCTAGTGTTGACAATCATTCATTAGTCAATTACTATAGGAAATCAGATTAAATTATTATTCTATTTGCTTGTTTTCTTCTCAAACTGGATCGTTTGATAAGAAGACCGCCAAATTAGATAAGAAGTAATGAAGAATTTTGACAACAAACAATTCTGGATTTAGTATGTTTGATTACGTGAAAGCGCTCTCGAGCAAACAACTTATCAATCAGTAGTGAGCAAGTTAATCAGTAGTATAATTATTCAATGAAGACTATAATTGAATTTGTTTACATCACATAGTGACAAATTAAAAAGACAACCACTGTTTATAAACTAAGAACCTATGAATAGATGTTTTGTTTAAATGTAGGATTCCTTGGCAATGTGTATAAAAAAAATGCAAAATCATAGATTCAATAATCCACAGAGTAACACTCTATACTTCAGGATAATCGAACAAATGCTTATGAGTTCAAAAAAGGAAATTTCCAATTCTAATGCGAATTAGTCTTTGAATAGTGAAGTTTAAACATGTTCAACATGAGATGGATATACATCACCGATAATAGGTGACGTTTTTTTCACTTATGTACTCGAGTACTTTGGAGCCACACTTTACTTGTATTACCATTGAATATGAGTGGATGTACAAGTAAGAACAATTGGAACTTTGACGGGGGTCATTGTATGATAGTTGATGTAGATTTATACAGTTGATTTTACTGTCAAATACGTCATTGACTGTTGACGCCTATTATAGTTCATATGTTACATCGAATTCATTATTCGATTGTTAGTTCAATTGGCAACTGTTATAGTTTTGTGCAGATTGCAATTTCTCATCAACGATGAATTGTGATCTTGAAATTGATGTACATAATCATGTGTTTCCGATTCACAAGTCGAAAGATTATTCGCCAAGTTGATAAAAGAAAGAATAGGCGCAAACTGATAGGTGTTAGTATATCCAATCGATTGTTCTCTAGTAATGTTAGTCGACTGAAAGTGATAATAGGCGGTACTACTTGGTTGTCTGAACTGAAGTAGGTAGAGCGAAGTTCAGACCTGCGATCTACCGGTTGAAAACCGAATCTTTTAATCACTGGATGATGGTAGAGATAAATCACAGATCAACTGGAATTATAAATGTGAATTATTAAATCTTAATCAGTCTAAAGGTTAAGTGCTCACAGCAGGATTTGAATGTGCTGGGGGGCTGCATCCTTGGTGAGAAGTCCCATAACACGAACAAAATAGATATCCAGTACTTCCTGGCTTTTAATGATTACCGCATAAAGTCAGATGGTGATTTTAGTTACAAAGTATGAAAGTTGTTCACTATAACAGGTGATAAGAGACTCGGCAAGTGACAGTCACGTAAGCTGCCAAATTTTAGATTGTGCACACCAACATGAGACGTAGAGGAGTGAAGAATTTGTATAATTATGGTCAGTAAAGGTGAGTATCAAGAGCAATAAGGACTGAGAAAACGAAATAACGAAAAAAACTAGGAAAGAATAAAGTACTAGAAAAATTAATTCACTACTTACATTCATCATCATAAGGAAGTTCGTGTTCACTACTAGGTCCAATTGGAAGAGAGCCTTCACGATCCCTGGACTCATTACTATAATCATCTGCAAAATTCTTGAACACATTTTGATCCATACCTCCATTCTGATCTTTTTTGTCGAGTCCACGACGACCGCGGCAATCTATTTGTGATAAGTTATCATCTCCACCGGAACTATTACGAAGACTGCGGCTATGAACTGATTCACTAGAGGTATCATCTGGTGTTTTCGAGAGCCCATGAGATGATTTAGATCCTGTATCGGGTGATCCACATTCAGGAGGCAATTGAGAACCACCATAATAAGACTTCAAACTGCCTTTTAAACCATAACGGCCAGAAAGTTTTGAAGTCCTTTGCTTTCCTTTACGCTTCATATCCTAGGGTAAAGTGGACACATTCAAAGTGTTTGACTTGACTGCTTAGAATAAATTAAAATCTTGTCTGAGTCACGACGTTTGAGCTAAAAGATATTTGAAAATGATAATAGTGATATTAGTGAAAGAAATATCCAGGATTAATAAACACTTAGATCATAAAACTATCGAATTCAGAATGAAATAAATCAACTGACTTTGAAATAGAGCTATTTGACAATGACAGAAACAATGCCTAGATTTTTCTTGCTGATCTATTGAAAATCTAAAGCCAAGCGAAAAGGACTTTGACATCATGAGTTAATCACAAAAACGCAGTACAAATAAATTCGAGACTTTGATATGATAGTTTCAGGTACTTTTAAAAATAAACGTCAAGCATACTTAGTCAGATCAACCAGTTCAAACTGACGGTAAAGGGAACATTCTGTTTCACAAAAAGCAGAAACTCTTCAAGAAAAAACACTTGAAAAGTATGATTTGTTTTATCAGTAATAGGAATCGTTTAGTGTTCTAATAATATATTAGAAAGCAAATCCTAAGAACCTCATGGTTTCCAATGAGGATGAAAGGTAAGTCGGTTATAAGCAATTATAGAGATATATACTTGATCAATACGGATCTATAACATAAAAAGGCACTTCAATTCTTGAAAACAACAATCGAAAGAGTTACTGGTGCTTACACATTAATCCCTCTTGGAAACCAATAGCATTTAGTGGAAAAATGGGAATCAGATACATAAATTTATTTAGAAAGGAAAAGTTAGCTAGATATTGTGAGAATGCATTGATTGAAACAATGAAGGTCTTTAATGCTCTGAACTGTCAATTCAAATCCCATAGTGATAGAGATAGTTGGAGTACTAGCACTGATCAAAAAGATTACGGTTCGAAGATATGGTTCGAAAATTATAATCCAGTGAAATAAACTTAAAAAGAGAAAGATATAGGCGATAAAGATTTCAGGTTAGGATTTGAGAAAACACAAATAATGGATGCACCTGCACCACTGCAAACGATTATGAGCCACGTCATTAAAGGTCTCTAACCACTGATTACTATCGTCTGGCGGACCCCAACCAGGTAGTCTACACTATCAACATGACTCAATCCAGTTGTCAATGACTTCATGGATTTGTGGCATGTTTTGGTTTGGTTGCCACTGGCCTTCTTTAAACCTACTCCTATACTACAAAACGTCGCTTGCTGAGGCAGTCGGTGGTCACGCATACGTAACACATGTTTCTTCAACCTCAACTGATGAACACCCAACACTTCATCTATTAATCTGCCATCCTAACCCAGTACCCCATTTCTAACACCAGCGTTACTTAGTCAATAGTCTCAGGATGTACGGACAATGCGTCGGAGATACAGTTGCGCTCACCATTTCTAAGAAATCTAGAGCCTAACTTCTAATGATTGGGAGGATAAATGATATAGAATATCTGCTGGAGTTCCAGACGACGATGATACAATGTGAAACACGGGGGTACTTCACGGAAATTTTGCTGCTGCTTAATTGTTGTCATTGAGTAATCACAATGAGGAATATTTGAAGTCTAGATGCGTTTACTGATAACAGCATCAGGTAACTCCTCTGAAAAATCTTGAGATTAAGACAGAAACGCTGAGATCATCGCTTCAGACAACACTAGACAACTTACAGAAACAATCTTGTGGTTTTTTTAGGAAGTCTTAAGATTGTGTGTTTCTGCTTCCCAATGTATCACTACTCCCAGTCAAATGGATGAATAGAGAGCTAAGTGAAAACTTAAAAGCAAACTGATAGACAATTTTACTAACTGCGAAATCAATTGAAACTTTGTTTTGCGAGTTTCACCTGTAGAATGCCTTTTACAAGTAGTGCATAGAACAGCAGCATCTAGTTTAACCGAAACAATTGTCGCTACTCATCCCAACATTTTTTGTTGGTATTACAGATAGTCAGTCGGCTAATAGTGAGGGAGTTTCTAATGGCATACATGTACCAAAAGACTATAACCACTTACATTGCTAACATAGAAACGAAATGATCCTTGAACAGGCTGCTAGATAACTCTGATAACCACTAATTCTGTGCTCGAACACAGCAAATAGATCTCTTTTATTACAAAGATGTACAGAAAGAAAACCCCATTAAATAAAACAGTTGCATATCAGTCAGCGAAATCAAGGTATGAATAATTAAAAGATGGAAAATGCTAAGAAACTCAACACTGTTGGTGGTTATTTTAACAGTAGAATTTTGATCTGAAGTGACACATTTCAAAACGAATTAATATAAAGTCTGGTTATGGCGATTAGAACACAATGGAATAGTTCACTACGAGACGAATTCCCTGTTATCCTATTTTTTAACTTTAAAACAAGCCTAACTAGTTTATTTACCCAACCTAGTGTGTTTTTTTTAAAGTGTGATTATATGATCACTACAGAAATACCTAGTCTCACAGTGTAGGTTATGAAATATCCAGTTACTTTCATGAGGAATATGCTCGTTCACCATAGTTGTTTGATTATAGGCCAAATTAGAAGCTAAAAAACAGTCTATTTGAACTCATTTGATAACCTTGCTTGCTTTATACACTATTGGTTTCTGTGTTAACAGAGAAATCGAAGATTTTGCTTTAATGCATTTTTCATACAAAATTTTCACAACTTGAATTGTACTGTATTTTAAACAAGCATAAACTATGCAAATTGCAATTGGGTCCTCACTGAAAACGACATCTGAATAATTATTAGAAAAGGAATTGTAGATTGCTTGATTATTTGATGTGAAATGGCATAGGTAAATAGCTACAATTAGTCGTGAAGTTTTTGTAAAATACTCTAGAAAAATGAATTTATTGAGTAAGCCAGCTTGACTTTACACGTAAAGTACAAAGAAAATTAGGCAGGTTGACAAATACCAAGATGAAACTTTTTCTACAAGATGGTTTTAGCGCAGTACATAGAACTTGACTCGTTTTCTCTGAATACATCTACATTCAGTTACACTAAAACTACTAGTACCTTCATAATTCCTTTTCGAGTACTTTTATAATTGATATTGACAATGACAAATTAAACAGATTAGAACTTCAGTCAGATTCTACGAATTTCAAAGACACTGATGTTTTTAAGGATTCTTAAAATCCCCGATTGTCCCAATTTATAAGAAAGGACAAAAGTCTTCTTGTGGCAATCACAGGGGAATAAGTCTAACTAATATAGTTTCTAAATTGTTAGCCTCGATCATACTTAGACGCCTAACTAGTGCTTGTGAAGAGCAGACTAGAGAAAACCAGGCTGGTTTCAGACCTGGACGTGGCTGTATAGACCACATCTTCACACTACGACAGGTCCTGGAACACAGACACACATTTAGGCGTCCTACAATAGTTGTCTTCCTGGACCTAAAGGCGGCATTCGACTCTGTCGATCGTAAGGTTCTGTGGCAGTGTCTGTCACTGAAAGGTGTACCGAAGAAGTACATTAACCTTATACAAGCTCTCTACTCGAACACCACTGGTCGAGTGAGAGCTTATGGCGGACTGTCACCGGCATTCTTCACTTCAAGTGGTGTCCGTCACAGATGTCCACCTTCTCCATTCTTTTTTAATTTCGTCATAGATATGCTCCTAGAAATAACCTTATCCTCATCCGACTTTTCAGGAGTCGACTTTCTCAGGAAAATCGCTTACTGACCTAGAATATGCCGATGACATAGTTCTATTTGGTGAAGACGCTGACAAAATTCAGTCTTCTAACTACTATAAGCAAAAATGCAAGCATGTTCGGGATGCGGTTCTCACCCCCGAAATGCAAAATGTTGCTTCAAGACTTGTTTGCATCGGCATCTGAATTAGTGATAGGGAGTGAAGTAGTCGAACGTGTAGACTGCTTCACTTATCTTGGGAGTCTCATCGGTGCTGATGGCCTGGTGAATGACAAAATCTCAGATCGGATACAGAAGGCTCGATTAGCTTTTGCCAACCTGCGTCACTTATGGCGTAGGCGAGATATCCGATTGCTAACCAAAGAACGAGTGTACTGTGCAGCAGTTCGTTCCGTTCAACTATACGGATGCGAAACATGGCCGTTAAAAGTAGAGGACTTCCGTAGGTTACTAGTCTTCGATCATCGGTGTCTCTGAAGCATTGCTCATGTATCTTGGGACAACCGTATAAGCAATGCTGCCGTTAGGAAACGAGTACTAGGTAAGGATGGCAGATCAATAGTGAAGTAGTGAAACTTCATCATCACCGACTGCCGCGACGAGCTATGTTTCGTGGTGCAGAAGTAGGTATGAAGAAGACTAGGGACGGCCAAACCTAAACATGGCACAAATCCATGAAGTCACTAACAAGTGGACTGAGTCATGTCGGCAGATGTAGGCTACCTGGTTGGTGTCCGCGAGACGAAAGTCACTGATGGTTAGAGACCTTGAACGACATGGCTCAAAATCGTTTGCAATGGCGCAGATGCATCCACTCTTTGCGTTCTCTCAAATTCTAACCTTCTGAATTCCTCATAATCTCTATCTTTCTCCTTCTAAATTGATCTCACTGAATTATACTTCTCTATTCATATCTTCGCTTCCTAATCTTCTACATTACTGCTAGTACTTCTACTATCGCTACGACTCTTGGATTTGAACTGACAGTTGCGTCTCTGCGCTGATATGGTATGGCAAACTGAACTAATGTACTTAGGTACGAAGTTCTGCGTTGTATCTGTCTGTTTGTTTTAAGGATTCTATTACATCTTCTGAATTTACCAATGACAAAAGGAATACTGAATAGTAAGCTTCACTACAGATCTAAACAAATAAGCAGAAGGAAGATCTGCGTGATTTTTCATAGAATAAAATCGTCAAATGTTCGTGTGATCTCATATTATTACTCTATTTCAGATACGAACCAGATATATATAGTGCAGCCTAACACGAAAAGCTCGAAAAGTTGGGGAAAATCGGTACGTAATGTTAGGATCAAAATCAACCCATAAATGACGACTAGTGAGAACACATCAGCCTACAACGTGATGCGGTAGTGTGGAAGTTCAGTTTGCTACAATACACTAAAGCCAGCAAATGGGTAGAATTACTAGAGGTATATACGTGGTAATCAGAACAAGACTCAGTGACAAACATAAATTTATTTACTCAACTATTAGGATATGAATTTTCGTAACAACCAATGACAGTGCACAGTTGTCGAAACTAAACCACTCGACATCATGATAGTTTTTAAGAGGCAAGGACCTATTCATTGATCCTAGTACGTTCCATTACATGATCTTATGAAGAGTAACTTCGTCACGTTACAGTTCAGAGACAGGTACTTGAAATTCAGCAATGACTATAACTCTTTCTTACTCTAAACTCATACAACTCAATGCCTCTAATCGCTACAAAAGCACACTCTAATATACGATGCTCGTCGGTTAAAGTTCCCAAATCTTTAACCTGGAGGTTTAATCCAAAATATAGTTGAGCAACCTTAAGATGCAGTTTAACGGTAGCCGTTGATCAACAGTAGGTCCACACGCCATTTGTTCCACTGGCATCTAGGCGCCTATGTACAGTATTGGTCTGGAGTCAGTTTTTCAAATCCTCTAAGCGGATCGGTAGTACCCATAAACTCAGTTAGTGTCGGACATCCGCTTCTCACTCACTCGAGTTGGTAAATAACACACTCGACCGCGGCAAAACAGTGAGCAGGATTTCCTTGACTGACAGTGACATAAGAAAACCCTGCTACGGCCATGAATGGGGAGGGTCTGATCCCTCTCTCAAAATGCTCTATTATGGTCAGACGCGCATAGTCCTACTCACTGCCTTCTCGTGATACATGCTGTTAACGAAACTGAAAGGATGAAAAAGCTGTATGATGCCTGAACTGGATCGGCGGGAACGTGGGATCCACCTAGGTGACTTGGAGAACCCTAACGTCGCTCTAATTCCTTGTGGATTAGGCCTTTGGATCAAAGACTCGGTTTGACTCCCTAAGAAAGCCAGGTGCTTCAGTTTGGGTACACGGGCGGAATCCCAACCAACTTACAAATTTAACATTTTGTGCAGCGCATGAAGATTTATGTGCCACTTCATACCAATGTTTGAAAAAGTATTTTGAGAGGGAGAGCGGACTCCTCCCACTAGATTGTATTAACAGGTGAAAACTGAACAATTGAAAAAACCCGTAGGCATTTTCTCTAATGCATCGCAGAAATAACGATATGCAATCCCCAATCAGTAGTAAACAACGTGGAACCAGGCAAACGTATATCACATCACATCAGTACAGCAAAATAAATACCATAATAGTAGTCGGATAATTTGTGAATAGCTTCAAGCATATATACTTGGAGGAAAAAACTAGCTTGCAGGAATGGTTGTGGTAACTACGAAACCGCGGATCTAAATAGGGATTTGTAACATTTAGGCCGGTTCTGATTCACGTCAGTTAAACTAGCTCCCTATTAATTTAAATCTGTAGCACAACCAAAAGATCACTATGCTATTACATTTTAGGGTCAGAGATGGAAAGATGGGAAGTCAATCTGTAGCACAAAGTAACTGTTGAATGACAGTGGCTAGACCGTTCTAACACATGGCAATCTATTCTGTAAACCCAATTTCTCAGCTCAAAAAAATACAAATCTTCGCCAAAAACCAAAGGATTCTAGTCAGTTCTCCCATATGGCACCCTGAGTCTTGATTATGTGGAGGGGCTCCATACTGAAATATTGGCGAATACTATTTTTATACCAGTGTTAGTAATGCAGTAAACGATAGTGAACAAGACTCACAGGTGAACACTACATCTGCAGACTATTCTTCGACTGATTTAGGGTAAACTCAACACTAAATGAAAATGTGTGACTACGAACGAGACTTTAATGAGATTAAAAATAGTTTACTCTAAGTAGTAACGTATAAAACTTTAGCATCAACTAAAACCCAGCCACACAACAATATATGAGATTGAGAGCCTAACTAACACTTATTACGGGCATAATATACTAAATATGAAATAAATAAGGCTACTTTTAGTCGCGAACATAATATTATTCGTTTGAACTTAATCGTAATTCCATTCACCTCTGATGAGTTAAAACAGAAAAACAAATAAAAATCCAAGCAAGACTTACTTACCAGTATGATAACGACGATGAATACGATAAAACTTGTGGAATCTCCTCACTATTAAATCGGAAAACTGATCCCGAAAACATACGACAAAACCGAAAGGATGACCGTAATGAGCGCCAAATATTCGCGACAGATATTTCAAACAGTCTGAAATATCCACATGGCTCTCAGGGCAGAACAAGCAACTGTGGTTTTTGTACTTTTATATTAACATTTCTACGTTCAACCCTACATTTAAGAAGGATTTATAAACTTGTTCATTGCTGCATTCTGGCAACAATAGTTTCGAGTATTTACTTATCTGAACCTGAACTGATGGTCCAAATGTAAATGTATTAATGAGAATCTTCTGTATACTAAAGTTATATTTTTAGTCTCCTTATGCGATCCACACTGCTACTGAAATTTTGGTTGATCATAAACAGTTTCAAGATTGCATAAACCATCCAAGCCTGGTTTAAGTTGACTTAGTACATCATGTCGATACCTTAGCTGTAATAACTGTAAACACGATTAAATAAGCTTTTACCTGATGAGCTTTCTTATCTAGTGCGGATAAACCACTTGAATGTCAGAATTTTCCGATAAAACACGAAGAAAGTCGAGATTACTAGACCTCAGAAATGCTTCCGTAACTTATCAGAATTTCGAGGAACTGCCTATTTTTCCGTTGTGTTTTATCGTACTTCAGTATCTAACCTTTGGCCTCAAGAATAAGTGCACATTGTAGTGCAATTGTAAATGGAGTTGTAAGTGAAGAACGGAGAAATAAAGCCAAGCAACCACTAAGTAAGAAACATATCCTTGGTTTTTGTGTCACGTTTTCGCATTACGACAGTTATATTCAATACCAGCCATTTAACTTATTTTTAGGCCGCTTTTCACTGCGTTGGATCATTGAGACTGAAGTTTTTTTTATTAAGGCAAGCGAATATAACTATTTTACCTCGACACGGTTGCTGTAGAATGTGAAGAACATTAGTTGAACAGAGCTAACTCTGTGTGTAGTGTTAATCCCAGGAGGAACTCTCAAGTGTCACTGTCTGCATAACGTTTGTAAATATATTACTGCTTATTCTACAAATGAAAGTGCTGTTCTTCTAACATTTATTCTTATCGGTGAATGACTATTTTTAATGTAGTACTTTAGCACTGACTGTCGTCACACTCTCAACTGCTTAGTAGTTGTCACAGCTTGATTATCTTCTTTTGTTAGTCCACCACACATCCTTCGAAAGAACGTCAGTGGACTGGTTAAAAATGAGTTCCAAAACTACTAGAACTAAATTCTGAAGTGGTATCTATGTTGTGTATGAAACGAAAGCTTCTCATTGATTTTGTGGTTAGCGTAGTCACCAAAGATGTCCGAAAAAGCTAGTTACCTCAACAACTATCTCAGGACAGACATATATTTTGTAGCAGAAGAGGCTAAGTTGGTTCAAAAATCAGTTTTATATAATGATAACCGTAATTTTTTGATAATTTAAGAGTAGGTCTGGTACTAAAATGGAACACTAACATGATTTCGGTGAATAGATGAAAAACCATAATTTTAGAATGACATAAAGAGAATATACAAACTTTTCGACCGTATTATTTTTGTTCGATATAGATTCCAATCAGCTCTCACTATATCAGTTACTCAGCGCAACATGTTTTATTTTTAGTGATTACGTTTTGCATAAAATTGCTCCGTGTCAGTGATGTTTCTTCAGGACAGCGTTCTTTGTATTAATAGGAGTAAACTTCACTCAATCTAGAAGGGATTATACCTTTTACTCATGATTCCGAGGCTTTAGTTCACTATCGCCTAGTATAATTCCAACCTAAGCCGCTGACGTTAATGCCGGTCTCAATTCTGGGGACTGAGAAAGTAATTGGGCTTTAGTTAAGCGACCCCACCTCGTAAAATTTTCAAACCGGAAAACACCTATCATCTGCATACCAATCAGTCAAAACCTTATAATATATTTGGATAAATGAGCGTAAAATTATCTATACTCTGCTGATTTAATAACAAGTTAGGGTATGTTGATCATGAATTTTGACTGTTCGTTGAATTAGGTGTTTCAGATTCATGTTTTATTTTCTAAATATTAGTCTGATATATATATCGCATGTATCGACTAGGCCCATAGGTTAAGAAAGATGTATTCGAAGGCTTTATGACTGATTCTGTATGTTTTACAGCAAATAAAAGAAATCTCGAAGCTTTAGAAAGTGTTTGAAAACGCTTTCACCATGTCGCGTTTCAATTTGAATTTTTTATTTTTTAACTTGTTGGATTTTCTCAGATGTTTTCAAAGGCAAATCCCAACCTATTTCTTCACAAGTCAACTGAAATTACCTCAGCTGCATACAAACAAAATCTCGATTTCATTGTGAATACTAATGCTCGCTACCCAAAAGACCACTCAAAACTGTCATGTAATCACAATATGAAACAACGCAAACTGAGTTGGATATTATGTGGAAGAAACCATTCATTGAATATTACCTGCTTCTTATCCTGAAATTGGAAGCGATACAAAAAAGAAGACCAGTATTGTTTATAATCCTGGTACTTACAACACTTTCATTCCAAGTTTCTCGAGTTTCTAATTTTAATTGTCCATTACAGTCATGTTTTAGTCGCCAGTATACTCACAAAAATTGAGCATAGAATTTTGTAATTTGTGTATTAAGTCACATTATATCACAAATTGTATAGGTATCCCGAAAATGCGAAATAAGCTCACTTCGACGAATGAATCGTATTGAAATGAGATTCAAAGACATTTTAAATAACATTCAGTTTCGAACAAAGTTCTAGGGGATTAGATGTAAAGTATTCCATGTAATGTACAGATTATCAGAACATTGATTTTATTAAATAAATACTTTGCTTCCGGAAAGCAAGCAGACCATGTTTGCACCAAATGTTTTACTGTGAGATCAATGATTTTGTCGAGGCTAACCTCAGAGCAATTGATGTGGGTAGAATAAGTGTACTAGAACTCGCAAAGCCAAAACGCAAATAGTCCTCAACTAAACGGATTCTTGTGGAAAACCAGATGAACAAAAATTTAGAAATACCGTCTAGATAGTTTTAGATTAAATCTATAATTGTGTTCGTTACACACCCTGCATGCATAATCAAACAAATCCTAGCAAAAGAACATCTTGCTCGAGAAACAGAAATGGCTACAACATCAAAGGAATAAAATATGACAACATCAAAGTTCGTCAATGGTATTAAAAAGGAATAAAAATTAACTTATACACTTCCCCTAATATTTGTTTTTATTCAACTGAAGAAGTTGATTATCACTGGAACTTTTCATTAAGTATACGAATTACTCTGACTTACGTGCTGGGGAAAATAGTGACGAGGTAGATGAAATGTTTCCGTAATTGAAGAGCATCTTTAATTCAAAGAAACAGACATCTGAAACAGGAGTTAGAATTTTAAGCATCAGATTCACGAGACTTCTATAATACAGGAACTAGGAGAAACGCTAATGCAGTAACCGAAAATGGCACATGTATTTACAAACGATTATTCTTTCAAGATACTTTAGATCCATCTCGACCGTAACGGCTATCTTAACATGGTGGTTGAACATTCCATTTTGATCCACCTGAGCTCTTTTGTCTCGAACACATGCTTGTTCGTATCTTACAATGCTAAACAGGTTGGTTCGGGAACGGTAGGACTAAAAGCAGCGATATGAGGCCAGAGTGTGAGAGCATACTACTAATTGTACAGGGATGTCGTCAGCCCCTCAGAGGGTGGAGCCAGATCTCGAAAATTCCTCGACATAAGAAGGCTATGCCTTACCGGTCACAAGCAGTTACCCCTCGGAATGTGCAGTCACGGTTACAGTTCACATAGACCAACATTAGCGTGTATTCCTTCCCAGCTCTCTTAAGAAACACGCTTCCAGGATTAGGGCAACCGGGAAGCGGCATTCACCCTCATACCTGTAACAGTATATGATATCGCCTTGCTTAAAATTAACTTCTTCCTTTACCTACATTCTGAAACTTTGAACGCTCATAGAGTATGCGAAATAGAACAACAGGCATCATTTTCTAGGAATCTAGAAACTTCAACCATTGATGAATTCTGCGTCTCTGAAATACACATACAGAATTGAAGTATAGTCAGTGACTTTATATCGTCTTTTCATTATAAAGAATCTGTGACAGTTAATTTTGTGTTTCTGGAGACAATACTGCTAGTATCCAGAGCCTCGTTGGTATAGTTATAGAGTTAAGTATAGAAGTAGATCCGTCTCCCATATACTGTGTTACAGTGAACAGTCGTTTGTAACCTGTCCGACTACATGGGACATTGGAAATAAGGGACATGCCGTTGACTCTGCATTGTCTTTCCCTGAGCCTTTGTTGATAGCAGCTCAGATGAATTTTTCATTAGGCTTTCGAACCTCCTTCAAGAAGACAAACATTTTTATACAGTAATAGTGTTAGATGGTTTTAATATCCAGGAAAACATACTTCAAAAGAAAGAGGGAAGAAATTCCAAACGCCAAGTTTGGAATAGACAACACGTGATACGAAGACATCATGAGACGGCATGAATTGGAAGGAAGGAACGGAAACGGTAAAATATTCACAAACCTATTTGCTTCAAAAAACTGGTCATCACAGGCATAATATTCCCAAAGAAACACTTCATTGGATCACACTCTTCACAACCGATTCGACCATACATGTATCAGTAAAAAGTTCAGGACCATAGAGGCCGTGAGAACCAAGAGAGGAGCTGACATAGCCTCAGATCACGACTTGGTAGTGGCGAAGATTAAACTGAAACTCAAAATGCACTGGACAGCGGAGCGAACGGTATATAAAAATTTTAATACGGCCTTTCTCCATGAACCTGGAAACTGAACAAATCCGAGATAGCTGTAAGCGATAGGTCCCAGGCTTTCCATGATCAGTATGGAAATCAGACAAATCAAGAGTTGCAAGGGGCACAGGCAATGAAAGCAGATATAGAAGAAACTAATTGTACTCCACGTTATCTTCAGCAAGATTTGGGTTACCTCATCAAGATACCTAAGAAAGATCTCAGAAAGTGTGCAACATCGAGAGGTACCACTCTTCTCTCAATATCAAGCAAAGCCTTCAACACAATAGGCACTAACCAAATCACACTGGATGGAGATACCTCGTGGGACGTAAAAAACCGACGAGCAAGGCGAATCTGAAGCCGATGTAATGGCTCAGCAAAGCGTTGGCTGCATTTCTATAAATGAACAACATCTGGAACTGAAAACAACATTCTACTGACACAAAAATCGGAATGTTCAGTACTAATGTCAAGACAGTTCTACTGTCTGGAGTGGAAACTTGGAGAACTATGAAAGCCATCATCGTTGTTTGATGATTATTACTATCCACAAGACACTGGTGTTTATAAACAATTTTCTACGCAAGATGCTTTGAATTCATCAGCTTGACACTATCAGTGACAACCTACTATGAGAAAGAACAAAGTAAACTCTATTTGTATAAGAAGTCATAGACAACGCATGGGAGGTGGACACATATAGCAGAAAGTACCCAGTAACATCATTTAGCAAGCCGTAACTTGGAATTTTCAAGGTTAGAAAATAAGATGGAAACCATGAAAATCACTGTGCCGAGAATAGGAAGCAGACTTGAAATGTATGAATAGCGATTAGGAATAACTGGAAAGAAATGTTAAGGACAGCGTAATTTGGAGAATAGTGGTCGGCGGCCTATGCTCCACGAAGGGTATTATAAGTTAAGAGGTGATTAATCCATTCTTGACCTTCATGATACTCTGAATGCTGTTGGACGTTCACTAATTTGTGATCTCACTAGGAAAAGCTGGGTCTAGTGAATGACTAGACTAGGGTTTTGCAACATTTTATTGGCCCATAAACTGATTCTGTGATTGGCTTGAGCAAAATTAACTCTGGTAGGTGCTTCGAGTGCAGCGAGCGTGAGTATACTGGTCCAATAAAATTTGTCTTTCACTAAATTATATTCATGGTCAACCAACATGCCTGCTGCACATGCACATCGCTGCGTTGATATACAACGCAAGGATACTCATTGTTGCCAACAGTACTGACCCCTGCCCCTTTCGGGTACATACTGTAGAATCTTTTTTGAATGTTTTGTTTTTTGGAAAACACCTCCATGTTTATATATTTGTGTTATGACATGACGGACTCTTTCTGTTGACATTTTTGGTACTCCATTTGATTCCATTTTGAGATTTTATCATTGTATATTGTTATTATTTCTATATTTTGTACTTATATTGAAGTTTTTGTGTTTGCTTCTGAACTGTACACATGTTATTTAAATTTGATCTTTAATATGGCTACAGCCATATTTGGATTTGATACTGTTGCGGTTGGATCTAGCATCACTTATTCTTTTTGAACTCGGATACTCATCAGAGTAATTGGGACTTGGAAGGTGTATCAAAAGTCAGGTATTTGTTTGTATTTCCATTTTTTATATAAATAGACCACTTTCTCCTAGAATTATTGTGTTCTGCAATTGGACTAGGAGAGGGGTGCGTTCGACTTACTCCTACTGGAAACAAATTGAACTGCTACGGTAGAAAATTCATCTACACATACATGTTGTCCGGTTTGGTCTGCAGACAAGTCGGACATCCAAAAAGCACGCACACGAGCAGTGGCCCCCTACACGGGCACTTATGAATCAATAAATCCCACCAACCAAACCACAGCCAACAATCCCCACTCGGCGAGGGCGGCAAGGCGGTCTTATCCTTCCGGACAAGGGACCCCGTAGCAGGTTACCGAGCCACCCAAGCAGTGCACTAACCAGCAGCCATTCCAACCGTCTGGCTTCCAACTGCCTTGCGTTGATACAATCGATCGAGGCCCGTCTTACCCCGCATCAAGCTAAAGATCGAGTCTGTCCCACAAGGTCAGCTAGAACGTACACCCTTCCATGAGGAAGATGTCATGGACTCGACCAAACGTAAGCGCTCAGCCAAGCAGGGTTCATCTCACAGAAATGGGCAGACATCATTGGTGTTCAGTACCCTTTCAGCACTAAAGCACCGGAACCCAACTTGAGACCCTTGTTTAAGGGGCCTCGACGCCAGTTCAAACACTACATCGGGTGCAGCATGTAAGGGACAACCACATAGGTTCGGCGTCAGTAGTACAGGATGTCTGCGGCTGCTTCCCCAAACATAGGGTCCAGGGCCGCCCTCGATCATCCTACTGCATCCCTTTCAACGGCGTTTGGCCGCAGCGATGTATCCACCGCCACGTTTCTAGCGGGACCACGAAGAGGTAGCCGCCACCACAACCCCCTCAAAGGCACCAATATAGCTCAACCCGAGGCCACCTCAGGCATTCTAAGGCTACGCCCCGCCAATTAGATGACGAGGCATTTGGCTATATTCTTGGTCAACCAACATGCCTGCTGCACATGCACATCGCTGCGTTTATATACAGCACAAGGATTCTCACTGATGCCGTCAGTAATCACCCCTGCCCCTTTCGGGTACATACATGTTGTCCGGTTTGGTCTGCAGACATATCGGACATCCAAAAAGCACGCACACGAGCAGTAACCTCTGCACAGGCACTTATGAATCACAAGATCCCACCTACTCTCTGAGCTAAGATCATGTGTAGTAGATGACGAGGCATTTGGCTACCTTAAGAGAGTCATAGTTACTCCCGCCTTTCACTAAATTGACTTTTGTAGTCCTAAAACATGTTTTGCGATATTTTACTGTAAATCACATTACTTGTTTTTTATCTGGATGAGGTTAGAAAAGCGAAGGCAATAAAAAGAGACATAGCAGATACATTTTGTTAACAATAGACAGTGCATCATGTTAGTTTCATTGAACTGTCTTCGATAAATTTTTCATAAAGTTTCTGTTATATATATAAAACTGCGAATGTCGTCAATTCGCTACCACGAATATTCGTTTAACAATAAAATTACACGAAATTATTATAATTTGATATCAGAACCAGAAAACTAAGTGTTTACAATCCACTGTGAAATCTTATTAATTAGTTCTGTTTCTTATGTATTTACCATTTAGTGCCGTCGGTTTTATGAGATTAAGTGTTTGAAAAAGATTATTGCTACTTTGTTCAAGATACACTCCCTCTGAGAAACAGTGTGTTCAGGAATTAATTGCCTCATCGCCAACCTGACCGCCTCCACAGTCCCATCTACTTATTCTGCATGAGTATATTATGAGCGAATCCAAATATAACTTTTAAAGGTCGGAATGGGTGATTAAAGCGTGGCTCTGATTACATAAACTATCAATTAATGTTATATGTACAATGAGCTTTGGAAAATTCCTATAACGTTCACTGCTCACCTCGTTTCCTGTGAAAAGCCGATATCTGAACTAAACTAGTACTCACAAAATCCGGGTGGAAAAGGAAGTTAAGAAACTTTCCTGATAAGAAACAGTACAACCAAATAGTAAGTCTCACCATGTTACCTATTCATTTACTTAGTTCTGAAATCTTATTCATATTAACATTAGAATTGTATCCTTATTATTCTCCACTTTTCAACAAACTGATCCCCGGTCTGGTAATGTGATAGATGCTGGTATCCAGAAGCTCTACTGCCCTGAAACACGTTTTCATTCAAATCATAATTTCACAACTAATTACCAACTGACTAGAATTAAACAGTCAAGTGACTAGACCTCCATTTAATTGATACTGCCAAACATCTGGAACCGTACCGAAAGAACAAGAATCGAACTCAAAGTAATCAATTGATTTTTACTAGCCCTTGAAAAAATATTGTATATTGAAGTCGTTTGATATTGGACGATGAATGTCTCTGAATTACGAAGTTAAATATCACAGGAAAATAATTTCCAAGAGCTCTTGAAATAGATGTTGAGTTTTGAAATGGTGATACTGGATCCTTTTTTATCAGATCACCTGGTCTTCTGATTTAAGTGAATATTGATGGCATTGTAAATAAGCGGGTTGTTCGATTTTTATGTTCTATTTCTCACATGGCATTTGGTTTGATTTCTACTGAGGCTTTCCGATAATTAAACTTGGAAATATGCATTTGTTAAGGTGAAGCAAGTTGATTCACTCACGATGGATATACCAATGTCTATAGTTATTGAAAAGACTTCATTTGGTTTGGGATTTACATTAAAAGACGAAGGTTAGTATTTTGTCATCGCATATTGATTTTGTATTTTCTTTTGGAAAAATTCTCATTTATTAGTACCCCAAGGTTTTAATATTAAAGACAGTTCGTTCATCATTTCGTTTGGCCCACAATGTAGTAATTTTTAAGGGGTACTCGGATTAACTGTCATGATTATTGTATACCGAAGATTGTATGCCGACCAACCCGCTGTAATCTTTTTATGGTTAGCGTTTTTTAGCGAGTTAGAACGTGGTCACCAATCCCACGCCTAACCCTCCTTTGTCCGGCCTTGGGACCTGCAGTAGCCCCCGAGGGTTTCCTGGTGGAGCTACCAACTTATTATAATGCTTGCGATTGATAGTACTTTAAAGGTCTGATCTCGCTTTTATTATTTTAGCAAGTGTTGATATCACGTTCCGGAAGATAGCTCCATTAATTCATTACTCAAAGTGAGAAACGAAACTATAGAGGTAAACGAATTGACCTAGGTTTCTGAACTTTTTGCAAATGTGCCCTCAGATGATCAGTCCTTAGTGAAGGGAAAAGATAAAACACAATACCACAATCACCCGTTAGTAAATGGTAAGCTAGTATCAAATCACTTCTTAACCCCCCGTATGATAACAAAAATAAGTTATAGTCTTCAGGTCTATCCTTGTAAATAGGTTTGTAAGACCTTTCACCATTTCTATCATTCATCGTTGAATTCGTTCGGACGTGCAAATAGACGATGAATGTGTAAAGCCTTTGGTAGCGTTTGCCCTAAAATTTCTCGTGGTTCTAAGGTTATTGCTTAGAATGACTCAGATCTTCATAAGTTACTACTTTAGGTAGAACCGTTCCATTGCAGCGCCTTCGCTAAAATTTACATCCAATAACCACCAGTACATCCATTCAGCCAATGGATTTAGGTCTCTAAATCTTTATGCCATCAGTGTAGAGTAGAATAGATGACTGCTACGGTCGGCAAATCATAAAGTAAGGACAAAATAGAGCTAAGGATTATACCTTCGGAAAGGCTATCTTTTACTAATTCCCATTTTAATAAGGCCTCAATTATCCATGGCCTTAATTTCCACTGAAAAAGTCACCCGGTTTCTAATCAAAAAATTAATTCCAAAACTAGTTAATCGACAAGAATTTGTTGGTCTTTATTTAGATCTATGAAAATGACATTTGCTGGAATATCACTATCTTCCACTGCACTCCTCTTGCAATGAGTAGATTTGTCAGGCATGAAAAGCTTTACCAGAAATCATGGTGTTCCCTGGCTAAAAGATTGTTTCCTTCCATCTAGTTGACAGTAGCTGTCCTAATAGACTTCTCTACTAGTTTGACTACTATGTTGGTTAGACTTATAGGTCAGTAGTTACTGAGCCCTTACTCCACGATTTATAAACGCAACTGATAAAGTCATCTTCCAAAGCACTTAGTCATTTAGACTGCCTCAGAAACCTATTAAACGGTAGTGACAGAAATCAAGCAATCACATCCACCGGAGCTTATATGAACCTAGGATGAACATCGTTAGGACCTTCGGACTTATCTAGTTCGATATGCTGAAATAATGGTGAGATAACTCCCTTCTGAATTTGCAGAGGATCTATCGACAAGCAGCTGTTATTTTATTGTGGGATTGGTATTTCAGCATCGTTGATAGTAAACACTTTAATATTCAGATAGAGCTTCTGCTTTTTCAACATCACTTCTTGTCATTGTCAACGGATCTTCTTGAATCAGTAGTGGCGAGGTCCCATCACTTCTCTGAGTTCAAAATAGGTAGGTAATAAATATAGACTTAGGCACTGTAATTATTAACCGATGGTTAGAGATTTTGAATGATGTGGTTGGAAATCGCTTGCAATTGTGCACATGCATCGATTCTTTGTGCTCTCTCCTAACCTAACATTTTGAATTCCTCATCATTCTTATCTTTCTCTCAGTTTCACTGGATTATACTTATCAAGTCATGTATTTAAATCCTAATCTTTTTGAATCAGTCAGTCAGTCAGTTGCAACGTAGAACTTCGTACGTATGTACATAAGTTCATGTTGCCATACCAGATTAGCACAGAGACGCAAATGTCAAATCAAATCCCATAGTGATAGAGATAGTAGAGGTATTAATGGTAATTAAGAAGACTACGGCTTGAAGATATTATTCAAGAAGTATAATTCAGTGAGATAAGGTTAGAAAGACAAAGGTAGAGGTGCTGACGAATCCAGAAGATTAGCATTTGAGAGAGCTCAAAGAATGGATGCACTTGCGCCATTGCAAACGATTTTGAGCCATGTCGTTCAAGGTCTCTAACCATTGGTGACTGTCGTCTCGCGGACCCCAACCAGGTAGTCTACATCTACCAACATGACTCAGTTCACTTGTCAGTGACTTTATGGATTTGTGCCATGTTTTGGTCTGGCTGCCCCTAGCTATCTTCCAACCTACTCCTGCACTACAAAACATAGCTCGTCGAGGCCGTTGGTGGTTAGGCATTCGTAACACATGTCCCAACCACCTCAACTGATGAAGGTTCAATACTTCATCGATTGATCTGCCGCCCTTACCTAGTACTCTTTTCCTAACGACAGCATTGCTTACTCGGTTGTCCCAAGATATACGAGCAATGCTTCTTAAACATCTATGATAGAATACTAGTAACCTACGAACATCTACTCTTAACGGCCATGTTTCACAGCCATATAGGATAACAAAACGAACTGCTGCACAGTACACCCGTCCTTTGGTTAGCGAACGGATGTCACGCCTACGCCATAAGTGACGCAGGTTGGCAAAAGCCAATCGAGCTTTCTGTATCCGTGCTGAGATTTCGTCAGTCACCAGGCTATCAGCACTGATGAGACTCCCCAAGATAAGTGAAGTGATCAACACCCTCGAATACTTCAATCCCTATCATTAGTTCAGGTGCCGATGAAACCCAATCTTGAAGCAACATTTTGCATTTCGAGGGAGAAAACCGCATCCCAAACACGCTCGCATTGTTGCTTATGGTAGTCAGAAGACTGCATTTTGTCAGCGTCTTCACCAAATAAAACTATGTCATCGGCATATTCTAGGTCAGTAAGCTCTTTTCCTGGTAGGTCAACCCCTGAAAAATCTGACGAGCTTAATTTTAACTCTAAGAGGATGTCTACGACAAAGTTAAACAAGAATGATAATACTTCTACTACCTCTGATACTGTGGGATTTTAATTGATAATTCGGTCTCTGTGCTAATGTGGTTTGGTAACTAGAACTGATGCACGTACGTATGAAGTTCTACGTTGTAGCTGACTGACTGATTGACTAAGAAAATCTACTGATGGACAAATTTGTAATGTTTTACTTCCAGTTGTGAAAACCATATTGACGCCTCTTATTGACTGAGACCAAAAATTTAATGAAGGTTGGTTCATTTCGTCACCTAGGAATCTGATCTCCATTAGACTGAATCATTATGAGATGCAAAGAAAACTTTAATATTCGCATCTACATAACGATTGTGAACAGTAACAAAATGCTTTCGTATAGCCACGCGCATATTGCCTCTGTCATGGAAGTCCTACTCACTACATTCCAGCCTCTGGGACGGTTGTTTAGGAGACTGTCAGTACGATAAGCTGGTGTCCAGCACTTGAACCGTCTAGGTGGGTATGGAGGATCCATCCACCTAGAGGAGTTGGAAAACCGTGATTCCAAATTGGCAGTACTGCTAATGACTTCATGGACTGATACTACGTCTTGATTTTGGAACTCCTAGCTTTCTTCTAGACCTTTTTTATCCTGGAAACATTATCCGATTCAGGTGGTGGGTGGGCATGTGCAATACATGTTTCAAACCATTAATGTAAACTGTTGAATCCAAAATTTTGCGTTTATATGGACCTGAGTTAACCATCACCATAAAAATGTTCATTTCAACTTTAGTGTCTCCTGAATACACAATCTATAATCATTTATCTTTGTTTTTGGCTCCTATTTTATGTGTTAGAATAGAAACGTATAACTCCATTGTGCTAAGACATTTCCCATAGTGACTAAATAAATGATTAAACCAGGTAAGACAACACCCTTTCTCTTAATTGCTTCAGAAGTCTCTGATTTACACCACTAAAATGATGTACCATCCCAGGGATTCTCTTATCTGTTCAGCTCTAATACGTAACTAGTTAATCACTTCGTTTTTTATTCCCAGGTTCTTCAATGGGACTTAATTCCCACCACTTCTGTAAGCATTAGCGGCTTAAGAGACTGTCAGCTTTATTCTGTGCGTGTTAAGAGAAACGAACGAACAATTTTGGAAACTTGCTGATAATTATTAGGAAATATGAGAGTATGTGTATGCATAAGATGAAACATAGTCCCATTTCGTGAAGACCGGGAAAATGTGAAATCTTTAATCTCCTTAAGCAATAGTGCATCCATATATGGGGTGCGTTTGCCATAATCGTAGAATTTTTTGCTTCAGTAATGGTCTGCATTTACTGAACAAATTGTAGGAAGTAGAGTTTTTAAGCGCGTTGACCAATTCACTTGTCATGGAACCCTTGTTGGCCATGGTGGGTTGGTGTCTGATATAATCTCGATATGGGTTCAGAAAGCATCACTTGTGTGGTGAGATATCTGTTTGCCTACCAAAAGGATTTATACTGAAGAACAGTCCACCCTGTATTACTCTAAACATGCCCTTCAAAATCAAAATTTTGTTGGCTAAAGGTTGTTGATCATAAGTGTCTTCGAAGCATTGCTCGCACCTCGTGAACTGACTAAGTTAGAAGTGCTAAAGGTGGAAGGTACTGGGCAAAAGTGGGGAATTAGTTGGTGCAGTTGTTTATTTTCAATGACCAAGCTTGTTCGGGTGATTGTTACGTTAGCATAACCTCTGCCTACCTTGACGGTCGATACTAGATGGCATAACTGTAAGCTGTTAAGAAACTAATAGAGGTCAAGATAAGATACAATGTGAAATCAGTCTTTGAGTGAACTGCCTATCTAACTGAATCATATTGTTTAGATGCAAACTACCCGTTTGAAGTTTGCGTAATACCTGGAGTCAGTGGTTGAGGACTTTAGGATCATTTGCATTAGTATGAATTCATTCACTCCTTATCCTTCTGTTCATCGTGGATTCAAATATTCCTTCATACATACATTCTCTCTGTGCCATTTCGAACTACATCCCCTTTTTTTCTTATTGTTATTACTGCTGCATTATTTCAACCTGTTTGCTATTCATCTTGTTATGTACTTTTTGTGCTAATCTCCTAATGGAAACTTGGACCGACACACATTTGTGCCAAACGCTACATTGATGATGATGTCTATGTTTCTAGTGCACGCTGGGTATCGAATTTATTTGTTTAATTGGTTTTCTAGATGATAAATTGTAGTTTTTCTTTTGATAATCAAAATCTCTACAGGTAAACCTTACGAGTCTACTGCACTAGTAACTAAAGTTGCTCGAGGCAGTTCGGCGGAGGCATCCGGTCTGAGAATAGGTGATCGGATTGTTGCTATTAATCAAAAACCTGTGAAATCCATGACATTTTTAGAAGTTTCCAATTTTCTCCGAAGTGGCAGGTTAGTTAAGGTTTTTTTCTTTTGCTGTTCATTGTGTAGCATTTACTAAGCGCTCAACAAATATTACTATTAATTATTCGTACAATTAAATGGGAGCTTTAATATTCTCAATAAAACTTGCTTGTGTATTTGACTAAATAAATGCCAACAATTCAAGTCAATTTTGATCGAAAATGAACACTGAAAAAGCTTTTATGGAGACTCATAATTATTCGGTCAGTCACTGATTTCTAAGCAGTGTCACATATCAAACCTTAAAAAAGCTTTGACTTCTATGACCGATCGGTCCCTAATCAGTGATCAATCAGTCATAAATACATCTCAGTCCTTTAAGACGTCAGTCGCGGACCTAATAACTCCGTGGTAATATCTCCACCTGTAAAGCTGATTGGCACGGAATCGAATCCCATACAGAAAACCTCCTCTTCCTCAAGATTACAGCTGCACCTTGCTGACAATTACCGAATAACACGAACTCCAGATCAAGCAGGGTTTCTTGTCAACTATCTCCAACCATACCAGCTTACATGTTCACGTTTGGTGTACAAAAAATAACTGTTAGCAAAGTCCATTCTCATCAAAGCTCTGTATAATTATAAAGAACTATATAGTTTGTAAATTAGAAAGCTAAATCTTGTTTATTTACATGATTACCGATATCGGGATGAAATGTATCGAGGTAGTGCTTTTAATTTTTATAGATCATGACATGTGGCTAGCCGGTCACGTAATTAATCGAGGACTAGACAAACATTACATCTTTCATTACTCAGCAATCAACCCATGGTATGCATCTCAGTTGTACAGAAAGATCAGTCACGGTTCAAGTGGCTCAGTAAGTAATACTGTTCACTGTGCAAATGGGTGATGATAGTTCGAACTCTACATAATGCAACAGTTCCCTCACCACTACCTGTAAATATATATTTTATTATTCTGGTTATTACTATTGAGTTGATTTTAAAAATCTTCTGTTTTAGTGATCGAAATATTCAACTTACATTATTACACAAACCTCTTGATTCGGATCAATTAATTACTGATACAATTTGTGAATTATCACCGCCTAAAATATTAACTTCATCTAATATAGCTAATGGTATACAGAATATTTCATTGAAAGAATCAAATTCCCCCATTATACTCACTACTAATAGTACTACTGATATCTATAAAGATGAAATGAAGAATTTATCGGATGATACTGTAAGTTTATTAAGTCTTATTGCATTTCATAATACATTAATATTATAATAATAATGACGATCATGTCTCAGGATTTGACTGTGACCAATTTGGTCTCGTGTGCTGTTACGGGTATGAGGGCAGATGACACTTGGCGGTTGTCCATACTGTGGAAGGGTGTCTCTTGAGGGATCGAAAAAGGAAGCTGTGATGACTGCTTAAGGCCAGTCGCGCACGACCTTTATATGAAAAGTTACTAACGTGGTAGCCTCGCTCTTCAAAAGGCCTTACCGGCGGAGACGAAAACCAGTGAGGTAAGGTGAAGTGTGACATTTTTAGGGCTGACCTTTTCTAACTCCCTTCTATCTTCCTTGTGAGAAGGCAGCATCGCTGCAAATACTGGTTGTCCAGAGGAAACACCTTACTGCTGTTACACGTCTTTGTAGTCAGCAATATGACTTCTCCCTCAGACTTTGAGTTGCTGTTTTTAGCCTTTCCGTTCTTCAACTGACCTTTCTGACAAGGTAGAACCTAAAAGAACATATGTTCCAGCCAATATAGCTCGGTTGGTGATCACACGGTTGGCAAGGTGGAGCACCACGTCAAAGTATCAGCTACCATCAGATGTCTCAGTTACAGTTGTGTATGTAAAACGGTAAAATTAGTGTGAAACAGAAATAGTAGACACTTGTAATTTATTTAATGATAGCAGATTATTTTCAATCAGTTTAATTACAAAGTAGGCACATGTATTGTAGTTCTGACACCGGTTTAATAATAATAATAATAATAGTATTAGTAGTAGCAGTATCATAAGAAATTTAACTTAAACCATAACTACATGCACTTCAAATGTTACTCGTTAATTTATCTTGTTTTTACTACTTAACATCATAAAATTTAACATATGTCGAAATAGCATTTTTAGAAAAAAAAGAGGTTGTTAAAACAGGCAGAAAGAACATGCATAGTGAATCATGAAATGTTTATTAAAAGTTAACAGCGAAAGTTGAATCTGATTTTTAACTTTTGATTTTGTTTTTTTTCACAATGGGACTATATTTTAGACTTTACTAGTTCTTGACAAGATCCGAATGTCGACTGTCAGTTTGTAGGTTTGCAGACAATCATAAGCCTTCTTTAGTCGATACTGACTCAGTCAAATGTGTCAAAGTAGCTTCATAATTTCAATAATTGACAACTCGTCTTCTTTTTGTCTAATATTTTTCGTTCAATCTTAACAAACGTATAATCTATGCCCGACCGTAACTGTCCATCGTGATAACTAAACCGAGTTATATAGGCTGGAACATATGTTCCTGTAGTTTCTACCTTATTATGCAGGTCGAATGGAGGATGGTAAAACTAAAAGAGCGGAGCCAGCACGTTAGAAATTTCTGATAAAAAGGCCGTGCGTGAGCGGCATCAAGCAGTTGTCTCTTGCTTTCTGTGTTCACTTTTTTTGGTCGCTAAGACCAACGCTAACCCAGCTTCCTTTGTAGGTCTCTCAAAGTGAAATACCCTTCCACAGTGTGGTCACCTGCGAAGTACCCGTATCGGTATTTTTTCTCTTGCTACAAACCAATAATGTGTTAGTTGATTGATTACATGTAATCTACGTGTATCAACGTCTAAATAGCCATGAATTAACACAATGGGCAAAGTACACTTCGTGGTGGTGTTTTGTTCTCTGAGCTGGTTTTGGTTGTGGAGCTTTCATTGTTCTTCTGAACAACATCATCAGCACAAACTTCAGATGTCCCACTGAAATTATTAATATCATAAGTTGATCAGTGTGCCAAATCGGTGATTAACTTATTAGTGGGAATAATGTCACTCTTTGCAATAAGCTAACTTTTCACTTTTCATTCATGGTCATAGTGCGATTCAAGCTGCCTGACCATTATGCATCATTTGTAATTTAGCGTGTACACTATTCATGTCGAGCATTTGCAGAGAGTTCTACTGAATGACCTGCATCGTGTTATTTGTATCATTCTCTCTTTCTTTATTGAAACCTGCTTTGGTCGTTGTTCAATGGTGAATTCAGAAGAAAGAAAGCTTAATCATTGACATTACTATCGCACTCAGTTGATTACATAATTTGATTAAGATAACTAAAACTGGTTAGTAGATAGTCTCATGTTGATTAAACTGTGAAACATTATACACAACGCAGTGGCATTCTAATCACTTAAATCATGAAAGCATATTACAGGTATTCTGTTCAATGTTCTTCCAAGTACATATTCATTTACAAATGAATGGTATTTTGTGTGTGTATGTGTGTATGACATAAATTGCGATTGAACGTATCATTTATTTGTGCATATCAAGGTTGTTTCTGAACAAGTATATCTGTAATACTCCCCTTATCTCATTTGTACAGATTGTCAGTGCACTTCAGTCATAAACTATGTAGAACCTAACTCATATCAGTATCGGTTCAGTCTGAAACATCATATCCGGACAGTGCGAAGTAATTTTTCGATGCAGACGTCAGAGTAGTTAGAAAAGTCAGAACATCGGTGGTAATTGGAAAGAGTGAACTGAACATGGGCAGTAGGATTCAAAAAGGAAGAATACATTTACGAAAGGAAAACATAATTTTAAAACTTAGGATTTAAACGATGAAAAAGAGTGAATCTATCTCTGCGTTTGTGAATGATTCTAAGCCATCTCACTTTACTTCTGCGAACATAGATCTTGTTAGTCGCTCGAACCCCAATTAAGTAGTCTACAACCTACCGAAATGACTCATAGATTCATTCCATGTCTGAGACTGATAGCTTTTTTTCCTAACCAACTCGTTCACCAGCTGACATCACACACATCTAAGTAGTTAGTGGTTGAAAATACTTAGCTCATGTCTATGATGATTCATTACCTCATCAACCGATTCGCTATTTTTACTTAGCACTTTGCTCAGTAGTCCCCATACACAATTCATTGATTGCATCTATGCACCAATAAACTGTCAGTGGACTGAGCCGTGTTCGTAGGTGTAGACTACTTGGTTAGGGTCCGCAGGATGATTAGAGACCTTGTGGTGGTGTTTCGTTCTCTGAGCTGGATATTTTGGTTTTGAAGCTTTCATTTTTCTTCTGAAGTGGTGAGACCTTGAATGACATGGCTTAAAGTCGTTTACAATGGCGCAGGTACATCCATTCTTTGTGTTCTATGAAATTCGAGTTTTCGGAATTTCTCATCATCTCTATCTTTCTCTTTCTAAATTCTAATTTAAACTCCTCATGACCCTCATCTTTCTCGTCTCAAAGCTATTTCATTGGATTATACTTCTTGAATAATATGTTAGGACCGTGATCTTTCCGATTTACTGCTCATCCTTCTACCACATCGGCCACTGTGGGATATGAATCGACAATTGCATCTCTGTGCTACCGTGGTATGAAAAATTGAACTGATGTACGTACGTACAAAGCTCAGAGAACGAAACACACCACCACAATCATCCACCTGAGCTACAAATTTTCCCCGCCATCTCACGAAGTTCTACGTTGTAATAATGACTGACTGACATCAGACTGTCAGCATAGGCGCATTGTAGGGATTGTTGAGTTTCATTGGAACCATGAACACTGATCAATGCTAGGTCATCATTGAAAACAATTTTCTTGCTCATTCATTTTTCATTTCAACTACAAAATAGTATTCAATCATTTTTATCTAATCTCTAGCCAATTTTTTTTTTCTAATTGAATTCTTGTCTTCTTTCATCTTTCCCAATTTATAGTCGCCAATTGTTGTTTCAATCTCTCAGTCGAATAGACCAATAGCAAAACCTCGAACTACTGTGAATCATTCTATCACTAATAATAATAATAATAATGAGATTAGTGGAAACTTGTTCAATAGTGAAGATATTGAAAATTTAAACAACTTATCCAACAATTTATTACAACCAGTTTTATCACAACTTCAAGAATCTGGTAAAAGTTTATTTTATTTTTATTTAGTGAAAAATAAGTTATTGTCATTGTAAAACAGTGATAAATTTTCTTTCATATGTAGATATTTTGTTTGTTGTCCACTTTCTATCTTTTTTCTTCAACCTGACCAACAACAATGCTCAGCCACTGAATGCCTTGTCGAGTGATGTTTTGTGGTGTAGGAGTAGGCTGAATGAAGGCTAGGGGCGGCCAAACCAAACCATGAAGACAGTGACGACAAGTGGATTGAGTTGTGTTGGTAGGTGTCGACTATCGGGTTGGGGGTCCGCGAGACGAAAGTTACCGATTGTTAGCGACCTTGAATGACATGGCTCAGAATTGTTTGCAATGGCGTAGGTGCATCCAGTCTTTGTGTCCTATGAAATTCGAGTTTTCGGAATTTCTCATTGTTTCCATCTTTCTCTTTTTAAATTAATTTCACCGAATTATACTTCTCGAATAATATCTTCGAACCCTAATATTCTCCATTACCAGTAATTCTTCTACTATCTCCACCACTATGTGATTTGAACTGACAATGGCTTCTCTGTGCTAATGAGCTATGGCAAATTAAACTGATGTACATACGTACGAAGTTCTACGTTGTAACTGATTGACAGCAACTTATTCAATGTTAACTGTTTGGAATTTCACTCACGTCAACACATTCAGCTAATCTGCATGTTTTAAACAACATACTACCCTGTGACATAGAAGCTACAAGTTGTCACAATTCATTTGGTAACAATCCAATGAAATTTTTCGTTAATTTTACAAGCAATAAAGCTGCGAAATGTTTATTATTCATGTTTGTGAACACTAAGCATGAAAATGCATATCAAGAAATATAGATGGATGGTGGTTAATAGTGGAGTCCAACACACAGGCACTTTGTTCTATTTGCGATTCAGAGTTAATGTTCATTGTGGGACTCAAAATCAATTCCGGTCGCTTCAAACCCCATCGTGTTACATGCATTCTGTTACTAAGTTCAGATAGCCAGCCACTGGCTTGTCCAATGGAGTGAAGATTAATTTGTCGGTATTGATTGTTTTAAGTTTCCTATTGATTTTTAAAACTGAAACTGATCAGTCCATTTGACATACGTGTATCCCATCTGGATTACCTTGATATCGTCATTAAGTCATATGCATTTTAAGTAGAGTTGAATGGTGGTATATCCAGCTGTCGAGTCCCAAATAGGTGGAAATACTCTTCCTGGATTTCACTACTGATCATGTTGTCCAGATGAATAATCTAAGCCTCATAATCAAATCATTCAGTTCATAGAGCACACCATCTTCAATACTAGTTAATTCATTTAAGTCGGAACAGTTCGATTTCTTACTTATTGACTGTGTTAAGTATATACTCACTTGTTCATTCTGCTTCTCCAACAATGTCAGTTTGTAGTGATGCGCAACTCTTCAGAATAAAAACTTTTATCAGTTCCAGCATGTTTACTGGCTTTAATAATTTCTAAGTAGACCTTACTTTAAAATTGCCAATATCATCGTCTTCAAATTTTACCATTCTCAACAATATCCCACTTCTATGATATTCTTTGAGAAATTTCTCTTGGTTAGATAAACAAACAAATCTGCTGTGCAACCGTTCGCTCCGTCCTACCTTATGGATGCAAAACATGGCCAGTAAGAGTGCTAAGGGCGGTCAGACCAAAACATGGCAGAAATCTATAAAGTCACTGACAAGTGGACTGAGTCATGTTGGTAAGTGTACACTACTTGGTTGTGGTCTGCGGGACAGTGGTAATCGATGGTTAGAGACACTGTATGACATGGCTCAAAATCGTTTGCAATGGCGTAGGTGCATCCATTCTTTGTGTTCTCTCAAATCGAAAGTTTCTGAATTCCTAGTCACCTTTATCTTTCCCTTTCTGAATTTATTTTACTGGACCATACTTGTTGAGTAACATCTTCGAACCCTAATCTTCTCCATCACTATTAATACTTCTACTACCTATACTGCTGTGGGATGTGAACTGACTATTGCTTCTCTGTGCTAATGTGGTATGGTAACTTGAACTAACGGACGTATGTACGAAGTTCTACGTTGTAGCTGACTGATTGACTTTGTTAGATGTATGATGTATTCAACAGTGTAATATATTAAGTAACACCTAATTGTGTGTATTTCGTGTGTGTGTGCGTGTATATATATCACACTATTGGTACAATTCTTTCTGTTTCATACTACCATCATTATTATTTGTTTGTAAAGTGCACGCCTATGTTTACTAATTATTACACGCAGAGTTTGCATTTCTTGCTACTACTATTACTACTGCTGAGTGCAATCAATAATCTGTTATTGATCTTATTGTTTTCGTTCAGTTTGTGTGTACGTGTGTGTGTGCGTGTGCGGTAGTATGCTTGATTATCCGAGTTAATTAATCCATTCTCTATGTTCTCTATGTATATGTCAGTTATCATGTATGCATGTTTGTACATGTTATATCATGCTCGGTTTATCAATATTAGATAAACACATTTTCTCGCTGAACGAACATACATGTAAAGATATAACTGTGAAACAGCTGATAATAAAACAACTAGATAGATCACTATTGAGTTATTGTGTATAGTCAGCGCCACAAGTTAACCTTGGCTAGACAACCATTGTCAGCTAAGAAGAATTGGACAGCTGTTTTGTCTTCTTAGTATGGAACTCTTCAATAGTAAATGGTAACCAGTTCTGTCTAGAGTGAGACACTTATTTCACCCATCAATAGTGGTAGCTTGATGGTTAAGCTGTTCGATTTTCAGCCATTCAACCATAGTTCGGAAGCGGGATTCACGTACTTCGATTAAGGACAGACACATACCATCAGTCTATGAATTCATTGAAAATTGGATTGAACCATGTTTGTACATGTAGACTATCCTAGTTGGTAGGATCCGCGATACAATCGTAACTTATGGTTCAATTCTTTGGGTGATATGACTCAAAATCGTTCACAACAGCACAAATGCATCCATTGTTTATCTTAAGCTTCAGAATTCCGCATAACCTGTTTTCCTTTTTTTAAATGATTTATTTCACTGGTTTATATTTTATTGAATCATAATTTTGATCCGTAATTTTTCGATAACCTCTTATACTCCTACTACATCTAGTACTATAGAATTTGAGTTGACAATTCCATCTCTCTGTTTGCTAATGTGTTATGGCAACTTAAACCGATGTACCGACATACCAAGTTGTATGTTGTAGCTGACTGTCTAGCTGACTGACACTTAGAATGTAGTTCATATCCAAACACCTAATGTATGAGTTAATTTGGTTTCAATTAATTTATGAATTTGATTTATGTATCATACAATATGGTATAGTATATTTAGGTAAAACTTTTCAAATTTTATTCATCATTCTTCATATTTTATATGGATGTCGAAAAGGGTTATCAATTGTTGATTACCATGTAACACATATGTGTGTAAATAGTTTAAAGTTCGTGTTTACTCATTATGGCACACAGAATCAAATTCAACTTATTTGTTTTTATCTGAACACATGCACATTGATACAAATAGGCGCCAAAATGCCTAAATGTCATACGAATCACTGAACTTGAATCTGGGATGGGATACCCGATTAGGTATCAGGTAGCCACCACCCAATTCTTTGATCTGGAGATCTAACCCACAAGGTATTCAGGCAAGGACAAGTGATGCAGTATCACGATATCCGATTATTAACAGTAACTTAACACGCCATTTGTTCCATCAGGATCCTGGTGCACCACTGATTTGGAAGCATGGTTTTGCAACTCCTCTAGGTGGATGAATTCTCCATACCCACCAACTTGGTTTAAGTGCTGGACAACTAACTGCTTTTTATCTTCTTAATTTTCTAAACAACATCCGCGTAGTGAGAAAGCAGTGAGTAGGACTTCAGATGGCAATGGCTTTACATACACTTATGACCATGTGATAGCTATTTGAAGTGAGAAAAAAGACATTTTCATGTGTTTTTTACACAGTGGAATCATCAATCAATCGATCATTGTGAGACTACCATTAGAAACCTAGAAGCACTAGACGGCCATCTCATCTTGGTATGGGACTCGTCAGTGGCAGTGCGCTTCCACGACTCCTGCCACTCGCATGATTCGAACCCAGGACCTTAGGTATTGCGTGAGAATACCTAACCTTTGAGTCCCACACCAGGTCGAAACGGCCGCCTTTTAGTGCTTCCTGGTTTCTTATGGTTGGTCTAATAATGATTGATTGATCGATGATTTCAATGTGTAAAAAACACCAATCTCCATAACTCTAATTGAAAAAATTTTCATGTGGGTGTTTGTGTTTGTGTCTTTTTTTCTCTAACATCAGAATTCCATAATTCACCCACAAGTCATTTACTTTCCCATGACTTTTTATCATCTAATGAATCTCGTAAAGAAAATTCTTACCCACTTAGTCCAAATGAATTAATGCATAATATTACTCCAATTAAAAATGACATCCACCAATCCAATTCACTCAAATCAATCGATCCTAATCTGAATACACTTGAATCATCATCTACAAAAAAGTCAGGATTTGATTCTGTTCGAATTATTCGAAAGCATACAATGGATCCATCCATGAATGAAGATCCAGATACCGACACAATACCAGTTCGATTTGTTCGTAAACGTGCTTATGCTTCTGCACGTCATCCTGGTCGATATGATCAAGTGAAAACGTTGACATCAATGAATGTTGCCAATTCAACGACGAAGACGACGACGACAACGACTATTACGGAAAATCAATCCATTTCACCTGTTCATTATTCATCACTATCTAAAACAACAACTTCTCATACTTCACCATGTCAACTTTTACCAGCTGTTAATGTTTCACATAAAAACTCTTTCAATGATCATAGTAGTAGTGCTGAACCAAAAATTATTCATTTACCGAAACGTCGAAGTTCTACTGGTATTGGTGGGAATAATAATAATAATAATAATAATAATGTTATTATTAGTCAAACTGTACATTCCAAACATTACATGGTGGATACATTAGGTCCCACTCGTGTTGGTGGTGCTGGTGGTGATCATATTGACTATGAACATGATTATATGCTTGATAAACAAAATGGTACTTTTACTAATGAAATATTTGGAAAAAATGCTTTAAATTTACATGAAACTAATATTTCATATTCATCACGTAAGTAAAAGAATTTATGTATATATGTGTATATGTATCTATAGTTTTGCCGATTTGCGTCATTTATATGGTGTAGGCTAGATATCTATCTACTAACTAGAGGTTGAGTTTACTGTGCAGCAGTTCGCTCCATCCTGCTTTATGGCTATAAAACATGGCCAGTAAGGGCAGAGGATATACGTAGGTTACTAGTATTCAATCATAGATGTCTTTGAAACATTGCTCGTATATCCTGGGACCATTGAGTAAGCAATGCTGTTAGAAAACGAGTACTATGTAAGGATGGCAGATCAATAGATGAAGTATTAAAGCTTCATTAGATAAGGTGGTTGGGACATGTGTTATGTATGTCCGACTACCGACTGCCTCAACGAGCGATGTTTTGTGGTATAGTAGTATGTTGGTAGAAAGCTAGAGGCGGCTAAACCAAAACATGTCAGAAATCCATGAAGTCACTGACGACAAGTGGACTGATTCATGTTGGTAAGTGTCGACTACCTGGTTGGATTAGGGTGCGCGTTTGCGATGTTGAAGGTACATCCATTATTTGTTTCCTCTCACGATCTCATGAACTCGGGACCCTTTCTTATCGCTTGTTAAATTTATTTCACTGGATTATACCTCTCGAATGATATCTTCGATGATTAATCTTTTTGATTATGGCTAATACTTCTACTACCTTTACTGCTATTGTAGTATGACAACTTGGAATGATGTAAGTTCGTACGTAGCAATTTCTACCTCATGCCTAGCTGACTGAGTGTATGAATTCACGTTGACAACTTAGACTAATCGATATTTTTATCAAGTTCTATTTATATTGATGATATAAGTTGATTGGTTTATTATTTTTGTTTTTTAGCTAAAGACAACTCATCTATACATTATCATGGTGTATGTACCAGTAAATCAAATTATACAACAACGACTGGTACAGTTGCATCGCATGCATCGAGTAAAACTAGTTTATTAAGTTCACGTTTATGGGCATCATTTGATCAAGATCAAAATGAATCAGTTTCGGAATTGTGGACACGTGCCGGTGAAGTGTATCATATACTTGAACAAGAAACTCAACGTTTAGCCAATAAGAAAACAACAGCTAGAACAATTGCCTCTATTACTTCAACTGCCACGACTACTACTACTACTACCATTAGTGGTAGTACTAGTAGTAGCAGTAATAATAGAACTCGTCATTATCCTGGAACATTAGATCATTGTCAACTCATGACTAATTTATCCAATGATCACGATAAAATTACAAATAAAAATTTACAATCTTCATCACAACCTCCATATTATTCAAGTCCAGCACATCAGAATTATCATAAAAATATGTTATCTACCAAAACTAGTCATTACAGGTAATTTTAGTACACAAATTCTCTTTTGTGCATATCATTAACTGAAAAATCGAATATATATACATCTCAGTTAAGGTTGTATTAGCTATATACCCTATTTAAAACCTTTCCATGAAAATGATTCTTACATATTTTTCTCATCTCACTAAGTAATAATAGTTATCGAATGCTTGATAGTTATTTACCGTGCAGTTGCTTATTTTTATCTGTGCAATATCCCCCTAAGTCTCATATGTAGCTTATTTCCGGATGGAGGAAAAAGCCTCAGATCAAGGAAATATTTTGTTAAAATCTTATTTCTCTAGACATTCTAGTGAAATCTAGGATTTTTTTAATGTCAGGAGATTGATATTGATGACCACCTTAAGCAACAAAGCAAGCATGTTCGGGATGCGGTTCTCACCCCCAGAAATGCAAAATGTTGCTTCAAGATTTGGTTGCATCGGCACCTGAATTAGTGATAGGGAGTGAAGTAGTCGAGCGTGTTGATCGCTTCACGTATCTGGGGAGTATCATAGGTGCTGATAGCCTGGTGACTGACGAAATTTCAGCACGGATACAGAAAGCTCGATTGGCTTTTGCCAACCTGCGTCACTTATGGCGTAGGTGAGATATCCGTTTGCTGACTAAAGGACGAGTGTACTGTGCAGTAGTTCGCTCCGTCCTTCTATATGGCTATGAAACATGGCCAGTGAGAGTAGAAGATATTCGTAGGTTACTGGTTTTCTGTGATAGATGTCTCCGAAGCATTGCTCGTGTATCGTGGGACAACCGAGTAAGCAATGCTGCTATTGGGAAACGGGTGGATCCATTTAGGGAATTGGAAAACCCTCATTCTAAACCAATGGTGCACATGGGCACCTTAATCCAGATAGAACAAATGGCCTTTAGGCCCATTGTCGGTCACTGGCTACCATAAAACCACATCTATCGTTTCCCCACTGCCTTGTGAACTAGAACTCTATATCAATGGCTCGGTGAGTGGCGCCTCCTATGAAAACCACGTTCTTCAGTTTAGTGCGCCTGGAAAGTATCTTATCAAACACGAACCAATTGTGTTCTGTGGTGCTCTCTCGTACCAATAATCGTGTTTTTTTTAATGAAAGAACATTGACAACGTAAATTCCAATAACCTCATAACCACATATGCCAAACACCTATCTTTATCCACATAGTTAAAGTAAGGCGATGAAATTGATCTTAACGAAATTTATTGACAATCGAATTCCGAGATTTGTCAGAGAAATTGTTTTTTAGCTTTGCAATTGCTGAAACCGCCTTGTAGCTTACATTAAACACTGTAATCGTATTATATTATCAAGTGTAAAAATGTCTTATGATCAGATTATTACTCAAACTATATTTTTCTACTTATGTATCACATGATTTCTAATATACTACTTATTATCATCTCATATCAAGCACAAAACTTGGTTTTTTCTTTTTTACTCTTATATTATCGAACTTTCATTGTTGTGTAAAGAAAGTTGTTTAAACTAATGCTTATGTTGTAAATTATAAGTGTTTATTTTTTTTTAGAAATTAGTAATACACTAGAAAAGAAGGGTGTGTTTCATCTGTTTCACATTAGAACATGTCAATAAATGTGAAAAATTAGTTTAGAACGATTATTATATAGTCATTGTAGTTGAAAATATAAGCACCATCTACAATGAAGTTAGATTTTCTAATGTCCAACAATTTATGGTATAAAAATGAAATGAAATAAACATTTCTAATGATATCAGCGCCATGGTCAACATTTACTCAAGACATCCATCAGTTGAGGTCGTTAGGACATGTGTTACGTATGACTATCTGTGGAGTCTCATCAGCGCTGATAGCCTGGTGACTGACGATATCTCAATGCGGATACAGAAAGCTCGATTGGCTTTTGCCAACCTGCATCACTTATGGCGTAGGCGTGATATCCGTTCGCTAACTAAAGGACGGGTGTACTGCGCAGCAGTTCGTTCCGTTCTCCTATATGGCTGTGAAACATGGCCGTTAAGAGTAGATGTTCGTAGGTTACTAGTATTCTATCATAGATGTTTAAGAAACATTGCTCGTATATCCTGGGGCAACCTAGTAAGCGATCCAGTTGTTAGAAAACCAGTACTGGGTAAGGATGGCAAATCAATAGATGAAGTATTGAAACTTCATCAGTTGAGGTGGTTGGGACATGTGTTACGAATGCCTAACCACCGACTGCCTCGATGAGCTATGTTTTGTGCTGTAGGAATAGGTTGGAAGATAGCTAGGGGCAGCCAGACCAAAACATGGCACAAATCCATAAAGTCACTAACAAGTGAACTGAGTCATGTTGGTAGATGTAGACTACCTGGTTGGTGTCCGCGAGACGACAGTCACCAATGGTTAGATACCTTGAATTACATGGCTCAAAATCGTTTGCAATGGCGCATGTGCATCCATTCTTTGAGCTCTCTCAAATGCTAATCTCCTGGAATCGTCAGCACCTCTGCTTTTGTCTTTCTCACCTCCTCTCACCGAATTATATTTCTTGAATAATATCCTCAAACCCTAGTCTTCTTTACCATTAATACGTCTACTATCTTTATCACTATGGGATTTGATTTGACATTTGCGTCTCTGTGCTAATCTGGTATGGCAACATGAATTTATGTATATACGTTGCAACTGACTGACTGACCACTGACTGCCTCGATGAGCTATGTTTTGCAATGTAGGAATAGGTTGGAAGAAAGTTAGGGGCGGCCAAACCAAAACATGGCAGAAATCACTGACAAGTAGACTGAGTCATGTTGGTAAGTGTAGACTATTTGGTTGGTGTGTGTGAGACAATACTAACTTATGGTTAGAGATCATGAACGAAGTGACTCAAAATCGTTTGTAATGACCTAGGTGCATTCATTCTTTGTGTTCTCCTCAGATTCCAGCCTTCTGAATTCCTCACAATCTTTATCTTTCGAAATTCGTCTCACTGAATTATACTTCTTGAATAATATCGTTGAACCCTAATTTCTCCGATTGCTGCTAATACTTCTACTATCGCTACCACTATGTGATTTGAACTGACAGTTTCGTCGCTGTGCTAATGTGGTATGGCAACCTGCACTTGTGTGCTCACGTACAAAGTTCTACGTTGTAACTGACTGACTGACGGACTTTACTCAATACAGTGGACTACTTTCGTTAACTGCTGTCAGTTTTATGCGTATTGTTTGTTTGAATCTTCTGTCTGATGTTGACCAGTGTTGTTATGGGCATATGTGCATTCTATGCAGACAGTGCTATGTCAAAGTCCGGGAGCTCTCGGATGCAGGTACATCCAGCTAGAGTTTATAAAAAAAGGCCAAAACGCGCGTTCTTGGTTCAACTACTAACCACTGTCCAATTCAATTTACATCACTACTTTTTTTCTTAATAACCGCTGGTTTTTTTTGAAAAACGTTTTTCGATCGTTATCTTATTTTACAACCACTGTTTACATATTCAGTCGATTTTTCCATCTGATTGATTTTTTCGCACCATTTTGCAAAATGATATCCTAATTGATAATCGGTTGTCGTCATTAACTAATCAAGTCATTATAAGTTTACACTAACAAGTGGACTGAATCATGTTGGTCAGTGTAGACTACCTGGTTGGGGTCCGCGAGACGAAAGTCACCAATGGCTAGAGACCTTGAACGACATCGCTCAAAATCGCTTGCAATGGCGCAGGTGCATTCATTCATTGTGTTCCCTCAAATTCTAACCTTCTGTATTCCTCATCATTTCTATCTTTTGCTTCCTAAATTTATCTCACTGAATTATACTTCTCGAATCATATCTTCGAACCCTAATATTCTCCATTACTGATAATACTTCTACTATCGCTATGACTCTTGGATTTGAACTGACAGTTGCGTCTGTGTGCTGATGCGTTATAACAACTTGAACTGACGTACTTCGTACGAAGTTGTACGTTGTAACTGACTGACATTATAAGTTCTTGTACAAAATAAATGTGCTTTGTTTGTCATTTGTTCAAATTAGAAAAAACAACTGAAAATGTGTGCTACATAGTGGTGATTAGACATTGATTCATTCATTTTTTTTATAATTAACTAGTGTCTTAGCTTTAAGTTCACTGACCTTATTTTGATACTCTGGCATGATCGATACAAATGATATCAGTGTATTTCGAATGATAAATAATATATTCTTTGTTTAACTTAACGATACAAATTTTGTAATATGATACATTGAATTTAACAAAATTATATGAAAATATATGCGTTAGACAGCATTACGCACTTTCTCACTACTTACACGGAGCACAGACTTCTGAACATCCATTTACAACCTACTCAGTCCTTAGCTCTCTTTTCCACTTGTTTCTAATCGCTATTTTTTCTAGATCTATCTATGTGCAATATGTTCTTCTTGCATTCCTCTTTATTTTTGCCTTGATAATTTCCAGTAGGGCCTGTATAACAGGGGCGAACTATTTGTTTAATATAAAGTAACGAGTTCACTGTATTACATGATCTTATTTATTTAAACACAAACATCGTTACAAAGATGCAGCTAAATATGTATTCGCAATACAAATTATTGAATTTGAATGTGTGATTGAGTACTGCCCAGCTGCTCAAACCGAAGCAGGTGGTTACTCAACAAACTTTTGACCCAGAAGTCTATCCCTACAAACCACTGGGACAACGTTCTTAGATGCAGTCCCATGGTAGCCATTGATAAACAGTAGGTTCATACACCATTTGTTACTTCAGGATTCTAAATCCCATGTTCATCATTGGTTTGAAGTGAGGTTTTTCCAACTCCCTAGATTGATTCACCGTATCAACCGACTCGGTTTAAAACCTGGTTGAACACTTGCTTTTCGCCCTACCCATCTTGTGAGCAACAGTGCCTCAAAAATATAGTGAGTAGGACTTCTTTGTCAGTAGCTGTACGCGCGTGACGATAGAAGCGCATTTGGGGATTCAGAGAGGACCCCCCATTCTCGGCCGCTATTTGTGGTAGAATGCACACTTATAAAATAACGATGTTCAGTAGTCGCTTTTTCTCATTATAATTGAAACCGAAGTGTACTTGAATTTCAATACGCTAAACATTATTGCACACAAATAAAAACATTCATTCTTTTTGCCCATTTCACTGAAAAGCTGATGGTATTTGTTATATCAATAAAATCAACAGTGATTTGTTTGTAGCACCGACTACCCGATCAAAACACGATACACACTTATCTTTATAGTTTCACAATCCACGCAGATCTTATAACAATCAGATTTAATGAATACTACTATTAGTTGCCTTTTAAGACGCTAGTTAACAGCTTATTATTATGTTCGTCACTAAGGATGCTTGAGGCTATTACGAGTTTACCTTAGTCGATAAACGCGAACGAGACTTTTACCAGCGTCCAGGTAGGCTACCTTGAATCCCAAAGTAAAGTAAGAAGGCTTCGTAAGCGTAGAAAGTATATTCTACAAACACCCAGCAATCACAGTCATGGATTTTCCTGGTGGGAATCGAAATCTCAAGATCAACTGATCAGCCCATGCTGGCAAACGTGAAAACCAAAATAAGGCATTTATCAAGCGAGTTTTGGGGATCTAACCTCCCCAACACTTATGGAATATGACTTACACCTGTTACCCCTAATGTAGTATAGGCCAGCGATCAGTGAATCAGTTTTTTTCTGGTTAGTGTCTTTTTTCGCGAGTAGGATTTCTACGGGATGTGATCGTTAACTCCATTTGTCCAACCCTTCTCCTTTTTCCGGGCTTGGGACACCGGCAGTAACCCTAGAAGGGCTGAAATATGGACTATAATCCAATAGAAAACTATTAAAATACTCGGTATCTAAGTTATTTATTTCATTTCATTTCATTACGTAATCATAAATGCAATTACATGAATGTGTATACATACCACATGATTTAGTGTCACACTTTATTATTATTATTATTATTATTATTATTATTATTCCAGCAGTGATTTCCGATTTGCTTTAGTCGACTAAATTATATTTATCACAGTCTAAACGTGATCGTTTCAGGTTGATTGACTATTTTTTTCCAGTGAATAATTTACTTCTTATGACAAATTAGTTGTAAGCTGTGATATTTTAATTTCAACTCATGACATAAACAGTACTTTTAAACTTTATTGAAATCATGAACTGATCAGTGTTAGACCACTACCACCACAACCACCATTGTAAACCTGGAAGCACTGGACTAGTATATGATACATCTCATTCGCAGTTGTTAGGATATTCATCCAATATCCTAAGATAATTGTTTTTAAGTCTATTTCTATTGGCCAGTTCCTATTAGTGGTCCTAACTACCAATGTCACTTCAAATGTTGTTTCCTATTCGACCTAAATGTATAAATACGCATTATCTGTAACGTTTTATGACCCGGATCCCTAGTCCGGCATCCTCATCCTCTTTTGGACTCGGACCTCGTACTTTCTGGATGCTTGTAGAATACAAGTTCTACTTCATATCAAGTCTTCTTCTTTTACTCAATGGGGGTTAGGGACACTCGGATTAGAGTAGCATGTCATGTCACCTGATCTTCGATTCTTGCTCTCGTTTTCCGACTAAGGTGAACTCGTAATAGTCCAAGCATATTAAATGACGTGTTTACGTGCATGCTTAACACAGTGCACATCCACACCCCCATGGAAGCAGGATTCGAACTCTTGGTCTCATTGGTGATCTCCTAACCTCTTGGCTATTAGGCCGACTTATAAATTTTTTTGGATTATTTCAATTCTTTAGTTATATAGATTATTACGTGGTCCATAAATTACAAACTGTTTGTCATTCATTAAAAATCAATAAATCTAACTGTTAACTTGAATATAACAGAATTCAAGTGTAGAAAAGAACCCTCGAAGATGTATCTAATTTTGGCTTAAGCTTTTTTTCATAAAGTTGATGTTACTTCATGATAACTCGGTTTTTTTTATGGGATTCTAAAGTACATGCATTTTATGCGCGTATCCTGCATTTATTTCGGTATATATGCCGCTTTTTATATATGAATTCTGTAATCCTTTATTGTAATGAAAAATAATGATAATAATAATAAAATGTTGCGTTATTTTTAAATTGTGAATTGATTTGTTTATTTCCAGTTCACATACTACAGAATCGAATCGTGATCAAAATGTTATGAATCCAACAACGAAACGATCACAATTTCGTGCTTTATGCTCAGGTTTACGATCACATCGTTCAGAATCGGTAAGTTAATTGATAGACATATTTTATTTGATATATATATATATGTATATATCAATACGTCTGGGGAGTCTCATCAATCTTGAGTCCCTGGTGTCTGTCGAAATCTCAGCACAGATACAGAAAGTTCGACTGGTTTTTGTCAACTTGTATCATTTATGACATAACCGAGATATCATCTACTAAACAAAAGGACGAGTTTGTAGTTTACTGCGCAGCAGTTCGCTCCGTCCTATTTTATGGACTATGAAGAAACATGGCCAGTAATTGAGTAAATGATATTCGGACGGTTACTAGTATCCGATCATCGTTTTTCTTCAATGCATTGTTCGTATATCCTGGGACAACCCGAGTGTAAGCGATGCAGTTGTTAGGAAAAACGAGTACTAGGTAAGGATGGCAAATCAATTGATAGGGTACTGAATCTTCATTAGTTGAGTTAGTTGGGATATGTATTGCGTT